AGGTATCCCATGAACACATGACGGCCCCAGAAACAGATCTCTCCGTTCCCATCTTTATCTGGATTTTCCAGTTTTGTTTTGCAGCCAGGCATCACCTTTCCACAACTAACCATAAAACATATGTCAATACACACTTTGAATGAAGAGATGGTTAGCCTGAATACACATATAGGATGGCTTGACAATATTCTACAATTGTATTATAATTTCAGATGGAGAGCAGGAGCCTGAAAAAGATCATCAATTGGTAATTCACTATTTATGAAAGAAATCTCCACACAGAAATGCTGAAATGTATTATTTTCCAGAATTGGATCCACTGCTTTGAACACTTTAGTTTCATGAACTGCTTTCTTGAGTTGAGATTTTTGTGTTCTGGGTAGAAAATACCAGGTTTTTGGCACAATTTAATGTGTTGTCCTACCTATAAACAAAAAAAAAAGCGGAGGCACTGACCTTGTGAGCCTGTAAGCATTGGGCACAGAGACGGTGTGTGGCCCGGAACTCTCACTCATGCCGTATAACTCCATCAGAGGCAGGTTCAGGCTCATGAAGTACTCCAGTGTTTCCTTGGTGATGGGTGCGGCTCCTGTCAGACACAATTTGCAGCGATCCATACCCAGAGCAGCGCGCACCTTTTTAAAAACCAGACTGTTGGCCAATGTGAAGCCCCACGGCACCGCATTCTCCCTGTGAGACACAAGTAAAGCAACAATCTGTGACCTGTTCTCTTAGAACAGCAAGATAAAGGAAGGAAAGGAAATGACTTTATTTTATCAACACTATTATTCTATTTTAGTACTATTCTGTTTTTAACCAGTATTTAAGATGTATGTTGCATGTAAAGCTGTTGTGTCCAAGCAATTTTCCTTGTGAATAATTTAAGTTGCACAGTGTAACTTTTCTGGTGGAGGGCCATCATCTGCTTCTCTCCATGGAGATACTGCCTGGAATGTTCCACAGTATGGCATTACACTTATTTATCTCTATGGAGACAGCAGGTGACACCACATGGGCCAAGTTACATGTCAGATCTGTGGAGAGGCGAACCTACTCATAATAAGAACGCACATTTTTTAATCAAATACCACCCATGTTATTGAGTAAATGCAAGATGGATACATTTAATGCCATACTGGGACATTCCAGACAAAACAATGACATCTCTATGGAGACAAGCAGGTAGTGGTCTCTTCACCAGAAAAGTTACACAATGCAGCTTTAAATACGTACAGCTAAAGCTGAACTAAACCAAACCAGGCCTGCAAAAGGACTAAAGTGAACTAAAACCAAACCGAATATGTGGTATAAAAAATCTAAATATATCACTTATAATAAATAGTGATATTTGACCCATTGTGAACATTGATGTTGTAGACTTATTCACTATTCTCTCCTCTCACCCATTCATGGCACTGTAGTTGTACTGTAGACCGATGGACTTGGCCCAGTCAGCCACTCGTCTCCTCATGGGTGAAGCCTTGACTCCAGCAGCTTTCATCTTCTCCTGCATCTTCTCCCAAACTCGAGGAACCCCAAGGAAAGACGTGGGTCGCACCTCTTTCATGGTTGTACCTAGAGATCCCTGAATAAATAGAAAGGTGGAATATGATATATGTTGGTTTTTGTATTGACAATATGTTTTATAATTGAATAAGCTTTACCTTGAGGGCGTCTGGTTGTGCAAAGTGGGTGGTCCCTGCATATCTCATACAAAGCCACATGTCATTCATTTGTGCTGCTGCGTGGCTCAGTGGCAGGTAACTGATAAAAACCTCCTCCTTGTAGTTAAGTCCAGCCATTTTACCACCTGTCAGTGTGGTCCATGTGATCTAAGAGAAGAAATTAAGACTAAATAAATATATATGTTTATAAACATATATACAACATAAGTGCATAATCTCCAACTCCTGGTGAAGTGTGGGCCACCTGCTTGTTTCCATGGAGACATTACTTTATTTGGATAGTATGGAAAATCTGTCCATCTTCCAAGTTATTCATTTACAGACGTTGCAAGTGCAAAAAAATATATGTACAATGAAAAGCGTGAATTCCTACAATGAGTGGGCTTGCCTCTCCACAGATCTAACCTTGTAACTTTGCCTGGCGGTGTAGCAATAACATCTCCATGGAGACAAGTACGTTGCAGACCCTCACCAAAAATGTGACAGTGCACCTGTATCATGTCACCTTTTTATTTAATTTGATTAACATAACATTGATCCACATATTTTTTGTATCAACAGCATTGAAGAAAGATAGCATGATGTAATGTGAATGTATTCTCCACACACAAGTGAAACAGAGCCATTTTTGTGTAAATCACTGAAGTAATTAATCCAATTACAGTATTTGGAAACCTTGTAAACAGTTAGTTTTGCAGCTGATGTCATCAATATTCCCTGGGGCGTAATGATAACTGTAGCCTCTGCTCAGTCTGAAGCTCTGTTAAGCAAGTTAGACTTTAACCTGAGTTTTATTTTAACACGATCTGATCATAAGAAATTTATTTAGATGGAACAGGTCATATGATTCGTGCTCTTGAAGAAGTCTTGCAAATTACATTCACAAGCTAGGTAGCAGTAGGGAGCAGTTTTTCAATTAGTCACACTTATCTTTTTGTTGAAAATCAAATACTTGTATGTCACCATGGTAACTCCTGAGTAATCACATGTACTACATGTACACATGTAGTACACCCCCAGTGTGATGACCCTGCAAAGCCACTTACATTGTCGTGGCTCAACATGACACCCTTCGAATTGCCCGTAGTCCCTGATGTGTAGATGAGTGTGCAGCACTCATTTGCCCGAAGACTGCTGATGACTGCATTGAGCTGCTCGTTGGGCACATCCTCACCAAGCTTCATGAACTCGTCCCACTAAAAAGAAATAAATAAATATATTTTATGAAAACTTGTAACCATTACTTCTTTAATGTAAAATGCAATGGGAATGGGATTTAACAAAAGGCAGCTGAATCATTCAACCCACCCATGCAGCCATACAGAAGGTGTACACTTTTAGTTTACAGTGGGAAAAAGCTGATATTATGGATGCATGGGTAATATAGCCACAAAAATAAATCATATACTGTTATTACTCATTAAAAATTAAAATAAAAAAAACATATGGCTTTTACAATGCAAACTTAAAATAATTCGTCCTTTTATTTTTTTTTTATTCCTCCGAAATCTGAACTGACATTTGCTATTGCTGTCTTGATTAATACAATCCAAGCTGCTCATTGCCCTTTTAAACAGTTGAGTCTTAAATTGATTAGCACAGTGATTAGCCATATATACACAGATAAACAGTAAGTCTGTGAGAATTAATTTCATTTCATTCTGTGAGAATGAAACCACCCACTCAGAGAACAGCAGAATTAATATATGCAAACATGCTCTGCGTGTGGCTTCCAGGAAACATTAGACAATTATAACTTTCTAAAATCTGTCTTTCTTTTTAAATGTATTTTTAGATTTGACATTTATTTACTCAAATAATTTAAGGACATAATATTATTTACCAGTCAGTTGGAAAAGGGTTACACAAGAACATGCAAATCTTTTTATCCAAGCTTAGAACCAAAATAAAACCTATAATATACTAAAAATTTTACTTCTGACACTCTCAAAATAAAAAAATAAAAAAATCTATAAAAAAGAAATACAACTTTGAATTGGTATGTGCGCACAATGAAATAAAAGTACTACCGTTCAGATTTGGGGCCCTATCTTACCCCTGATGTTCGTGCTAGTGCAGGTGTGGGGCATGGAGCTCTAAACAAGAGGTGTGCCAGGCCTCAGGTGGAGTGGAGCAGACTACGGGCGTGGTGTGGTGTGTTCAGTGAATTGTCATAAATATCAAACTAGATCACTGAAGAACCACATGTAACCTACTCAAGAAATATTTTATCTGGAGATCTATTAGGATGATAAATGCTTAACATTCATAACATGTTCATGTGCCATGCAGGATGTTTGCACGCTGTCCGTATGTCCTCAGAGAGCAGAGCACAGCCCTTTGCCTGTTTCCTGTATTGCCTCACTCAGCACTGCTCTAAAATTTGGTTTGATCTGGAACTGTAAAAAAGCTGCTCATTCATATGAGGCCGTTTACAGCACCATCCTAAAGTGTGTTTTCTGACCGTCTGCGATCCTAATGCTGCGATGTCGGATTTCCTCACATTCTTGTACCCTTTTTGTCATCAACACCATTTAATTTTGTAACGAAATTATTCCCATTGTGCTGCTTTGGTTAGTTTATAAAGTTTGTCGCCAGCAGGTAGACTACCATCAGAACCGTAGATAACAGCACAGAGCCGTGGAGCGACTGGACTCTGACAGGGATCAGCACACACAGTAACTGACAGTTCAGGGCTGTGACAGCGAACGTGCTGCACGTATAGTGCACATGAGCACTGCTCTGTAGAGAGACCTGTGCCTCCTGCTCTGTGCTCTCATGGTGTGGGGCAAATGCAGGTTGTGCAGTCACCCTCCCCATGTGTTAATTGGTTTTATTTTCACTGCATGTACTTACTGTGTAGAGGAACGGTGCTTTCTGATGCAGCTCACCCTTATACTGAACAATGGCTTTCAGGTGAGGGAGTTGATCTTTCACCTAAAGGAACAAATTGTTTTTTTTAGGTTTCTGCCATGGTATAATAACACAAACAGACTTGACTTAAACAGACTTAAAACATGACCTGCAGAATCTTTTTTTTTTTTAAATTAAATAAAATATAAAAGACATTAAACAAATATATATAAAATAAATACGAATGATACAATATAAAGTAACAAACAATAAAATGGACAGGATGGGGGAGACAGAGGTAATGCCAGGGGAGAGGTAAACAACCAAAATTCACAATAACAACTAAAAATTTATAAATTCAATTGTTCAAGAATTTCCAGGGTTTTAACAGCTGTGGAACTGGAGAACAAGTGGATGGTTTTCTTATAATACTAGACCTGCAGGATCTTGTCCAGTTGTTTCTTGTCCTCCACGACCAGGACGTTGGCCTCACAGTTTGCAGCCACATACTGGCACGCTTCAGGAGAGTTGGTAGTGTAGATGCCAGCTGCCAGACCACTACAGCAAATGACAAAAACATGTTTTATAAATCTTTCTTAATACACTATATGTTATAATGTATATGTTAGTCTCAAATTTCCCTCAAGATCAATAACATAGCTCTCTTTCTCTCGCTCTCTCTCTCTCAAAAATATACCTGGAGTTGTGTTTTGTTTCATGCACATCTGTTTAGAAGACAAACTCTGCATATTTAAGCTGAGTTCTTCTCTCAAACAGAAAACACTCTGTTCGGCTTTGTGATGTCATGTGGTAATACAAGAAAAGTGCCGCTGTGTTTTTAAGATCCATATACCTTCATTGGAATAATTTTAATAAATTAAGTCCTGGAATTGCCAATCTCTAATGAACAAAAGATAAAAGGTATCTTAACATGAAAACAACCGCTTCAAGACAACACAAGGTGGAACAGAGCATTTTGAGTTATTGAAGTGTAGAATGCAGGGTTACTCAAACATGTGTGAATGAAACAAAACACAACTCCAGGTAGGTTTTTGATGAGGTAACAGAATTTTAACATGTCTTAAAGCTCACAAGAGTGAATTTTGTGTAATATAGGACCTTTAAGATTTACTACACTAAATGAATTCATTTAAATATTCAGTGTTGATTGTCTCATGTCTGAGAACAGTTAAATGCATGTTTTCTTGTCAATGAGAATTAGTTCTCAATAATTTTACCAGTTTAAATAAATATTAGTAGCTATTGTTAATTGCAAAAATGTGTTGTCCAAGTAGCATATACTTGGATTTTTTTCTTTATTTTTGTGAATTAATATTGGACAGGACAGCTATAGAATGAAATGGGGGAGAGACAGGGGAGAGACGTTCAGAAAACAGCAAGATGTTAATAACCACATGCAACACCTACACCACAGATAAGCATATAAGTGGCTTCTACAATGGATTTTTGATTCACATTTGTAAGTTTAGTATTCATAAAGTCATTGTGTAAGGTGAAGGAGGAAAAGTCTGTATAAGGAAAGTTTGTGTAAGGAAAAAGTTTGACAATAACATCTTGTGTGTGTGTTTATTTAGTAAGCTGTTCCTGTTTTAGACACCTGCAACAAAATTCCCTGCCCTCCATAAAAATTTTAAAAGTACAGTTTACAAACAAATAAAGCTATTTCTTACCCAGCAAAAATGCAGCCAATATCTGCAATGAACCACTCTGGAGCATTGAATCCAAGTATACCCACACCATGAAAGCGCTCAAGTCCCAGCTAAAACCAAACATAGAATTATAAATAAACACAATGTTATTCACTGTTATTTTAAAGGTAACATATTATGTAAAAATTTATCTTGTGAGATTTAACCCTTGTTATGTTACCTCACGAAAAAGATAGCAGTAGTTGTGTTTTGTTTCATTCACACATGTTTGAGTGTGAATTCATTATTATTAGTCTGTCTACATTTCCAAAGCTCTAAACGCTCTGTTCCACCTTGTGAGGTCATGAAGCTGTAATTTTCAAGTTAACAGCTCTTTTTACCTTTTTAGTTCATTAGAGAGTGGCTGAAATCATCCAGATGATTCTAGTGAAGGTATATGGAGTTCAAAACCACAGTGGAGCACTTCCTGTTTACTACATGACATCACAAGATAGAACAGAGTTGTTTTCAATTTGAGAGAATAAAAATGCACAGTCTGTGTGTTAAACATGTGTGAATGAAACAAAACACAACTTCAGGTATGTTTATATTGAGGAAACTACATTATAACATAGATCAGAAAACAGCGTAATATGGGCCCTTTAATGTTATTGTAACCAAGTTACTTTTGCCCTACATCACATTTCAAAAGCTTTGCTCAGTTCAAGCAGCAGACTTGGCTGTGAAACTGGAGATGTAACACAAGATGCATTTTTCACACACCCAAGTGTTAGTTTTCAGCTGCAGCAGTGTACTTAGACACTTAGGCAATAAACTTGGCAGAGGTGTTTACAAAGGAAGCAAAGATATTATGCATTTGTGTGAACTATCTTCCATGTTCCCTGGAAGCCACATGCAGATCAGTGCTGTTTAAACATGTTGGATCAAATCACAAACTTCTTTACATTAGGGATGTGCGATATTGACAAAAAATAATTTCTCAATATTTTCTTTTTGGATAATCCCTAAAATAATCACATTTTATATTTACAATATAAAATGTGCTAAAAGGTGCCTGTAAATGTCTTCCTTTATTGATATTACATAAACATCAATAAACTACATTTTTCTAATAGCTTTTTATCCTGATTTTTGAGTACATATTTCTATTCTCTTCTCTACTCTTGAACTGTGCTTTGCAACACTGTAATTTCCCCACTTTTATCTTATCTTATGCCATCCTATCTTTTTTGTGATACATAAATTAGCACTATGTAACTCATCTATCTTGGATTATCATAATTTAATTACAGGTGTTTTTATTGCTCCAAAAATATCTTTAAAATCATGCGCTCTTAAAGCCTCTTCACAGACCTGACCTGTAACCCGCTTGTTTCCATGAAGACAGATACATAATGCAATACTGTGGAACATTTAATGTAGGCAAAACATTAACAGCTCCAAGGAGACAAGCAAGTGGCGAACCCTCCACCAGAAAAGTTACATGGTGCACCTTTAATGTTTGAATGTTACATTTTTTCAAATCCACAATTTTCATATTATCTTGTATAAGACTCACATTGATTTTCTGACTGACTGAGTGGACACGGCTACTGTCTAAATAAACACTCTCTACAAATTAGAGCCCAGAAGATCGATACATAATGCCATACTGTGGAACATTTAATCTAGGCAAAACATTAACAGCCCCAAGGAGACAAGCAGGTGGTGAACCTTGAAAGCTACATAGTGAACCTTTGATGTTTAATGTAATTTAGCATTTCTTCAACATCACAATTTTTATATTATCTTGCAGACACATCACTCACTTGTGCTTTACATCGACTGACTGAATGGTTGCCGCTAGTTTAAAAAATGCCATATGTCACTGTCTTAATACTATACTGCGGAACATTTAATAGCTCCAAGGAGACAAGAAGGAGGTGAACTCTAAAAGCTACATATTGTTAATGTTCTAATTTTGCACATCTTCAAAACCACATTGTTTATATTATCTTGTAGACACAGCACTCACTTGTGCACAAATTAGAGGCTCAGGCTAAAAGCAATGTAAACATTTGTCCTGCGTAAACATACCTTGAGGAAACTCTTAGCAGCAGCTCGACACTGTTCGTAGTACTGCCTGTAAGTCAAAGTCACCCACTGTCCATCCTTCTTGTATGCCAGCGCTGGATGATCCCCATAATTTTCCACTGTCTCCAGGAACATCTGATGAGTGGTGATCGGGGTCTCCGCTGCCGGCCCGGACCCCTCCATCCTCAGCTTCACTGCCTTGTCTCTGCCGGTGGTCCATAGGTGCTCGGCAGGTGTCAATGTTGTAGCCAAACTCGTGGAGGATAGTGGAACAGCTTTGGGTTCCTCTATAGTAGGACAACAAGGACAGCCCCGTTTAGAAGCCATGGGAGACAACTAAGAGGTAAGCAGGTTGAAGTACTAAAGAGAAAAACCACCCTCCCCTGTGGCTTTTAACGAGCTGTTGAACTATAGACTACCTGATGGGCGGGTGACCAGAGAGACACAAAATGCTGGGTGAGTAGAGAACAGGGAAGGGACACCTGATACAAATGAGGAAGCTATGGAATGTAAAGTCGACCTCAAAACAGGTTTGGTCACAATGCTGTCTCATAAAATACATAGTGAAGTTATAATTATTGGTTGATCTGATGAACACATGTGTGTGACCTAAATATGGTTACACTAAGGCAAAGGGGTGAAATACAGATAAAATATAATTTTTTAAAACTTTTATTCAGATAATTGGAACCAGTTTCATCTATTAAAATGTACCAATGAATACATTTTTAAAATTCTTCACTCAAGTCATACCCAGATCTCAATCGTTCTTCATAATTTTGCCACTTGTTTGCTTGACTATTCTAATGCTGTACGTTTTGCACTTTACTGATGAAGCAGACTGTTATTTCTTCATTGTGGGTTAAATTAAGGTTTATTACTCTAATCTTATGAAATTTACTTGGATAGGGTGCAATAAATACATAAAAATTGGTTATTTTAACTCATTCTCTTCATACATCTTAGTTTTAGACATTTTACTGATTTGCTGAAGTACTGGATTCAATTATTCATTTTTGTACACGTGTTTAGGCTTTAGAAGTTTCAAAAAGTCATATTGACCCGCTATAAGATAGTGCCTTCACACTAATGCACAAACTACATCAAAACTGGGACTAATCTGGGACTAAACCAATAACTAAAGCTTAATTAGACCAGAGTGAAACCTGAATTAGACCAGGACTACACCAAGACTAGACCAGGACTAAACCAAGACCAAGCCACATCTATATCAAGACTAAACTTGGTTCAAACCAGGAATATATCAGGACTAGTATGAATGCATGTTTACCTGGTGGGCTCTGTGGATTGGGTCCCTCTTCAGATGCATGTGCTCTGGGAGGTTTTGCCGGCGCTGCGATGTTGCTACCTGGATCTGTCTCCTGCTTCCCCAGAGATGAAGCAGGACAGTCCCCGTTTTCCACTACAGAGCCATTCCCAGTTGGCTTGCTGAGGACATAAATATTAACATATTAACATAACATATTAAAGGGCCCATATTACACTATTTTCTGATCTATGTTATAATATTTCCTCATAAAAAACATACCACTGCGTTTTTAAATTTCATTAATCCTATTTCCCTAGAATGATTTCAGACCTGGAATTGCCAATCTTCACTGAACAAAAGGTAAAAAGGAAGCTGTTGAACACTACATGACATCACAAGGTGGAACAGAATGTTTTAAGTTTTAGTGATGTAGATAGTCTAATAATAAAGGATTCCTCAAACATGTGTGAATGAAACAAAGCACAATTCCATGTATGTTGTTGATGAGGTAACAACATTATAACATGGCTCAAGAGTCGATTTTGTGAAATATAGGACCTTTAATACCTTGTTATCGTTATTATTTTTTATTTTTCATGAAAACCGTTCATACCTATCATTACAAATGTCCAAGACAGCCACGCCATTGCTTATTTCTAAATCGGTGCTCATCCTTGGTTATCTAGAAAAAAAAGTTGAAATCAATACACCTGAACTTGGTAATCTGGCATCTCTACTTTTTAACATTTATTCATTATTACAACAGATCAAAATGGTGTAACATGCGTCAAAGAATATTGAGAAATCTTATGTGGTTTTAAGTCTGCTTTCTTTGACCTAATACCTTTCACCTAAATTACCAAAAGAATTGTCAGCAATAGCATTTGTGTCAACATTAAACAAAGTTCCAAGAGTAATAACATTGAATCAAGAAGTAAAATAGTGCCATCTAGTGTCAAAAGAGAAGAAATGTTGTCTGTCCTGAGAAGAGTCTGTACTGAGATGAGTAAATGTTTGGTCAAGTTATAATGTTGTTTACAATATATTCAGAAGATGAGATGTAAGATTACAACAGATAACTTATGTAACGTTAATAACATCTTCAACATTTAGTATCACATAAGATTAAGATCAGTCCACCCAGCACTAGCCTGACCTTAAGATAACATTAGACAGGATTCATTTAGCACAAAGTTCAAATCACTTATAAAACTATTAAATAAATTAAGTAAGTTAGAATGATTGCAGTAAACTAGCAACATAACAGTACATTACCCCAGAATCAAGATCCAATGATGAAATTTGAAGAAAAAATTTACAAAAAAGGGGGAAAAAACTAAACAAAGATTAAAACTTGTCTTCACGTGCCAACAAGCTCACATTACTGCTGCTTACTGAGAGGTGGTCATTTCAAAAAATGAATAGGTTTTCGGTTGATGCAACAATAAACACGAAAATGTCCACACATAAAACAGTAGATACTGTCTTTAGGTCATGTGTTAGTTACCATACCTGCCCTGGGGCTTCTACTGGCAAAGGCTCCTACTGTGTGAGAATAAAGTCACACTACCACTTTAAATTACCCAGTCTAATCTGGTAATTTCATCCTGCAATTTAAGACAGAAATAATATAAAGGGTCCCTTGCAACTGTAATGTGTAAAACCCATCTGATGATTCACTGTGATCATGGCAACGCAAGTCATATGATCAACTAAAAAGCTGCAGTGACCACTGTGCCCACAGTCAATGCTTAATAAATGTGAAATCTAGAAAAAAAAAAGGAGAGAATAATAATAATGCACTGTTTTAGAGATATGATGTATAATGATGTATAATGGCTTGTTGCCTAGCATTTAAAAACAATATTTACAAGAGGGGCTTAAAAAAAAGAACTGAAACTTGCAGCGAAACATTTCTGCACATTTCTGGAATACAGTATTTGACGTTCCATCTGTATTTGCTAAGATGCTTGAGTTTAAATTAGAATATTAGTTTTTCACATTTTAATTACTTTTAAATTGTTTTTAAATAGTCTCAATACTATCATAAAGGAATAAAAGGAATTAGTAAAATGTTTAGTTGTTTTTTTTTTGTGTCAAAGTCACCCTATACTATATATATATATATATATATATATATATATATATATATATATATAAACCGTATATAAGACAAATACACTTCTCTTAATCCATGGTGGAAATTGCATTGCTACAAAATGCAATACAAATAAAGAATTTTAATATTATGTCCTTTTTTTTCAATATTCTGAATCTGAAACTGATCCTTGCACTGAAAAGCACCATAGAACATATATGCATACATATAAGTAGCACTTCTGCCTGCTAAAATTCTGCAAAAAAAAACTACTTTTCAAAATTAATAAATAGTATAGTCAAATTCATAGTAACAGAAAAATGTGTAATAAATACGCATGTATGTGTGTGTATCAAAAAAAACAGAAATTCAATCATGAATGAATGAAATCTTACCTTCTGTTAACTTGGTGTAGTAACATCAACTGATCCTCGGGAGATGAAGAACAGACCTTTGCTCAAAGCAGGTAGTCGACTCCAGAAATGAATTACCTATTGGAAACTTGTATGAAAGCTTTGCATGTCTCTCCCTCACTCTCTTATGCAATATTATAGACACCTGCGGATGGTGCAGAGAGAGCTATAACTAGGTCCAAACTACACCAGGGGTTAGCCTGCTTCGAAGTGAAGAGGACCTGAAAGTAACACAAAAACAAGCAGGACAAAACGTATGAGTGTTGTTATGGGTACTGTTATGGGACAAAGACAATGACAGGATGTAATCATATGGGTTAAGGTTGATGTCTGTAACTTTAGTACTGAACTGACTTATAAAGAAAGTTATTATCAGTTAGGCATGATGAGACCTGTCAGTGGGATGATGAAACGCTATTTACGACAATATATGGACTTTGGAGCATAAAAATATAATGTCTGTTGCAACTTCAGATAACAAAGGTAGAGTGCACAAAACAATATACCTTTCAAAAAAAATTGTGACAATTTCATAAAAAAGCAGCATAAAAAAGACAGAATTCATATTTTTTCTTTCAGAGGTGGTTACAGTAAAAGTTGGATGTTGCAAATCAATACAAATTAATGCAAATGCTGTTCGCAAGAATACACCATTATGTACAAACAGTATTTAACATGAAAGAGTTCAAGTTTTCAAATTTTCATATAAATTAAAAGGCATAAAGCATAACTTCTGCATCCATGAAGATGCTATTATCTGGAATGTTCCACAGCATGGCATTAATTATCTAGCATTTCATCATGGGTATTTTTATAGGTCAGAAATGCCTTGGAATAACCTACATTTTTACAGTGGGCAGGGTCATGTCTTCACAGATCCAACCTGTAACTTGGCCTGGTGGTACCACCTGCTTGTCTCTTTAATACTTCTGTATTACAAATTGCATTAAGTATTTAATTTATGCTCCTAGTTTTATTTTTTGGTTATTTATTATATTTTACAGATGTCTATGTCCTGCATTAGTTATTTCCTTGAGCTGATGTCACAGATTCTGCTGAGGTTAAGGCGGTGCTGTTTTTTCAGTAAATATAGAGCAAAGTTCAGCACACTTCTCCAATGACACACAATAACCTCACTGCTGGGCACCAAGGTCGAAGTATCATACCACCAGTCACACCACATCTGCCCCTGGCCTGAATCTCACCACACCCCTCCCATGGTCACCCAGTCTCTGGAGGTGGTTGGACATCCATAATATGCTCTCAGTTCCTTCTGCAATGAGTAAGTACAAATTTGGCCTACTTTCAGACACATAACAAATGTTAAACAGTCTATCATCTGAAAATCTTATTGCAATGTAAAAGTCTGTATGATTCATTGTCATTCAGGAGGAGAGCCTCCCCCAGTCAGGTTTGTGGAGATGCAAGCTCACTCGGGTTAAGGAGGTTTCTAGATTTTTCAGTGTAATAAACACAACCAAATGAAAAACATGTTTTATTTATTTTTTTTTTGGCTATAATAGACATACTATGGCTTTAACTATAGAACAAAGATAACTGTATCATTTTTTAAATCTATGTTTAAGTTATGTTGAAATATCTGGTAAATTTAAGTCAAATTATACATTTATTTATCATTACTTTATTAATAAAAGTGTATAACAGGAGTTAGAGACATTATGGCCATGTGGAAATGTGATACCCACCAGACAGAAAAATGTATGTTTATGACATTTGTTTTTCTTTTAATATCAGGCCATAATGTTATCCCGGTGGCCATGTCATCTGTCTTCCTCCCAAAACATGGAGATGAAGGTGGTAGACAGATTGTGCGCCATGCTTGCCGTCATTTATAACTGTGGATAAATTAAAAGTAATTACACATATCATCATTCAAAATGACCATGCGTTTATAATGTGTTAACTCACCAACTCTGTATCCTTCCTGTAAACATTCTTTCTTTGCAACATTTTTGGCAACAACCAATAAATGTCCAAGAAGCTGAAAACAAGATTAAAATAATTTGACCTGGAAGCTTGTATACTGTATACCATAAAGTTTATGGACCTAAAGTGTGTGTTATCGGCTGAAATACTATGGCTAAAGGCTATAACTAGTATGTGTCCCAGATAGTTCATTACCTCAGTGTCATCATCTTTGGCTTCACTTATCCTGGGAATGGGAACTTTAGGAATGACCAGGAAATGGACGGGGGCCTGAGGACTTATATCTCTGAAAGCCAAACACTGAAATGGACATTGCACAGTATTAATAACAGTTTTATAAGTCACGATGTCGTCAAAACTGTGAAGTAAACAATGAAGTAAAGAGTACACCATGCCTTGTCATCCTCATAAATAATATCAGCAGGTAGGCTTCTGTCAATGACTTTGGAGAAGATGGTTGGAGCAGGGGAGCCGTACTTCTGGCTGGCCTCCTGTGCCAGTCGGACCTCGTCACTTTTGGAGCAAAGGTGTCTCTGCAGAAAGAAGTTGTGCACTGCTTATTTGAATGCCCCCATACAAATATATTTAAGCTACACAGAACAATGTCATTAACATTAGAGCCTGTCAGAAGAGTAAGAACAAACATTTTGGGACATAAAGGCTTCACGTGACTTAATACTGGCATTGTGCACAGGAGTGTAATATTATGTTATAATTCTACCTGAACTCGGCGAGGGCAGTGGTAAAAAAGCGCTGTTTTTGTACCAGCCCCGACTGTGAATCTTCGCAAAATCTGCCGATACATCAGTACAGTCCTTTTGCAACTTCACAACAAAACTTAAACGTCAAAATTCTGCAGCTTTTTATGTTCGAACAACACGTCGCGATATCATGAGCCAGACTCTGGAAACCGTCACTTTGTGGCATTTGTTGACCTCGGAAATAAATGATTAAAATGACAGTGATGTATATTATTTGTGTCATTCTTCAACATACATAAATATTTCTCTATGTGCTTTATATGCGATGTGTTTTATAGGTAATAATAATATACAACATTTATTCATGGTGCATATGTAGTACAACGGCACTGTTAAGACTGGTCTTGTGAAATACGAGAACTGACTGTGTACGTAAATGCACCACAGTGGTACATTCAAAACACCAATGTTCTGTCTTGTTAGTAATTATAATTTAGCTCAATTTCTTTACTCTATTTCAGGTAATTGCATATTAAAGCGCTCGTTAAAATTCCTCGTTTTGTTTGTAATGTAATTTATAAATAGAAAAGTAATATTCCCCTCGATATACAAAAAATAGTTTAGAGGGAGTTTTTGTTCAACGGTAATCCACAAGAGGGCACTGCTTTGAAAGATCATTTCACTTCTCCCCAAGAGCAGAGGAAGATCCATTAGCAAACATGGCGGCGCGCACACGACTGCCCTTGCTTTTTACCAAAAACTTACCTCGTTTGACAAGCCAAAAGCTTGCCCACACCGAAGCGGTTCTGAAGGAGCCCGTGTACCCGCCTATAGTCGCATCCCTCACGGCCAAAAGTAAATCTGCAGAACGGCGGCGAGAGGAGGAGAGGATCCAGAGAAAATGTGCAGCGAGCGTGGAGGACAAGATATCAATGATCACATCGCTCCAACGGATGAAATATGTAATTTATCCCCAAACCTTTGCCCGTGGTGCTGACAGATGGTACCAGCACTATACCAAGACAGCGTACATCTCTGGTCTACCCGATAAATTCGCCGTAATCCAGAATGATAATGAAAATACGCCTCCTGTCTCCACTTCAACAACCGGCATAAACGAGGATGCCCTTGCCGAAATACGTGCCCTTATTGCCCGTGTGATTCTTCAGGAGCACTGGTGGACCGTAAAGAAACGCCGTCCATTCCTCTACAGAAATCAAGAGCTCGTTATTGGTCCTTTGCTTAGAAATCTAGTATCCGGGCTCACCCACAACTTGGCCAAATACAACCCTCTACTTCTCCAATCCAGTTTAGGTACTGACTTCCCTTATTCTAGTTATAATGATTGTAATTATGGCTGTGTAGTTTAAGGCTACAGAAATATTTTTTTTAATGACTATAATTGGCAAATCAGAAAGTCTGCATTTATGTTCCTGTAATGTCATATTTATTGCAAACCACTAAATACTCATGTTTGTCCTCAGCCTTTTCTGTATTGTCAAATCTAAAATGACAAAGGTGCGCGATGAATGTGTTATATTGCTCCAAAATTCAAACTTTCCTACTGTAAGCAGGTTACCTCTACTGGTCACCTGCTTGTCTTCTTGGACATAAGTTTAATGATGCGTATTTCAGGTAAAGCATCTCCAAAGAGATGAGTAGGCTGGGGGCTCGCCACCAGAAAAGTGCCCCTTTGAACATTGTTCTTCCACATAATGAACTTTCTGTTTCTTTTCATCAAATCAGACATGAATCCACAAGTGAACTTCTACTGGAGGAGAGGACAGCGTATCATCCCCAAAGGACACCGGAAAGGGAGAGTAGAACCTCGCAGGTTCCAGATTGATGACCACCCTCACAGTCAGATCAGAGTAACACAACAACTGCCACAGGTACAAGTCACTTACATTTTACGAAGGTATAAATAATTATATATATATATAAAACATTAACAGTGTTGATGTGAAAAATATTGTGATATCATTGATTACTGTGTTTCTATCTGACACTTCATATTTTATCTATAATTGGTCTAGTTTGCCCTAATGGAGGACTCATATGCAGTGGAAGTACCAGAGATAACCTGTGCCCCTGACATGCTGCCTATGTTCAAAAGGCAGTATGAAAACCATATATACACAGGTAAAGTTTCTGTTAGTTACATTCACCCGTAGTAGGTCTAAAAAGTCATTCATGCAGAAATGGATCTATCCTGAATGAGCACATTATTATCATGGTTTGACATTAGTAAAAGCCAAATGCTGGTGGATTTGATTAGATAGATTTAACTTTTATACATGCATACATATTATACATTGTATAGAGCTCAGGAATTTGAGATTGAGTCCATCTTTGTTGAGCCTTCATAGAGTTAACGCAAGCCACTGGTGAATACATCAAACACACAATACATTAGTTTGAACACGAATTCCAGTACTTTATATCTTAAATTCTTCATTAGTTTAAATTTAAACATGTAAATACTATGTAAAAGAATGATGGCACAATCCCAATTTCAACACCTACATAATCACAGGAGCATTATGTAACTTCTCTGGACAGTGCACCGCCTGCTTCCTGTTTCCATGGAGACATTATTGATCTGTAATTTTTTTGAGTTCTAAACTTTTTTTTTTTTTTTTTTTCAATAACTTTTTTCTAATAAAGGTTACTTACTGTGAGCGGGGGATACATGCATACATACACCTCAAAGTAAAGCTATAATACTGAATGGTTCATGTTTCCACAGGTGCCAAGCTCCCAGACCCAGCCTGTTATGGCCACACACAGTTCCACCTCGTGCCTGACCGTTACCATAGAGACAGAATGGCCCGCCAACAACAGTCAGACCAGATCGAAGTGTTTCTCCGTGCTAATGCTGTGGCTAGTCTTTTTGCATGGACAGGAGCTCAGGCCATGTATCAAGGTAAGGGAGGGACAGTGAAGTGTCGAATGTTACCCAAAAGAACCTTGCTGTCATTAAATGTGCTGAAGTATTCTGTAACCACATACATTTTCTGAGTATTCTTCCCATCACTGCTACTAGTTATAATATTAATCCAGATTATGATGGATTGTTTTGTCCTCCCAGGTTTTTGGAGCCATCAGGATGTGATCCGCCCCTTTGTGTCCCAGGCCGTGATCACAGATGGGAAGTTCTTCTCGTTTTTCTGTTACCAACTCAACACAGTGGCTTTATCCGTGCAGACTGATGTGGACAACCCCCGAAAGAACGTGCTCTGGGGGACTGAGAGCCTGCCCCTGTACGACACCATAGAGGATGGAGAGGTGGTTGGCATGAACGATGATGTTGTTAAGCTCTTGGTGCAATTTCTGATGAACCGACCGTAGGAGATGACACTTTTAAAAGTGAAACTAAATTCTATAAACTGTAAGTGAGGGAAGAACAGCAGAACACTTAAACTTAGGCTGTGTACATTGTATATATGCAGACAATAAATTAAAATCAAAATTTCTTCTGATGTCATATCTAATATATTAATTATATTGAATTCTATGAATTGATGGTGACTATGTAACTTTTCTGAAAGTTTCAATGAAGGACATTTAATTATAGACTGTATAAAGAATTTATACATTTATCTGTATGGAGATGACAGATGACTCTACCAGGCAGGTATTTTTTGGAAATAAAATTTGAATTTAGTAAATGCAAACATCACACATTTTATGCCATAATATTAGGGATGTAATGATATCCAAATCTCTCAATGCGATATTTTTACGATATGCATCTCACAGTACGATATATATTGAGACATTTTGTGGCACAAAACTCTGAATGTTACTTTTCTATCATAATCCAAATAATTAAGATTTAAAAGTGCTTAATAACAGTTGTTTTCTCATGTAGATTGTACTGAAACAGGGCAAAGGATCATGGACTATGTAGTTCAGTCTCTTTTTTTAAGCTGTTGCTGCACCATAACACTGAATTTAAGCAAAGAAACATGTAATTCGATATCTTGTGATGACAATGTGTGACTTTTGATGGTACAATTTCACGATATGTCGGTTATTGTTACATCCCTACATAATAGAGAATATTCCAGATAAAGTGATACAGTCCAAATAGAGACAACCAAATGGCGTACCCTCCAGGCCCAGATCTACAGTGGTGCAAAAAGGTGCAGTGCAACCCGTTAAAAATGGTTGCACCTGCACTTGAGGTGCCTAAAATAATGCAACATAATGGAAGCATATTCTGTTTGTACCCCTTTGAAACTAATGCACACCCTCCACCACAAACAGCATCTCTTAATTTGAGCACCTCAGTGTCAGCCCATTTTCCTCAACTTGAATAATGGCTGCAAAATCACAAGTTACATGGTGGTTGAGAGTATAGTATATACTACATTGTCAGTATCTAGGCCTGTCATGATAACAAATATTAAAGTTTTGCTGAAGTAAATATAGATGATAAACAGTAGTTAATTTGTATCTATAAAGAGTCATACAAATTGGTAATTCAACCTTCGACAGCTCAAATTAGATGATGAAAAAAATTTCCACAATAAGTATTAAACCCCAAAATATATTGTTCCATCTACCATGTATGGAATGATAAGTTGATAGAGTATTTATCGCGACAGGCCTATCAATATCTACATTTCCTAAAATAAGTTTAATTACATGACAAATGGAACAAACTGAGTATGTAATATATTTTAATTAGTTTCTGTTACAGTGATTGATTATTCATAATACACAGAAGCAATACAATATTATACAAATACTTAAGTTGATAGACATACAACAGAAGAATAGATATAGGCACAGTACAAGGGGAAAACTAGTTGTTTACTACCACAAGAATAACCTGGATTGTTGCTGTGAGTAAGGCACTGCTCAAATAAGTGATATACTCTGGTTGAGGCTTTGTTACAGCAGCCATTTTAGGGACCAATACAGTAGAGAGTAAATATAGATTTATAGCCCATCAAATATTGCTCACGGTGAAAATAAACATGGAAAACCTTTTGTATTATACTGTTATATTATGCTGTTGTATATAAAGGTGCACTATGTAACTTTTTTGGTGGAGGGTCAGTTATCACCTTGGTCTCCATGGAGATTTCCCACAGTATGGCTTTAAAGAAGACCTATTGTGCCTATATTTGGTTTATACAGTAGTTATATTCTATGACAGCAATTGATCATTATGTTACACATTTTAAATTGCAATATTAATTTAAAACAACTTATGCTTTGCAACTTCAGGTGAATAAATGCTCTGGGAAACAACATGGTTAAAAGCTCTAAAAAGTTGATTTTGCATAATAGGTGTGCTTTAAACATTTCTATATTCATGGATCCAAGCAGGTGAACCCTGCCAAATTACAAACCAAATTAGAGGTCAGATCTGTGGAAAGGCAACCCGTTAAATTAAATATTAAATTAAAAAAAACACAAATAGTATAAAGCTAGACGAGCTTAATGCCATACAGTGGACAATTCCAGAAATGCATCTCAGTGGAAACAAGCAGATGGCGGATCTCCCCAAAGGAAAATGACACATATTGCACCTTTAATAAGTCACTTAGTTGCATTTATTATATTGCTACTCTCATAGGAAGTTTAGTGTTTTAAGAAACGGCTTGAGTGTTATTGCTTAATGTAACAGACAGTGATAGAAGCAATCGATCCAAAACTTGAATGTTCTTCCTTTTAAACCTTTCTCTGTCTTGTAGATGAGCGTCCATCTGCCGCTGCGTTCTCTCCGTGCAGTCTGTTAGTGACAAAATACAGCATTCATTTTATACTAATAAGTAACTATACCAGAAAGCTTTTAAGACTGATCCAAGCTTAAAGGTCCTGCATTATGCAAAACTGACTTTTGATTGTGAGCTTTTAGCCATGTTATAATGTTGTTACCTCATCAGAAGCATACCTGGAGTAGTGGTATGTTTCATTCACACATGTATTATTAGTGTGCTCTCCAAAGCTCAAAATGCTCTTGATTCACTTTGTGATGTCATGAAGTGATAGTTTTTACATTAACAGCTACCTTTACCTTAAGTTAAATAGAGATTGGCAAAAGTAGAACAGAAATCATCCAAATTATTCTAGTGAAGGTGTATGGAGTTTAAAAACATAAGGGAGCACTTCCAGAGTGTTTTCCATTTGAGAGAAGAATGCAGCCTTAATATGCAGGGTTTGTGTGTTAAACATATGTGAATGAAACAAAACACAACTCAAGGTATGTTTATGATGACGAAACAACATAACATGGATCAGAAAATACCGTAATATAGGCCCTTTAAAGGAGAACAATCTCTAAATCAAATAATATTAGACTTTGGATTTCTTTGGATTTCTCATCTTATTTTTGTTCTTTGCCATAACATTTATGCAATGGCTCTCAAACGCTTCACATCAAGTAAAGATGTGGTTTTCTGAGTACCACCAGATCTAATTCCAGGTCTAATCTAAGGCTAAACCAGGTCTATAAATGGACTACATCATTTCCTCTGTAGTTCAAAACAAGGAATTATCCAAAGGAGGACAAAACAAGTGGATAAAATCAACTCTAAATTAAGCAAAACGACATACTGAAGATGACTGAAATCATAATTAGCAAATTATCTTGTCATTGTGTAAAACTGGGTGATTTTCTTTCTGGGGCAAGAAAAAATTGATGTTTTTCTTCAAAATTTTGCCTAAATTAACATATAAATAAAGTAAAAAATAAAATGAGGCCATAAAGTGTAATTTTCCTCCAGAAAATTATAATACAAAGGGTTACTCACTGATTTGTATTTTGGTCAGGGTTTCCTTCAGCTCCTGTTAACAGAGACAGCAGTTCATTTAGATTGGTTCACTGTCAGAATATACAGATGTGGACTAAATTGTTGGAACCCCTCTGACAATGAAAGAAAAATCAACAGTCATCACTGAAATAACTTGAAACTGATAAAAACAATAATAAATACAAATGTATTGTCCAACGAAAGTCCAACGAAAATCAAACATTGCTTTTCTCCTGTGGTTAAACAGAATCATTAGAAAAAACTAAATAATGAACCTGGCCTGGACACAAATGATGGTACCCTTAACTTAATATTGTGTTGCACAACCTTTTGAGGCAAACTCTGCAATCAAACAATTTCTATAACTGTCAGTGAGACTTCTGCACTGGTCAACTGCTATTTTGACCTACTTCGCATGAGCAAACTGTTCTAGGTTTGAAGGGTGCCTTCTCCAGACAGCATGTTTCAGCTCATTTTACAGATATTCAATAGGATCTTCTGGGCTCACAGAAGAACACTTCAGAACAGTCCAATGTTCTGTTCTTAGCCATTCTTAGGTTGTTTTTAGCTGTATGTTTTGGTCATCATACTGTTGGAAACACCCATGACCTACAACAGAGACCAAGCTTTGTGACACTAGTCAACACATTTCGGTACAAAATACCTTGATAGTTTTGAGATTTCGTTGTACCCTGCACATATTCAAGACACCCTGTGCCAGATGCAGCAAAACAGCCCTAGAACATAACCAAGCCTCCTCCATGCTTCACAGTAGGAAGAATGTTCTTTTCTTGTTGTGCTTGATTTTTGCATCTGTGAACATAGAGCTGATGTGTCTTGCCAAAGAGTTCTAGTTTTGTTTCATCTCATCTGTCCAAAGGACATTCTCCTAGAAGCTTTGTGGCTTGTCTCACTTTTTTATGATTTGGTCTCAACAGTGGTGTCCTCAAATGAAGTCCACATTGGCATAAACAGTGACGGATGGTGCAATCTGACACTCATGTACCTTGCCCTTTGAATTAACATTTAATTTCTTTGGCATCTGTTCTGGGCTTGTTGTTTACCATTTGTATGATCCATCTCTTCAATTTGTCATCAGTTTTCCTCTTGCGGCCATGTCCAGGGAGGTTGGCTACAGTCCTGTGGACCTTAAACTTCTGAATAACATGTGCAACTGTTATCACAGGAACATCTTGCTGCTTGGAGACGGTCTTAGGGCCTTTATCTTTAACCTGCTTGTTCATCATTTTCTTTCTAGTCTACTGACACAGTTCTCTTCTTCATTTTCTCTGGTCCATGTTCAATGTTGTCTCCATCATGTCTCGAAACAGCACAATGACAAGATGTCGCCCTTCAAACAGGCAGACTGACTGAGGACAAATTTGAAGACACCTGTGATGCAGATTAGAGGACACACCCAAGTTTAACATGTCCCTATTGTTCAGTTTACAATCTTTTCTAGGGGTACCATCGTTTTTGTCAGGCCAGTTTCATTAGTTTGTTTTTTTAAATCATTCGGATGAACAACAAGTCAATAGCAGTGTCTTATTTTCATTGGTTATTTTTCAGGAACTTTTTATTTATTATTTATTATTGCTTTTCTTAGTTATTTCAGTGACCATCTTTGTTTTTTCTTTCATTACCAGAGGGGTACCAACAATTTTGTTGGTAAGGAGCAGCGGGGACCCATCTCAAGATCTTGAGCTAGGCTTGTTCAGGACTAACTTACCTGGTGGTAGCTTATTATATTGGTTAAACTTCTATGACTCACTACAGATGCAAAGTACTAACTAAAGTGTTTCATTCTGCTGTTTATTTGTTGCAGGTCATAATTTTTTAACAATATAGTACATTTAGAATAGATTTTTTGTAGTTTAAATCTGCTCTTGCGTTATTGTGACAGTGGCATAAATTTGTTTCAGTATTATCGTTTAATGTCTACATTTTCTTCTGCAGTATATTGAACTTCAAAATTGGTTATCATGATAAGGCTTTTTCAGGATTTTTCACCATTGAAAATATATAGTATTTAGTTTTGAATTGTTAATTACTATGGCAACAGTCAAATATTTAATAATTTGGACAGCTTCAAAAACAATTCCATTATTATCTTGTAGACAATATTCAACCCATTACAGATCACAAGGCCATACCTGACTGGTCATCTTTTTTGGAGCCTGTCTTTTCATATATCAGGATTACAGCCACCAGGACCAGGACCTCCACGAGAATACCAATGAAGGGCTTGAGAGGCTCGAAGTAGGTGATGACTCTGAGCTGCAAGTAGCCCACAGATGTTCCAATGCCATACACAGCTCCACAGTAATACAGCCCAGAGTCAGACTCTGTCAAGTTATGCACCACCAACTTTGCCTTCTTCTCATCTTTGGTGATTTTATAGCGATGACCAGGTGAATCAACCTCAATTTTCACCTAAATAGAAAACGCAATTTTATAGATATCTTGTTGTGACAAGGTTAAAATACTCCAACACACCAAATACTTGTTTCCATGTGCTTTGTCTGAAATGTTCCATAGTATGCCATTAAACTTAATTTTTATCTACTATCATATAGGCCTATTGCATTTATTGTTTTGTATGTAGAGCGATGAATCTGCAGGGAGAATGTACACTAATAAACATTTCAGTAAATTAGAATATAGGGCTATTTTTCATCGGCTGTCCTAAACTCTAGTTTGTGAATGTTACATTTTTAGATACTATGAACCAAATGCTCCTCTTAACTAATAATTAATTAAAATATTTCTAAGTAGTAATCAAAAGTGAGTTTGTTTACCCACATATTACATAGTGATCATAATGTTTGCTGCATTATTTTTTATTAAGATTTCAGACAAACCTTATTGGTCCCATTCTGTTTGTACCAGTTCCAACTTAAAGGCTTGGGTTTCTTCTCGTCCATTTTACAGATCATGACCACAGAGTCACCCACATAACTCACTATGGGCTTATCCCGCACCTCACCCAGATATGGAGCTGAATACAGACAAAGTAGGTTTTAATGTCTATTGAATCAGAAATATTGGTTAATTAATAAACATTGAACAAAGAGGATGAGGGGCTACATAAAAAAAAAAGAATAAAAAAAACTTACCTGCTAAAATGAAGTCAACTTTGGCTTTGGGATCGAAAATGCATGAGTACGTTCCTAAGTCTTCTTCATTCATAATGCTGAACCTTGAAGAAGATTATTGTGTAACATTACATTTTATATCTAATTAAAATCTGGAAAGAGATTGGATAGTGGTCGTAAACATACTCTCTCCTCAGATAGTAGCGGCCATTTTGCAGTTGAATATTGGAATAACTGGTCTCAATTGTCTTCCCATCTTTCGTCCAGTATCCGGTTATGTTTGGCAGCCTTTTGTTGTTCCCAGTCCAGGCACACTCAAGGTTTAGTGTCACGGGATTGACCACTTCAACCTTTTCTGTATGATTTTCTCCTACAACATTCAGAAGCACAAATAATACAATTACAGGTGGGTGATTTGAAAATTAAATGTTTTCCTTTAAATTCAACAACAATCATCAACACAGAAAACAAAACTCATCTGTCCATCTTCATTTTCAAACCAAAAATCGCTCATTTGAAGAGAGCGAAGAACAGATTTTAAAGGGTCCAAATTTTCTTATTCATGTTATAATGTTTCCTCATCAAAAATATACCTGGAGTTGTGTTTTATTTCATTCATACATTTTAACACACTACACATTTAAACTGTGTACTTCTCTCAAATGGAAAACACTGTCCCACTTTGTGATGTCATGTAGTCATACAGGAAGTCCTCCTCTGTATTTTATTTTAAACTCCGTACACCTTCACGGGAATCATTTGGATAATTTCAGCCTTGGAAATTCTCATTTCTACTGAACAAAAGGTAAAAATTTGTTGTTAACTTGAAAACCATGGTTTCATGACATCACAATGTGGAACTGAGCATTTTGAGGTTTGAACATGTAGACAGACTAACAATAAAGGGTTACTCAAACGTGTGAATGAAACAGAACACAGCTGAAGGAATGTTTTTGATAAAAAGTATTGATAATAAAAAACACTGATAAACAACATTGTTTTAAAGGTCACAAGAGTAAATTTTGCATAATATAGGACCTTTAAGCAGAGAGAAAATGTGTTTGCTAGAGGAGTGAAGGAAAATATTTTTGTGAAGAAATAAAATCCGTGTTTGAACAGAAATGGCAGCCTGCTGTTTAATCTACCAGCTGTTTACAGACGTGTACTCAGGCCACCGGGAACGACCACAACAAGCTAATCAAATATTTATCAGGTAACGCTGAAGGTGAGACAGCCAACATATAATAGGTGCAGAACTCATAATGGTTGCGGTAAACAAGGGTAGGGCAGTTTCACTTTAAAACTCCTCCCTTTGGGCTTGGACTTAGGTACTCAGAGCAGCATAAATTCCCAGCGCTTCAAGCCAGATCCTTCAGCTGAAAATGGCTTCTGGATGGGAGTCGAAACACCTTGATCTTGAAAAACAGTCCAAATGACCACCAATGAAACCTTTTCTACATCATATTTTTGCCATCCATCAGAAATGTACATGTATGTTTCTTAGTTCTTGATAATGCATATTCACTTGTTTGGAACATTTTCAAGTTTCTTCTTGCGTCCTTAGCATAGACTGCATATGTAAACCAGCTAGTCGCTTTCCAAATAGTAAGTGTTCTTGGGGGCGCTTCTGGCTTTCTATTTGAGTTCACACTATTATTACTTTGCTATTTTATACGTAAATAAATTCCTATTCCTAATATGGAACTTACTCCAAATTTGCTCCTATAACTGCTAGCTGCATGAGCTTCATTTGACTGGAGGATGATGTCACACTTCCTTAGTTCACTTTTTTATACAATCTATTGTCCTTAGGCATAAGAGGCTTTACTTGGCCTAATGTGGTGTGTGAGTTGCTGGAGGGGCCAATGGCAGCCTCACTTCTGTCCGTCTACTCCAGGGCAGCTGTGGCTACAATCGTAGTTTAACACTACTGTGCATGGAATGAATGAATATTGCACTGTGAAGCACTTTGAGTGTCCAAAAAGTGCTAAATACATTTAATGCATTATTATTATTATTATTCATCAGTGGTTTTCAAACTGTGATATATGTAGAAGTAAGTTTTTTAATAATTAAAGTTTTTGAGTCCGTTGTAGCCACATTTTCTTCCTCCTTTTGGTTAGCAATAGTACAGATCTGGCAATCTGGCAAAATATTTTCTGGTGCTTCTTGGTGTGAAAAGTTCAAAACTAAACTTTTGATATGTTGAAACATTGCCTGCCGTTGATAACAGAACTGGTTATAATGTGAGGTGTGAGTTACCTGTGAGTACCACACTCTTTTGTCCAGTTTGCAGTGGGGTCAGAGGCGCCACGGGGGGAGTGTTGGGACCGGAGGTCTCTGACAGTGAGGACAAATAATAATTACTGAAGATTATACAATACAATGCAGAAGATTACACAAACATTGTAAACTGATACGTCTTACCTACAGGCGGCTCAGTTATAACCGTGGTGTTCTCTGAAACCAAAAGAAGATCTGTGAACCAAATTTGAGACATAAATTTAGGTGTATAGCATTACTCCAAATAGACATATGCACACTGAAACCAGGAAAGGACTTATTTGTATTGCAATTGATGTTATTGGTATTGCTAGAAAGTTGCATATTATAGGATTATTTGTAATGGTATTTGTGGAGAAAAACAGGCAACTAAACTAGGCCAAGTTACATGTGACATCTGTGAGAAGGTGTCCCGCTAACAGTATGAGTGTATGTTTTTAAGTTATTTTTAGCAGTAAAATTCAATAGCTGAAGTTTGATAAGTATAAAGCTATACTGTGGAATAGAGTTGAGCAAAAAAATATTGAAATATCGATATATCGTATAGTTTAATGTGATGACACAGAATCGATATAGTGGGCTGCTGTATCTATATATCTCCAAGAGTATGTTTTGGTATATTTTACTTAATTATTTAGTTACATAGCTACAGTTTTGTTGCTTGTTTAGAGAAAGGAAACTTGTTTATGCAACACATTTGACATTTTCACTGGCTTGAAGATTCAAATGGTTGTGTTTCATATATACTTTGGATGAGAAAAGCTTTAACAAAGACTTCCAGTATCCCAGCCACAATTTAGCCTTTATTTTTATTGAACTGTACTGAATCGATTTGAAATATATTGTATTGAATTGTATCGAATTGAAAGCTTCGAGATATGTATCGCATTGTGGCCTGTGTATTGATGTATGTATCGTATCGACAACTTCTTAGTGATACCCAGACCTACATTTTGAGCAAAAAAAACATCCCCAAAGACAAAAAAGAAGCATGCTGTCCACTCAAAAAGTTACATAGCACACCTTTGCTGTAAAAACTAAGCCTCTAATTCGACTTAAGAAAGTTTCATGGTGATTACAGGCCTTATTTTACTAAGGACTGGGTTTGAGCATACAACAATGAAAAAGAGATTCCTTTTAACAGACCCTGATTCAAATGTGTCCATTCCTGTAAAGTGATCTGAGCTCTCCCTAGTCACCTAGCCAATGTGTTTTAAAGGGACAAGATACAAAAAAGCTTGTTGCATGGAAATAATACAGCATACTACATAACTATATTTTCAAAGATGTTGCTATTTCTACAAGTGTTAAGTTATAATTAATTAATGAATAGATGTAGAAAATTATAGGCCTATTGACCATGATGGTAAATACAGTACTACAGTAACCAGTGCAATGACAACACTTGGCCCTACCAGTTCCAAGGTTACAGAGATATTCTAGATGACAAAAATATATACAATAAAAACAGCAACAAAACTAAGGTATTTACTTGTATTGACGTGTCTGCAGACCATTAGCAGCAAGAGCAGTTGGCAGGACAGGTGCGTATAAGAAGCAGACATAGTTGTGGTGGCAGTGTCCTCTATATATGTCCCATGCGTTGATGTCCTCTCTTCGCTGTGGTCGTTGGTGCATCGTCTAACCACCTCTCCCCTCCCCTCCCTCCATCCCTCCCCCCTATCCTCCCCCTCCCTCCCCCCTCTACTGCTGCACTGTGACGCATGCTGTGAGATCAGGCTGCAGCTCTCATTCCATCAATTATTCAACCTGCCGGCCCACGTACACCAACTACAGAGCAAAATATCACCAAAACAAAACATTTAAAAATCTTCGAGATACAAATATGCACAGTCTGAAAATAATATGTACGGTAGCTAGAGTTTTTCTTCAGTGAGTTCAATTACATGATAAGGCTGACTGTTCAAGGTCATATGATCCCAGACTCCACAAGCTCATAAAATTGTTGTTGTCTTTAAAGATTAATGCCATTTTCTTTTTTTAGATTGAAGTGCTATTTTAATAATAAAAAAAAGTTTATTAGGTAGCTATAATAGCTACATCTATCTGTCAATAAGAGCTAATAGCTCTGTAATAGCACTGTCATGTGACCACCATGACTTGTTGAAACAGACAACAATGTAACTGTTTTGACCTTTAAAATGCTACTTACTACAGGATTATGTCTATGAGTGCAAATACCACTATCATTGTAAATTCCCAGTTATTGAAACTTGAACTTGAAAATATCACAGTCACATTCGTTATTTAAAAGCTCAACAGTTAGTTTATTCATGAATTTTTTCCCCTTTTTTATTTTCATTTAATTAATTTATTTTAACAGTCTTTTTAAACCCTGCTATGTGCAATTTAAACAAGACTATTAGTTTAATTTACTATATGTACTACGTCTTAATGGTCAGTAACAATGGTCAGTTTAACATTGGGCCAGTAACATTCATTTCTAAGACAGTTTTTTTTTTTTTTTTAACAAAGCATTTTTAAAAAGGAGGTACTTGACAGTAGCTGAACCACTCTAACCAGGAGCAGAATTCATTACTGGTGGAGCTGGAGGCTGTTGATAAAGACAGTTTGCAGTTCGTTGATGTCGTCAGTTGCTTCTATGGGAATACTGGCTCTACCTGGAGAGCTGGAGAACCTGAAGTCATTACTTGGCTCAAGGCAGGGCAAGCTCATGTTTTCATAATAGGACTCTACCCCTCCTCCGCTGAGTGCACACGCCCCCTGCACTCGCTCATATCCGTCCTGGTAGTGGAGCAGGGGGGACAGGCGGTTGTAGTCTAGGACCTGGTGGGGGCTGCAGTGTAGATGGGCATGGTGGTCTGGCCCGGGGCTGTGGCAGGGGCTCACTGAGGGGCTATGGGGCATTGGGCATGTCTGGAGGCAGCTGTTTCTGCGCATGGCCCTGTGTAGATCCAGCCGTGCGATGAGAGGTTTGCCAATGTTGACACTCTTGGTCCAGTAGACAGGGTCATCCTCCATTGTGTTAAAGGCACCCTGAAGACACACTGTAAACACTAGCTCCTCCTGTTGGTTTAGAAAGAATCATTTGTTTTAGAGATGCATGATTTTGCAGGAAAACATATCTGTGATTGGGATTCGATTTGTGATCGATGATTTGTTAAAAGTTTTCAGTTCACAGCGCACATTTTTAACACACATTTAAGAGAACTATTAACTACATAAATACAAGTAGCCCATACATTTAAGCTATTTAGTTTTAATTTATAACATATATAAATCATTATTTTATATTTTGTCCATTGTAAACTGCAATAGTGATCTCTAAAGGCTTAATAATAGAAATTGGACTATTAACTATAAAGGAACAGAGGAGCTCGTTCTCCAACAGGCTCCTACAGCTCCGCTCAAACAGTGAGAGATACAGGACTACATTCATACCATACTCCCTACAACTGTACAACAACTCACTCTTATGTAACAGATAATACTCCCTACAACTGTACAACAACTCACTCTTATGTAACAGATAATACTCCCTACAACTGTACAACTCACTCCTATATAACAGATAATCCTGTCAATTACCATATCATTGTTGCACTGTCTTCCTATGACCTTTTGTACAAAGCTATGATTTTACATTTTATTATTTATTTTTCTATTTTATTTTGTCTTTTGTCTTTTTATTTACACTTATATAATTATGTCTTATTTCACACCTGTCTCTTGCTATCTTTTTGCTACTTATTTAGGATTTATTATTACCATTTATATTTTTTATTACTCTTTGTTATCATATTATATGGTGATGTGTGAGCCACTGTGTTCAAATAATTTCTCTTGTGGATCATTAAAGTTTGTCTAAGTCTATTGCCTTCCTGTTTAAAAATGGAGAACTAACAAGCCCCCGTCTCTTCAAAGTAGCATTTCACCATAGCAAGCAGGAGATTATTTATGTGTGTTTATTGTTTAAAATTGCTATGTATCTTTTTTAAACCCTACATGTAAGATCTGGAGTCTGACCTTTTTGAACAATCATAAAATGTAATAATCATAATAGTCTTATAATCATAATAATAATAATAGGCAGTAGGAATTTTCTGAACACTCAAGACCAAAGTTGAAGACTAGAAGGAGGCAAACATGAATTAAACAAGCTACATCTTTGAGAAAGCTGATGATGAGTAAACAGCATAACAACAGGGTTATAAGGTCATAAGTGTTTATAGAGGTCTAAACTTTTTTCTCATGGAAAGTTCTGAAGATGGCTTGCAGCTAGCAGCCAAAACATGTTAACAGGGTAAATACACCTACTACTGTACTGTCTTTAATTATTTTTGGCTTGCTTTTGCAGTTTATTTTTCCAGTTTATAAATGCAGCCTTTTGGTTTGACTACTGCACCATTTCAGGTACATTCCATAGTGGTGATTTGTCCCTAATTTGTTTGTGGTTTATCTATTTGCTTAATGGTGTTGTTGAGTAGTACCTTAAGCTTCTGCAGGGAGCTGATCCTTGTGTACAGACAATGCTGAGGAAGACTGCTAGACAGGAGGTAGATGCCCGTTTCCTCTGGGGTCTCTCGGTTCATTTCTTTAGGATCCACATCGAGGTCCTAGCAAAGCAGGATAGTTATTTTGCTGGAAAACACATGAATTTTAATCTTATAGTAAGTCTTTATTAATATTGCCAACATAGTATAGAGATCTATAGACTCACTATTGAAAAATCTGTGACGTGGGCCTGGCAGAAAGACATGTCTTCTGGTTTCTTGACAATGTGAGTGTAAATAACAAGTACATTGGAAAATTCTGCTGCAAAACCTAACTTAATCTGAGCTCCACAGTCAAAATCCAGACACATGCTCTCAGGAAGCTCTGAAACAAATATAAACAAGCAATTTTATTCAAAATTCATAATATTGTAATTTTTTTTTTTTTTTTGAGAATCACAAAATTCAGAATGTATATTGTCAAAATAAATAAATTTTATCTTATTTTTTTTAATTCAGACAAAAATATTCAGTCCAAAGTTAAACAAAAATTTTGTCAATATAATGATAATACTTTCCATTTATATAGCGCTTTTCAAGACACCCACAAAACGCTTCACTATAACACACAGAACACAGTCGTGCACACACACACACACACGCACACGCACAAACACACACGCGCGCGCACACACACACGCACAGGTACATGCACACACATACACACACACGCACACATACATGGGAGTGATTGGAATTAAAGGCCAGTTTAAATAGAAATGTTTAGAGAAGTGATTTGAGAAGTAATTTGAATGATCAGTGGTTTCAGCAGTTTATTCATATATATATATATATATATATATATATATATATATATATATATATATATATATATATATATATATATATATATATATATATATCCCACCCCTTCACGTAGTTAATATATCAGATGTATGTTTCCATTCTAAAGTGAATATTGTTTCAAGGCCATAAAGCCAATAAGAAAAACATTGTCCTTGCTTTGCTACAGCACATTCCTCAGTATCTTTAGTTGGTAAGAAAATGTTTAGTTTAGACTATACAGCGTCTAGTATGAACCATCTGTAGATTAACGTTTATCAGCAGACCAGAGTGAACTGACCGTGAGCTTTGGCCCAGTGTTGGCTGTGGTGATGGAGATCTGCCCTCTCCTCAGGCAGGATGGGGTCAGTCAGGGCCCTCCTCTCAGACAAACTACTGCGGATCTCCAGAGCCTGCTTCCCCTTTGTGGCATCAAACTGACCCATATCTGGACACAAGGACACGTACAAAACACACAATATGGGGAGGTGTCTTACAGGAACAGACAGAGCAGTTTTACAGGCTTTAAAAACAGGAATGATAAACAGGCTCTGGGTATACATTATGTTCATACTATATACGATTTTACAAGCTCAGGCCTGTATTGTTTTAATATTTTTTTTACATTTTACAAAAATTCAGAAGACATCAAATATCTGTAGTAAGACATATGGAATTATGCAGAATTTTTTCTTTAAAATATAATTCCATTGCTTGCTTGCTTCATATAATTGATGTCTTCTGTATGTACATAAAATGTAGAACGCAATAAAAAAACAAACAAACAAAACAAATGGGATGGTGTGTCCAAACTTTTTACTAGTAGTGTATACAGGGCTTTTCTATGCTCAAGGCAATGAAAGTGGTTTACATAAAAAAAAAAAAAAAAACACTCATCCATTCACACACATTCATACACCAACAGACACCAACCTACGGATCTACGACTCTACCAACTGAGCTACTGTCGCTCCAAACTTTGAAATAATTAATTAATCTTTATAGTAATGCATATTTATATGTTTATAGTTTATAAATAAATATATCAAAAGCAGTTGCCACATAGTTTGCTTTATGTCCAAAAGGGAGTAGGAGGAAGTAATCACTTGTTTAACCACACTCCTTTCATTATGTTTTTGTCATTTAAAAAAAGGGGAAAAAAACCCAAAACAATAACCATTAATCCAATCTATGCAGTACTTTGAAAGAATATTTTAATGCACCTTTAAATGCATGTGGACACTGTTTTGAGTTTTCTTTCATGTTGTTGCATAATTTGACACCACAGAGATACAGCGACGGATACAATTTTTGTTCACAAGCAATTCTTCCCAATCCCAACATAATTCAGGTCGAGAACAAAACTGGCCCTTGTGCAGATATAATTCATGACCACTGCAATAATACACTATAATAATAATAATAATAATAATAATGATAATAATAATAATAATAATAATAATAATAATAATAATAATAATAATAATAATAATAAGTTTTTACTATTTTTACCTTCAGCAACTCGGTCCAACACCACAGTGATCTTCTCATCATCAAGAAGCCGCTTCTTTAAGAACTTCACAAACACTCCATTGATCAGTCCAGCTGAGCTCAACTCAAATGCCTCTGCATCCTGACAACTGTTTAAAACACCAACCAAGTATTTTATAATACAATTCAAAATAAAGATGTTATTAAATATAAAAATAGAGTGATTTACGTGGCATATCCAAACACAATGTTAGCTGTGACTCTCAGTACTATGTTTGGAGTGCTGTCATCGTGAAAATTCCTGACAAAATAAATATGAAAAAAAACATTGATATTACAGTATATGTGTAGTTTTTATGCAGCTATTAATTTACCCACCTCTTCCTGCACATGTCCAACAGAAACACATTCAGGCCAGTCTCTTTCTCCTGCATCAGTTTCAGAATACTTTGCACACAGAGGCAGTTTGCTGAATGGTAGGGGTTAGGTGCATCAACGGGAACCATGAAGCTGTTGCCATAGTTCTCATAACCATGACCAGCATAGTACAGCAGACCTTAAATCATAAAATAAAAGACCGCTGAATGAGCATAATTTTTAGCGTGTTAAAGTCAGCTTTCCAATCTAATCATTACTTCTTTTGGTGGAATAATAACGGTGATAAATATTTATCGTACATTTGAAAAAAGTTGGAAAAAATTAGAGATAATAGCGCTGTCATCACAATTTTCTGTCACTTTAAACATTCAATTTAGAAAATAAATTAGTTGTTATTTGCTTTTATATGTCAAATGATAACTCTTGTATCAATTAGACAAGCTTGGGCCCTTGCTTACTGCTTGATAAAACTGTAACTGGAATTACTTCTACCTATACCATATTTGCTTCCCATGTCCAACCAGAAAGTATAACTATAAACTCCATCAAAACTGTCAAACCATCCAAGATTTTTTGTCGTCGTGACTATAAGTATGTTAACTCTGTTTTAGTGAAAAGAGTAGTCTACCTCATATGTCAGATGCAGTTTAAAACCTACCATAGACCCCCTTATGAAGCAGAAGCAGGAACTCATCCACAGCGTTTCTCATTTCGGACTCGGTGAGGTCCAAAAGAGAAACCACCTTAAAGTTGAGCTGCCGGAGAAGGTTTGTAAGGTCATACACATCCACCATGGGAGCCTTGAGCTGCGGGTGATTCTGATAGGAAAGGTTTCCAATCAGCAGTGCCACTTTGTCAGTCGCTGGGGTAGAGAGATAATTAAAGATTTAATTATTCTATGTCTAAAATCACATTTTAAAAATAATAACTTAGTTATTATGACATTAGCCAGTGACATTAGAGTTACTTTATTTGAACACTTTAAACAATGTATGAAAGCTCAACATATAGTCATACTTGTCAGACATTCAATTTTTTTTTCTTTTTTTGTGATTCTAGAGACATTCAAAAGATTAAAGTCTCTTGTCAAGAGAGTTGTGGTATGGTTTACTTACAGGAAGAAAACAACATTTTGTGTTAGCCTGTGTATGTTTTAAATGCCATCTACTGTACATATCTACATTGTGAGAACTTACCATACAGCTGTTCAGGGACAGTATTTAGAAACAATCCACTGGAACCTAAAATGCCCCACAATGAAAAAGTTAAAATGTTAAGTGTAAAGCCATAAAATCAAATAATAATTACACATCTTACCTGCTTCGATTGCAAACATGTCATCTGAAAAGTAGAAATACATTTCACAATTTTATACAAAAAAAGTTAAAGGTACATTGTGTAACTTTATGGTGAAGGGTCCGCCACTTGCTTGTCATCATAGAAATGTTCAAGAGTATGTCCAACATTATGGCATTAAACTCATTTATTTCCATGGAGACCAGTCCACAATGCTTCTAGGCCAAGCATTGTCAGATCTATGGAGAGGTGAGCTCAGTCACTGTAGGAATGAGCTCACCTCTCCACATTTTTCTATTTTGGAACAATAAAACACCTGTAATTGAATAAATGCATAGATGAGTTTGATGCCATACTGTGAAACCTTTCAAGCAAAGCAATAATATCTTTTTCGGACCCCCTATCAGAAAAGTTACACAGTGCACTTTTAATTTTCAATAAAATTAATTTATTAGTCAAATTTATAGTTGTTAGTGTGTTGATTCACCCTCGACCCGCATGCAGCTAAATCTGTGAAAGATGCACCAACATGTACGTACACCAGTTATTTTGTACCATTCTACCATAGACATGCACTAAAGACTACACAGTCAAAAGTAATATCTAGATATGTTAAAATTACTTCAATTAAAAATTAAATTTGTTTTGATTTGTCAGGTAAAAATATCAGATAAATAAAATGCTTATTTTTGTACATTTTAATTTAATCAACATTTTTATACATGACAGAAATCTTTATTGTATTGACTGATTGATTCTGAAGTCTGTCATTTTAACTTTAAGATATTACTTTTTGTGAACTATTCTGCTATACCTTCAGAGCACTCCATTGCTGAAATCTGGACTGATATCCTGGGTGCTTTCATCAGAAACAGTGAAAATGTGAAGTATTTGTCCAGTCTAAAAACACTGGTTATGTGTAAAACTTATAAATAACTTACAAATGACTACATCAGCTTCAGAGGTCCACAATGATTCTTTGCCACTGGTTATCTCACAGATGTATTTGCCATGGTGCTCTGGTGTGGCGTGAGAAATCTATAAACGGAGAAACGACATTGTATCTAAATCATATTTTGTTGAGGATATCATATGTTGCTAGATTTACTTACAAACAAAATCCTGTTTTGTATTTATTTGCATTTGAAGGCTTAATAGATTGCGTTTGTGTATGGTTGAATCTGTATCTTGTAATTTCATATGGATAGGGATCTACATAACTCAAGGCATTTAAAGAGAGGGTATTATGAGAAATAAACTTTTTGAGCTTTCTACCATGTTATAGCATTGTTATATATATGTTATAGCATTGTTATATATAGCTATACAGATATATAATTATGTAAAACAAAAATAACAAAATATTTTAAAATATATTTTATATTCAAATCCTCAAAGTTAAGAGACAAAGAGTTATTTAAGTTATATTTTCATTACTACACAATTCCATTTATCTTGCTTCTTATATTTGATGTCTTCCATATGTATCTAAAATGTAGAACATAGCAACAAAAACTAAACAAACATTGAATGAGATGGTGTGTCCAGACTTTTGACTTTTCGGCTTGCTGCGATGCTTCAACCAATCAGACCCAAATAGTCTTCATGACGTACCACATTCTCCGATTGCTTTCAGTGTGAGCCGTTACACATTGATAATGTGCAGAACTCAATTCAGAATGCTACACGTATCAATCTGGCGTGAGCCAGGTTAGTGTCATCACAGTAATTATAGAAAATTCCACCACAGAAATACATGTAGAGAGCCCTAAGTGTGATGTCACTGCAAAGTATCAAAACAACTACTCACCACAAGTTTTCTTTTATTGGCATTGGGGATTGGCATTCTGTTTCTATACCACTGATAGTGAGGGATCGGTCTTCCCACTGCACCACATTCAAGTTGTAAAGTTTCTCCAATGTGTAGCTGCTGTGGCTGAGGCTGGATCACCACTTTGGTCCTGCCCTCCACAGAACTCAAACTATGCCCTGGTCATCAGAAAATCACTGTTAAAGGTCCTATATTGAATTGACTCTAGCTATAAGCCCTGTTATAATTACCTCCTCAAAAACATACCTACAGTTACATTTTGTTTCATTTACACATTTGAGCAGCTCTGTCTACATCTCCAAAGATCAAAATGCTCTGTTCTACCTTGCGATGTCATGTAGTAGTAGTTTTACTAAATTAACAGTTTCCTTTTACCTTTTGGTTAGTAGAGATTGACCATTCCAGGGCTGAAATCATCCAAATAATTCTAGTGCAGTAGTATGGAATTTAAAAATACAGTGAAGCACATTATGTGCATTCACATGTATTACCACAGGACATCACAAGGTGGAACACAGTGTTTTCAGTTTGACACATAAATATGGAAGGTTTGTGTTAAGCACGTGTGATGAAAACAAAACAACTCTTGGTATGTTTTTGATGAAAAGTACTTATTCAGGTCACAGCATAGTCGTAAACTAAAAATAATTATTTTAGAAGCAAACCAACTTGTATGTGCTTTTTTAAAATCTTGCTTTCTGTGTCATTTAGAAAGTTTTATTTCATTAAGCTGATTACATGCTAGAGGAATGTTAATCTATTAGACACTGAATAAAATGGATTAAGGATTTCAGTTGTTCATTCATAGTGTTAGTAATTGTGTATAATCGTAAAATTATAAGGTTTCTGGTAATATAACACAATTATAAGGTTTCTTCAATCTTCAGCAATCTTAAAACTACACTTGAGCTTCTGCCAGCCATATTATTGAATTAGTAAATATTAAATAGTAAAGTAATAAAGATAAGGCTTACTGTAAACTGATGCAAAATTCAAGACGTCCACTTGTGCCCACTGGCTAAACTCAAAAGCCTCTCCACTGTTGGCTCTGCAAATGTAAAATCCTGCATCTTCTATTTGAACAGGACTAATGATCAGGTCAGGAGATGAGCCGCTGGGGACCTGTTGTTAGAAAAAAACACAGAAAATACATTGTTCATTGTTAGTAGAAGTAAATAGACAGCCTAATAAAAATCAGGCAAGGGTTTCAGTGGCACATGTTTTTGAAAGCTTAGAAATAGTTCATAACACGTTCCCAATTTTTACTTAAGATATTTAACTATAGATTAGGACACAACATCTGCAATCAGACAGTTAAACAACTGTTTACTGTTGACTGTACCACAGAATTCTGACCTGTCCTCCAGCTCCATTTTAAAATATAGACATTTTAGTATACTGTGATGTCAAATGAACACAACTTATTTCTAAAATTCTGTAAATGTGCATCTTAAATGTACGGGTGTATGCATCTAATTAAACTTTTTTTTCAAATGAATATTGAATATGTTTGCTAAAGAAAATGATAAATGTAATAATGTAATGACTCACCTCATCTTTTGATTTAAACCACTGATACTCCACAGGACCATTGGCTACAGCCTGACAGCTGAGACGCAGATTGTGCCCAGACACAAGAGCCACTGACTGGGGCTGAATGAGAATCTGTACAGCTGAACAAAAACATGATTTACTTTTAGTTTGTTTATTTATTCAACCATTTTATACATTTCAAACATACAAACAAAAAAAACTATAATACACTGGAAAAGTACATGACATTAAAGGGCTTAAAGGGCCCATATTACACTGTTTTCTGATCTCTGTTATAATATTGTTTCCTCATCAAAAACATACCTGGAATTGTGTTTTGTTTAACACATAAAGCCTGCATATTTAGTAGTTTATTTAGTATATAGAATAATTTGGATTTCAGCCCTGGAATGACCAATCTCTCCTGAACAAAAGGTAAAAGGTAGTTGTTTACTTGAAAAATATCACCAATTGACATCAGAAGAGCATTTTGAGCTTTGGAGATGTAGACAGAGTAGTAATAATAAAAGGTTACTCAAACGTGTGGATGCAACAAAACACAACTTCAAGTATGTTTTTCACGTGGTAACAACATTTTAAAAAGGCTTAAAGCTCACAAGAGTCAATTTTGTAAAATATACGAGCTTGGGATGGTCTTAGGACCATGGGATGTTCTTGTACCTGGAGGTTTGAGGCAGTCCAAAGCCTGAGTGTTGCCCAGGGTTTGAAGGTACTCGTTCAGGTGAGCAACAGTACATCCTCTCTCTCCCAGAAGCCTCAGCAGCATGTGGCTAGGACTACCCTCTACCTGCAACACCTTCAGAGAGCACATCTCCATTTCATCTGAGCTAAAAGAGTGATACACAACCATTAGTATAACCATGAATGAAGAAAGAGTTGTAAAATTAGTGTTGGGAAGTATTTTTAAGAGGATGGAGATCACGTTAGACTAAAAGAGGTAGGCTAATGGTACTCCTACTCAAAATCCATCAAAATAAAGACTATGAAACAAACATCAAAAGCCACTCACCTGACTTTAAACCGCCTGTCATTGCCAACAATCTCTCCAAGTTTTCGCCATCCTCTGTTATTATCAGATTTGTCCAACACTTCGCAAAGTTTCTTCAAAATGGGTTCCCTCAACAGGCTAATCTTCGTGGAGCGGTCTAAAGCATCCGCCATGGCAACTTTTAGATTAACTTTTTAAACCATTTGTTGTGCTTTTTAAGATGGTTTAGGACGTTAATCCGCGTAAATAAAAAAGAAAATATGCCTACTTCCTGGAAGAAAAGATAAAAGTGATACGAAACACACCCACTATTGCGCTCTTGGTTTTGGTTTTCCCCCACACGTAGCTGCACCCAAGATCGTGTAGGTAAGCAGATGCACCAGCTGCGCCCGTGGTTGCGCCAGGTAAAATCATGGAAGTATTTCAAATTTGGTGTTGAAAAGGAAGAACATGCTGTTCCATAGGGTGGAGCATGGAGGGAAGGACTCGAGAAATGTAAAATTATAAGTAATAAATGCAATGCAGCAACACCATCTATCGTTACGCACAGAGAGATTGGAACAGGCTATATGTGCCTCCATTACAACCTTGAATGCCAAAAGTTTTGGTTTCTTTGGAAAACAATAATATTATCATTTAAATCTCACTTTTTTATAATATATGTGTAGCCTCAAAAAAAGTGTTACATTGTCTAAATAGTTGGGACGCGGGAGGAGAACATGGACGGAACAGGAGCCGAAGACAGAAGCCAAATGATAGGTGGTGCTCATCCTATTCTGATATCAAACTTTGGTCTTTCAAACATTTCTGTAGGAATTATATTACCCCTTTAATTCAGATAATTAGGCCAAAATAGCTACATTTAGGCAACAAAACAATTCAACACTACGTGCGCAGTGATGGCGTGCGTAATTTGGCTTATAAATGGCAACTTTCGACAAAGCAAAATAATACACAGTTTATAACGACGTAATTAAAGGACTTTATCGTTTTAACTGAAATTATTATTATTTTTTCTCCTCGCCGTGATTCTGAGAAGTGAGCAGGCTCCTCCCTCCTGACTCCTATGGACAGGCTCTTCCTAGTCCATACCTGAGCTGCGGTGTCAAATGCACCGGTCTTGAGGTGTTGAAAGGTGCGTGTCTGCGGAAATGTCGTGACTGGACTACACTTTTTATATTCCTATGGATTTCAGATAAACTCCAATCAACACAGTGACTTAAGTAAGTTATTATCACTCATCATTAACTAAACTATAATGTTGTGTTTAGATCATACAGGAGTGATTATTAAATGGTAATGCGCAACTACTGCTGTAACCTAGTCATTTCCCTTCAGGTGGTGTAACTCCATAATCCTTTTTCATTTGTGTTATTACAGCCTACCTACATAATAGTAGTGCAATTCGTTTAAGAGGTTGTTGGAAGAGTAATAAATGAAAATTTATATCTGGTTATAGGGTTATAATTATATATTTAATAGCCTATGGATATGCTATGTTTTGAAATAGGTTTGAAGCTGACATACATCACGATAGTCAGTATATATTAAAAACCCATATAACAGGGTTGAACTTTATATAGGCTATTTTATAATTTAATCATGACAGCGGGTCGTACTTGAATCTCACTTGAAGTCCATAAATTCCGCCCCATAACAATCCACCTATGAGCGTGGATTCTTCAACCCTCTGAGCCCTCTCTTTTACAAACATGTTTGAAAATACATTAAGTCAAGAGCTCCAAAGATTGTTTACCTCAGAATGTGCACTGGTTGTTGCTCTGCGGTTAATGTCGATAAAAACACAGAAGAGACTTGAAAATACTCAATTTTGTGATTGACAAACAAGGCTGGCACAATGCACTTACAACATGATCATGCAACTGCTCACTAAGTTGTGTCATGTCCATCGGCTGATCTAGGATACGGAAGTTATTTGTGTAAACCCATACTTGAGTTACTATTTACTTTATGGAGCAGTAGTGTGGATTATTCAAGATATAAAGGACCTTGGCCAATTGTAGTGGTAGTTAATAAATCACTTTTTAGACAAACCTTTAGCAACAGCAGCCATCTCAGACTAATTTGTCCTGCTTTAACATGTGATTTGCATGTGATGACCTGGGCAGCAACATCATAGCCTGGCCTGCACACCAGTACCTTAAGTGCTGTATGCTGAGAGCCTGTTGGTGCTCATATAATCTTGTTTTCAGTCACAACACAATGCAAGACCATGACTTGATATCTCTACATGTCCTTTCATTTAAGCCTGACAGGATGACACACTGTACCAGACTAAAGAGGCTACTTGGCTGGATCCTGATCCTTCTGATTTCTGCAGTCTTTGAGTGTTCCAGTAAGTCCACATTGTACCTATATATATTTTGTCAGGTGGTCAGGCCAAACAAAATATCAAGCTTGGTTTGAATGTTAGACCAGCTGAGGACATACAGCTCTAAAAGTATGAGTAAGACTTCATTGGCTTAATATAGACTATTCAAGTAGAACAGACAGTATTTGAGAATAGAAATTCTTGGTACAAACAGATATGCGTGAACAACTAAGACACTGTGTAATTATGTGTATAATACAGAAAAGTCATTCCCTAGACTGTAGCTAATCAAGGCCCCCCTCCTTCCTGCTCTGTCCCTATCTTTATAATCCCATTAAAATATTTGTCAGATAAAAATGATGGCCATTTCAGATGTCATTGACCTACAAGTTGACTGTGACATAGTAATGTTATAATCTCTTGGGAAGGGTTAAAAACAGAATTATGTCTTGGTACAACTGCTTGAGATCCACTGTTGAATGAAATAAAACATAAAAGGTCTCAATTCAAAAAGATGTATTTGTAAAAGAGAAGCAAAGCTTTGAATGGGTCACTTTCACATGTGATAATTCTTACAGACATAACAATGTATAACATAACTTGTACAAGAGGTCTAACTTGTGCTTATTTGTGCATCTGCAATAATACAGTAACAAATTAAATAAGTAAAAAGAACAGAATCTGATGCATCTACGTGAAGAATGTGTTTTCCAGTACACCACTTGCTTTATTGTAGTCAATATTTTACTTCCCTGGTTTAATTTTCAATCAAACTGAAGCTTGTTTGTCATTTGTGTTGCCAGGTAATTCTCCTCCAGGGAAACCTGTTTTTAAGCTATGCCAGTCCCCTGATAAAGAGACGTTTACCTGCTGGTGGGAGCCAGATCCTGATGATGGAGAAGACACCAAATACCGTCTCTTCTATGAAAGAGATCAGTAAGTATATGAGGTAGTAAAAAATTACAGTAGTAAATTATTTCAGCTTGTTTTATAGCAATGACAATGTTAAGATAGTATTTGCTAGTCCATCAGACATGTGCTACAGCATGTTTGCAATGTCTTGATTGTAGTTCAAGTATTCAACAAAAATTGGATGAGCAGTAAAATACAACACACATTTCAAGTTATTTTCAGCTGTTATATATGTTCTGTAATAGGTAATATACTTGATAATGTAGTTCTGCATATCTCCCAACAAAACAACAGCTGTGATGTTATCCATTTTTAGATGTATCTCCCAGCTCAACTGTTTCTATGGAGATGGTGTAGAAAGTGGAATATGTATTTAGCACAGACTACAGGTCCTTCTGTTATGCATTAATTACTTTAGCCCTTGAGATTTCTGTGTTGAGAACCAACATGGAAAACCACATACTCACGTCTGTGCTTAATGAGCTGTGCGCAAGCCTTTGTTACCATTCACACACAAATGCAGTACCGCAGCATTCACTCACTCCATTTTAATCTATGTATTTTCGTCAGGGATTGCAACACCAGATACACAATTGATTTGTCAGATTTTTATGCCAGATGAACTTTCTGATATAACAGTGCTATGGGTGCAAAAAGAGTAAGATTATTTGGTTAATCGTTAATTGTGATTATTCCAGTAACATCATTGCAAGAATTAAAAAACAAAAACTCATGAAAGTCCATGCTCTAAAAAATTAATCTAAATGTAAATGTCTTTATTTTTCTGGAGATGTTATTGCTTTGTCTGGAATGTTACACAGTATGGTATTAGTATGGTATCTATCTTCATGGAGAGCAAACCAGACCAAACCAGACTAAGAGGCCACCCAGCTCGGTCAGAATGCCTGCTTTTCTAGGTATTTTGGAGCTATAAAACCACCTGTAATTGAATAAATATAGAGTAGAGCAGTTTAATGTCATACTGTGGAACATTCCAAGCAGAGCAGTGACATATCCATAGAAACAAGCAGGTGACTGACCCCCAACTAAAAAGTTACATAGTGCACCTTTAAAGCTGGTCTGGTCACAAACCAAATGAATGCAGATCATATTGTAAAACCAAGTGAATGATAGGCTTTACTGCTTTTTCTGTTGTGTGGTCAATAATTATATTAACATAACAAAATGGTAACAATGAAAATTGATACTGTAACACATAACACCTTATTCTATGTACTAGTATTATATTTGGAAGTACTCTATATTATTTACATTTTTCTACAGACAGGGGATCGTTGAGTGTGCAGACTATCGCACAGCAGGGAAGAACTCCTGCTTCTTTGACAAGAATCGCACCTCTGTTTGGGTAGAATACCTTCTCACTGTGGTGGCCTTCAATGCATTTGGAAATACTTCTTCTGATGTCCTTAAGATAGATGTGGTGGACATTGGTAAGATATTTGCTATTTTAATGTAGACAAAAAAGTGAAATAAAATATTAAAATATTCAACATAAACTGGTATCAGTCTTAAAGTAGATATAACTTTTGCTTTGATCTTTATCATTAAGGCTAGAAAGAGGTCAGCTGCTAACCTTATTATAGAGCCAAGTTGGATTATTTTGACACTGATTAACGAACCTCCCTGTCATATGTGTGGCAATAGCAAAACTCAACAATAACAATAGGCAAGGCAAGTTTATTTTTATGGCCCAATTTGTACATAAACTAATTTAAAGTGCTTTATGGGGTAAGAAAGACATGAAATTTAACTCTAACCATCTTATATACATCATTCATTTATGATTTTATCTGGACACGGGCTATTATTGGCACACTTTTATCATATTTAAGGTACTTTATAGAGTAAAAAAGAGATTAAAATTTAACTCTAACCATATTATATACATAATTCATTTATGATTTTATCAGGACATCGGCTATACTTGGCACACTTTTATTATATGTATTTATTGCTTTGCCCAAGAATGGAAAAGTACTGAGTGGGAGGTGATAGGTGGTAGACCTGTTAAGAATCAGGCTGAACAGGTTTGTGGCCTTGGTTGTTTACAGTGTCATACAGCGCTTTGTTTGACGACACAACTCCTCCTCGCCCTGGGAGAGTACTCTATAAAGTATCATTTTAGTTTAACCTTCAGCTGTTTTTATCATATTCGAAATACCTTTCAAGATGAATTGAAAATGTTCTCTGCAAACGCTGTAGTTTTTAGGCTATGGACATGTTCTGAAATGTATAGTTTTTTTGGCTTAGTTAGGCAAAGCATAATCTAGTCTTGTCTCAGAGATGTAAAAATATATATATTTTTTTTAATGTAAAATTTATTTTAAAATACCAAATCTAATCACTATCGCAAAACTTTTCAGAAGAAAATGCAAGTATATATTTTCCTTAATTTGTTCTGCCCTAGTAACAATTAATACATTTTCTGATATTTTCATTCATGAAACATCATGACCATTTCCATAGAAATTAACAATTCAAAACAAAATATTATACTGGATTATTATTTCCCCAAAAAGGCACCTATAACCACGAAACAATTGGTAACAACACTTGTAACATTCAGTATAACCTTGTATAATGTGTTATCATTCACCCAGTTTACAACTATGTATAAATCACACTGAACCTGTTGTTCCTGTTTTTACAGTAAAGGCCAATCCACCGGAAAATGTAACTGTACGACTGGATCTTAGCCAGGATAGTCCCACCATTCATGTCACCTGGAATCCTTACCATATTAGTAGCAATTATGGTTGGCTCACTACCAAATATCAAGTCAGGTTCAGGTTCAGTCAGGAGGACACTGAATCGATAGTAAGCCTGACTTCTTCTGACATTTCCATTGTTTACATTATTTATGGTCCGTTTCACATACTTTCTTTGGCTTATTTTCTTATTTCCATAGATGGATGCAGGCATACAGACACAATTCAAACTTTACAACGCCTCTCCAGGGAAGCAATACATAGTCCAGGTGCGGTGTTCAATTGACAATGGGCACTGGGGTGAATGGACCAACGCCACATACATTCAAATCCCAAAGGGTAAGTCTCTTCTATAGTTTTATATTTAACATCACTGTCCCTTATGTTACATTATATTATTCCTCTGCTTCTATTTCCAGCCGAACCTAAACAACAAAGTTTCTGGATTCTGGTTGCCTTCTTCTCAACCATACCATTTTTCGCAGCATTGTGCATAATATACATCAAGAGGAAATTGTATGTTATCAGCCTGTAAGGTTGTGATAAGTGCATAAGTATAATCAAGCTGACAGACTGTATTGTTTGTTCTCCAGTATCAAACAGTGGCTTCTCCCCCCTGTTCCCGGACCCAAGATAAAAGGAGTCGATGTGCATCTGCTCAAGGTACAAAAAGTGACACATGACAAAATGTAACCAGTGTAAGATTTTACAGGTGTGCATTTTTATTTTAGACTTAGACTTAAACTTTATTGATCCTAAAATCTAAAAGCTTTAACAGTTGGTTTTACATTTTTATTTACCAACACCTGAACCTAATTAAACCTTACAAGTTACAATAGGCAAGGCAAGACAAGTTTATTTGTATAGCACAATTCCTACACAAAGTGCTTTACAGAATAAGAAATACATTGAAATCACAATAAAAATAAATCAAAACATAAATAATCATCATAGAATTAAAAAGAGAGAGACATTAATTACATAAATTAGAGAGAAGAGTGTAGAATGAAAAACCTTTCAGTCATATGCGCAGCATAACAACAACAGAACCGTTTTGAGCCTGGATTTAAACAGCGTCAAAGTAGAGGCCTGTCTCACATCACATCACTTCAAGAAGACTGTTTTGGGTTTTAGCTGCGTGAACCTGAAAATCTGACTCCCCTTGTTTAATCCTGACTCTGAGCACCAGCAGGAGGCCGGTCCCTGAGGTCCTCAGAGTGTGAGATGGTTCATATGGCACTAACATGTCAGAACTTTGGTGTTTGACCATGGAGAGACTTGTACACAAGCAGAGCTGCTTTAAAGTCTATTTTTGTACTAAAGTAAAGTAATTTTTTTAAAGTAAAGTACATTTTTTAAAGTAAAGTACATTTTTGTAAATTTTGTAAAGTCTATTTTTGAATTTTGGTGTTCCGCCATGGAGAGACTTGTACACAAGCAGAGCTGCTTTAAAGTCTATTGTCTGAGCCACAGGAAGCCAGTGCGGAGACCTGAGCACAGCACTTATGTGTTCGTACTTTCTAGATCGAGTCAGGACCCGAGCTGCAGCGTTCTGGATGTACTGCAGCTGTCTCACAGGTCGTTTGAGACAATAACACTGCTTTTATCAACTTGCTTGTTTCACTGGGTCACACTAACATGCAAATAAGAGAAAAGGATTTCTTAGCTGTTGGTAAGCAACTGAATGTACCAAACATGAACCAGAAATACAGAATATTGATATAACCGTTTTCTGGAACAGCTAATTTGGTGGTATTCGGTATACAGTTACAGCTAAAATCAAAGGAATACTTGAGAGTACTTGATCACAAAATTTAGGCATTAAGTTGCACTGAATTAGTGAGAAAAGAAGAAAATACAGTTCTTGTAGCGAGCTTATGTATGATTTTTCTTTCTCTAATTAGTTATAGGAAAGGCAGAGCAAACAGTGCAACAAGCATAAACATGTTTTGTACATTATAATTTTAATTGCAATGCAAAAGTATTCCAAGTATTCAGGATATAATCTCTGATTGGACCGTGTATAGGAATATGCCACAAAAACATTTTAAAGAATGTATTCAGTATTCTGTAACTAAAAATACATTTTCAGAGTATTCTTCCCATCACTATACCCATTGAAAAACATTCTTCAAAAAAAAAAAAAAAAGTATTTCAGAGATGTTGAGCCAAGTGTTTGTGCTGATCAGATTTCCAAATCCATCAAATACCTCAAAAGAATCTTAACATCATTTAACTTAATGGAGTTCTACATCTAAGGATTTATGTGCCACGTAAAGGTACTGGATTATTTACACAAACTTGTACATCTCCATCACATCTTATGGCTTCTCTTTGATCAAGACCTACTGGAGGCTCACCATCACTTCAAATACTACTATAGGAAAGTACTTAGTAAAACACATGGAAGATGTAAAGCACTGTTTTTCTATAGTCTGGTGAACTAAAGAAAGTGGTGGAACAGCAGTCGGATTTATTGAAACTCATGAATGAGGAAAAACAATTGAGAAAATAATTTTAGATAAAACAAGACATGCCTACTTGCCACGCAATTCCTCAAAAACAAGCCAAAAGACCAAACATTATTGTCAGATTTGTGAGTAGAAAAGAAAGCTGAGTTTATGAAGGTTGCAAAAAAGCTCAAGGGCAATGGGGTTTTCATGAACAAACATCTAACAAAGTGGATGAGATTGCTCGGCAAACAGGGTTTTTGAGAAAGGAGATTAAATACAGGACACAAGGAACTGTAAAATAATGATAAAGCTTAAGGTGCCACCAGAACAGGCTGTGAAAATGATTCTGAAGAGGACATTAAGTTGGAAATGAAGGGATTCTGTCTCATACGTTTCAACAGCCCGAGTCTCAGCAACTTTTAAAAGATTAAAGACCCTTTTTTATCTGAATAAATATGTGGGAAAATTGTGGTGCTTTTGTGAGTTTCTCTACTTATCCAGAGCAAAATGCCAATTTTGCTCAATGGACTGATGTCACCACAAATGTGCTAAAAATGCTCATGCATTCAAGCAGGACTCAAAACAGAAGTAAAAAAAATACTTATAGTGGAGTATGAAGTTCAGATACCTGCTTTTAAATGTTAAGAGCTCAAGTAAAAAACAATAACAAAAACACACCTACAATGCAATTTCTAACTACAGCACCTTTCCTTTTTATTTTCCACGACTGTGCTGTGTTGCATAATATATGTTGTATATATTACTAAGATATATTTTACGTTTTTTCAGAATGGCCGGTCTGATGAGGTCACCAATGCTCTGCTCCAACACCCGGTCTTTCCGCCCATGACTGTCTGGAAAAACCAGGTGGAGGAATACCTCCCCGTGTGTGATGACAACCTGCTGGTTGGTACAAATGGGATGGTAAATTTGAACAAGTATGACTATGAAGCAAACGTCAATGAGGAATCGAATGAGCAAAATAATGTGGACCACAAAGAGGAAGTACAAACACTAGACTATTTTGGGGACATCAGTGAGTCTGGATTTGTCAGTGAATTGAATTGTGTAAATTCAATGGAAACAGAAAAGGCTCAGTCAATCAATTATCTGAAGCCGGTGCCAGTAGAAAACAGCAGCTATGTGGATATTATCCAACAGGACAAGAGCATTATAGCCCAGGACTATAGCACAATCGCAGACATAAGCGGGGAACACATCATACTGGAGAAACAAAATAACACCTCAGACAGTAAAAACACAGACATGAACAGACATGAGGAGGAAAGGCTGCCTGATGACTACACCAGGGTCAAGGAGGTCAAAGGTGACTACATGGTGCTGCTGCAGGATCCCTCCTGTGGAAATAATGGACAATATACAGACTGTGGCAACCACAACCCTCCACATCCATTGGACAAGGGGGGAGTATGTGCAGACTTCCTCTGTAATGATATGTTGACAATATCTCCACAATCACCATCATGTAACATGTCATGTGAGAAAACAAAATATGGCCTACTTATGTAGTAAATTATTAACCTTTATGTCTTTGAGTTAACTTGTTTTGTTATGCCTCTTGGTGGCAAACCAACAAGAACACTGTAACAGTGTTTGGTTAAAACAACGTGTGCAGTATAAGTATATGTATTATATTAGGGTAAAATAAGATTCAGGTTTTGCTGAATATCACACAGAAGACAAGAAAACAAGCCAAATACAGAACAATCATCTTATTTTGAAGCTTAATTTATTGCTAAATCCGATTAGTAAAATATAACATTCAAAATACACTTTCCTAGATATTTAACTTGTTAATATATACATTTTTTTTCATTGAGATTTTGTTTTGGAATGATCAAAGGCTTCACATTTCAACCCAAACCTCTTCCATAAAAAATAATGCAAATGTGATTGCAAAAGAAAACGTAACAATTAGTTAATGTTTCACAGAAACAATACACATCTAAAGCACTAGTGTATTGATTATTGTCACTAGATTTAAAGGCTCCTAATGAATTTACACAAATCAAACTACATGCAATAATTTGTAACAAGTCAGATTAACTGGGATTCAGTACAATTTACAATGCCTGTTTCCAATTTATGTCCTCAGTTTCAAAATTTTAATCTCCTTCACTTTTTCTATATTGTATTTGAGCAAAACTCAAGGTAATTCTCTAACTGTTGTAGATTAAATAACTGTTTCTATTATGTGCATATTTTGCAGTGCTCAAAATAAATGCTTTAACTGCTGTAGACAGTGCATGATAGTCATGAATATGTCTCAAACTGTTTGTCAGAACTTCCAAATAGTTTTCATTCAATATTCATACATTCATAAAAGTGTCTATGTAATTTTTAATCCAGACATAATTTCAAATTAGGAATACTGTGTAAATCAACTGCATTGTGGACTGCCAGATCATTCATCCACTCCTTGTATTGGCTTTGGCTCTTAATTTATTTTAGATTCAAAGTGCTGCCCCGCTGTCAGCTCATGCCATCATCACTGTGTTCTCTGCATTCACTATCCAAACACATGGAGCTCAACTGTTCCTCAAAATTCATATATGTATGGTCGGATTCCTTTTCTAATAATTTTTTCCATAGTTTTACTGAAAAAATAACAAATTAAGAGTTATTTTGTGCTTTCCAAAAATGTAAACAGTCTCATAAAAACAAACTGACTTACTGTACTCAGGCTCCTCTGACAGAGTACCATTTGGACCGGTCAGTATCTGGTCTGATGCAAGTGACTGTTCGGTGTCTGCTGAGGTCTCCGACTCTGTTTGCTCCAGACTCAAAAGCATTGCTTCATATGCTTTTCTAGCCTCAGAAGATAATTCTATCATCTTATGATAGATGTCCTGCAAAACCAAACAAATGTTTTTCAGAAACATAAGAGCAGCAGATAATAATTCAGATGCTGTATTAGACTAACCTGTGCACCATCAAAGTTGAAGATACCAACTAGACTCACTGGCACGGCCTTCTTAACACAGCGACCCAAAGCTTTTCTGGACAAAGCGAAGATAAACGGCACTTCCTGTTCACGACAGGTATCAATGATACTGTGGAGAGCTTCATCCAAGCCTCCTGCAAAAGTTAGGATCAGTATAATGGCAAAGCACACTATATACAGTCCCTGACAAAAGTCTTGTCGCTTATCCATTTTGTAGAACAAAAGCTTATAACCTGACTTTAAATTAATCGATTGGTTTTAGAAATGTCTCATATGAAAGCTAAAACCCTCCCAAATTATGCTCTATATACTAAAATACATTTGCTTCACTGAAGAAAGATTGATCATTTAATGAACACAGAAAGGTCAGATTTTGGCAAGACAAAAGTTTTGTCACCTACAGAAAATTGAACAAATAATTTACTTCAAATACAAAAATATGTTGCATAACGTCAGTGAATTAAGTAGTGGTGCTGTGAGATCCATATTTAATATCTTGTATGACTTCCATGAGCTTGAAGGACTGCATCCATGCGGTTCAACAATGATTCATACAATTTGTTGATGAAGTCATCAGGAATAGCAAAGAAAGCGTCTTACATGCCTCCCAGAGTTCATCAAGATTCTTTGGTTTTGCCTTCCATGCTTCCGCTTTCATTCTACCCCAGACATGCTCAAAGATGTTCATGTCTGGTGACTGGGCTGGCCAGTCCTGGAGCACCTTGATCTTCTTCGCCTTGAGAAACTTTGATGTAGAGATAGAAGTATGCGATGGAGCACCATCCTGCTGCAAAATTTGACCCCTTTTATGGTTGGGAATGTAAGAGGTAGCTAATACTTCTTGATATTTTAGGTTATTGATATTGCCTTCCACCCTGCAAATGTCTCGCACACTCCCATACTGGATGGAACCCCAAACCATGATTTTTCCTCCACCAAACTTAACTGTTTTCTGGGTGAATCTTGGATCCATGTAGGCTCCAGTAGGTCTCCTGCAATATTTGCGGTGGCTGTGATGTAATTCAACCGAGGATTCATCTGAGAAATCCACCTTCTGCCACTTTTCCAGTGTCCATCCTTTTAGCAGGCTGTGGGCCTTGGCAAATGCCACACGTTTTTTTAATTGTCTTTTGTTTAGTGCTGGTTTCTGTGCATTGATTTGATCATGGAGGCCATTTCGAGACAGAATTCTACAAACTGTTCTGGTTGACACAGGGACTTGAGGTGACCAGGCCTGGTGGAGTCTGCTGCAGTGGAAAAGGGGCTGGCCTTGGATTTTCAAATCAACAAACGGTCCTCCCGAGCAGTTGTCTTGCGGGGTCTGCCGGACCTGGGCTTGTCAAAAACATCTGCAGTCATTTCAGATCTTTTTCTTATTCTTTGTACTTGACGTTGAGACACATTGAAGGTGTCAGCCACCTCAGCAGTGGATCTGGTCTTCAGCCTCTTGATAATTAACGCTTTGGTCTCAGGGTGGATCTTAGGCATGTTGTCAGAGGTCAAGTTGCAGTTGATGTGAAGGTCTAGTGTGCTGGGGTTCTTTTTATACACACCCACTAATTGATTGATCAGTAACTGATCACAGGTGAGGCTGTAATCTAGGATTGGGTGCATCATATGACAAGGCGACAAGACTTTTGTCTTGCCAAAATCTGACCTTTCTGTGTTCATTAAATGATCAGTCTTTCTTCAGTGAAGCAAATTTATTTTAGTATATTGAGCATAATTTGGGAGGGTTTTAGCTTTCATATGAGACATTTCTAAAACCAATCGATTAATTTAAAGTCAGGTTATAAGCTTTTGTTTCTACAAAATGGATAAGCGACAAGACTTTTGTCAGGGACTGTATGGTATCCTGAAATATTTCAGTATAAAACAAAATAGATTTTAACTAAATGAAAATTAACCTTTGGCCTGGCTGCGCTCACAGTTCGGTGAAATTATGACACATTTGACCTTTCTGAGTTTTAGGTGTTTGAGTACTTCCCGCAGACCCATGACGATCCGCCTTTTCATGTGAGCCTTCATTGGGTCTTTTTGGTAGAGACGATCCTGGAAACGCACCAGTTCCTTCAGAAGTGTTGTGACGCATTCATCCACATCTTTGCTGAGCATTTGTGTGCAATATCTGCACACAACACACAAAATGCCATGGTTAAAAAAAATATAGAACAATTCCTGATATAAATTTAAAATAGGTTTGAGTATTTACTCTCTGAACTTTCTACTGTGGATTTTAGGTTTATCCATCTGGGTCGTTGATGTTGAAGTGATCAGTTCTTGGGAAGGTTCCTCATCTTCCTCTTTTTCATCATCATTCAATTCAATTTGATCACCAAGTTCTTCTGTAGGACTCAGCGTCTCATCTGCTCATATATAAAAACATTAAACAGTGATTTTAGATTTTTTACTGTACAATGACATATGACATTGTTATTTACTTTTTTTTTTTTACCAAATAATGATTGAAATGTGGTGAATGAGGGCTTCTAGAGAGTATTTATCTACCACTGATATAAATCATAAATGGTCATTTGACATTTTGATTCAATAATGTTGCCATCTTTCTAGGAAAATGTCTTTTGGCATGTGGTCCAAATAGTGATCAATGATCAAAATATGCTGACAATTATTTGAATCCTCAACAACTCCTAATTAATCATTGCAGCTCTACAATACATGTGCTCTTATTTGACCTTTCAATCCTCCAAAGGTTATATAAGGCTTGTATAACCTGCGGCACTTGTTTCACAGTCTTCCTCCTCCGCCACCTCATCTGCATGTATGGACTTGCTTTCAGGCAGTTCTCCTCTCTCCACAAGCAATCGCCTCTGCTTCCTCTCCTCTCGCTCCTTCAAAATTACCTTCAACACATTTTTTTTTAAAGGTGTGCTGTTAGTTTTCTGGTGGAGGGTCTAATTGCTTTGCCTGGAATGGAACTTATCCATCTCCATAGAGACAAGGAAGTACCACCACCAGGCAATTAATGTCCTTCATGCATGATTTCATAAGTTAAATATCGTACTATGGAGTATTCCAGGACAAGCATGTGACTGAGACTCACCCAGAAAAGCTACATAGTGCACCTTTAAGCAAATATAGAATCCATGGGTTTCAGACGAAAACATTTGCAATGTTGTCATAGCAATTAAAAATTTAAACACATCTTTTGAATGGTCAAAAGTCCTAAAATGTAACTATTATACATGGTGAAATACCTTTTTAAGAGCAGTAGGTTTTTTAGCTTTTGGCACTTCCCTCTGCTTGCCTTTCTTGACCAATGGGCTTGTGGAGTCAAGAGGATTGTGTGCGATTTTGCCTTGTATAATAGGTTTCTTCTGTACAGGTGGTTGCTTAGGTACCACAGGCAAACCTCCACCAACTAAAAACACATGATACTTTTACTGTGAGCCATCAGCCCTCAGTTTTAGTACAGAGACATTGGCATAACCTGAAAGCGTGAGAGGCTTCGTGTCCTGCTTGGCTTTCTGTGATTGTTTCTTTTCTAGGACTGCCAGCATGTTTCCAATATCAAGCTGAACAGGCACTTTGCTCTTTTTACCTGAAACCTTTTCAGCTTTCTGCAAAGGGACAATTTTATTTTTCACATCAATAAACTTTATACAGCCTGTGTAGCATACTGTACCTGGACTTTTAGGGCCTCTGTAAAAGGAGACTTTGCACTTTGGGTTTTGTCCTTTTTCTGATCCAGAGGCTGTTGAATGCTTTGTATTTGGTTTTCCTAAACAATAAGAGCAAATGTCATAATATAAACATCCTGTTGAGATAAAAAAAAAAAAAAAAAAGTCTAAGTGCATTGAAGAAAGTCAGGGTAAAGTAATTAGATAACTACAAGAAGCTACACCTAATGTGAAACTTACATTGTTGCATAGATGTGCTGGTTTGCTTCTGGTCAATAACTTTCCTGTTCCAGTAAAAGAAGGTGTTAAGCCCGGAAACTCCTCTTCATCCTGCAAAACAAATAATAAATTATGAGCTCATGCTAGCAGGCGATTTTATTTTCCTGTGATTAAAGAAATATTACCTCAAACCGTGGTGGGTCCTGATACAGTATATTTTTATCGGATCCAGTTTCCACATCTTGATCTGCACCCTTTGTTTTTTTCTTTTTCTTCTTTCGTTTTTTCTTGCCTGTGTTCCCTTCCTCCTCTTGCTGTGTTATTTCATCAACCTGTAAGAAGAGCAAAAAGCACACAGAATATTCAAAACATTTCATCAGTGCTGCATACATGTTCCCTGTCAAAAGAAAACGTTTTTCTTTAGTAAATACAATTAAATAATGTGAAAAAGAATAGAACTTAATTCATAATTTTTAGGAATCAGAAATCTGTGTTCATGGCTTATTATAGACAATCACATACAATAAAACTGTATAAAATCAGAAGCTCAAAATAAACGAAACAGTCATTTAAAAATGTCTTACTTGAGCAGGCTTGGTAGCATCTTTCAGAACTGGCTTTTTGGGAGGCTGAGAGGCAATATTAGCCCAGGAGCTTGTTACAGAACCAGGAGCTGCAAAATATTACACAAGACAGAATTCACCATGTTTATCATTTACAACAGATTCCTTCCAAGCAAAATAAAAGGTTCTCTACCCATTGCATTGCCTGATGAGTTGGGAATCAGGTCTGTATGTGGGAGCATACACTTGGCTGGTGGCTTATAATTTGTTGCTGGTGCATTTTTATTCACCTATTAAAAACAACAACAACAATATATTTTCATTACAGTGTTACTGCAACCCTAAACAATGCATATATCAGGATACGATGCAAAACCTTCCATGCCGCATCTGAATTTTCTCCTGAATTTTGGTTGGGAGATCCCCAGCAATGTCTCTGAAAACTGGGGTCTCCTTGGTCCACAAAGATGCCACTTAACTCTGGGAATTCAGACATTTTGATTTCAAATGTAGCATCTGGCATCTCCATTCCTGCAAGAAAAAAAACAAGTAAATCCTTTAAGAGCCAGTATATAATATCTTAATATAATAAAAATATTTAAAACAGACCACTTCTTTTCAAATCCTTTCTCCCATGTCCAGGACTTTTAGGGTTTCCCACTGATGTCTTAAGTAAAAAAAAACAGGACATGATTGATAACTTTACTTAAAATGATATAATTTAACTGATAAATAAACCTTAGTGAGTGGATCCCCTGTGGTCTCGGTTTTTTGCCAAATAGTGTTCGCTCTAATTTTTGGTTTGTTGTCTAGATGTCTCCCCAAACTTGAATTGTCAGCAGCTGGTGACCTCCGGAATGAATGGGTCCTTTAGAAAATAATGTATACAGTGAGCTAAGTACATGGCTCTGTCTGGAACATAATTACACACAGCAGAATTGTAGCAAAGGTACCCTCGTAAACTTGGATTGGACTTGTATGGGTTGGGTAAAATTGCAGTGGTTGATGCCGCTGTCAGTGGCTCCCTCTTCTGTCTCCTCTGTGACAGATCACGCTCCTAAACACACGTTACAAACTGAGTAAATCAATTCAGCGACCTTTGGCTTTATGAAAGTCTAGTTATTCATGGCCAACATCGCAATAAAGATACGGCTGGTCTCTGCGCAACTTATACCAAAAGGCGCTCTTCACTAACTTTAATATAGCGTTAAGATTAAACTTGGCTGCACTTGATTGGAAGCTCAGAGTTGATCATTATGGAGAACCTGTCACTAATCAGGACACACTTTGTATTTTATTTCCTTCCTAAACATCTAATGGCTCAACCTACACATGCATAACAAACACAGTCCACGCTGTATCTTTTAACTATTTTATCAACATGCAGTCATACAGTAGAGTGCTAGCATATTAGCTTACCGTTAGCAAGAAGCTAACGTGTATTAGCCTCAAATGGAAACACTTTCTTACCTTGTCCATCTTTGGGTTTTCTTGTACACTGTCAGAGCAATACGTACATTATTCCTATTATCTTTCGAGCTCTAACGCTTAACAGAAATATAATTTATCAATGACTTCATGTTGGATTAGCTTCTCCAACCTGTTACATGCATAGAGAGCCAAGTGCGCAGGTCATGGGCTCATGTTTACATTGAGCCAAGAGGTATGGGGGACATCTAATGGACAAGGTAGGTAATTGCACTACAATTCGTTCGTAGACTGTATGCGGTATAGTCTTTTGAGAAAATAATACTTGTTTTTCAGAAACAAAGATAAATTAAAAAACAACAACATTCTTTTCTTTTATTACAAAATAAATATATTAGTTGTTAAAAGTGTTAAAAGTATAAAAACATAGGCCGATAAAAGGCAACAGGTTCATTTTTGTTCACATGCTTACATAAAGTTCAACAATTCCTTATAATAAAGTCATGGCACTGCAAAAGGCTGTTTGCTCATAGATCATCATTTGTCCTTATTGTCCTGTAGGCTCCAGTCAATACTTAGATGAGCCAAAGGTACAATGAAAGCTGCAGATGAGAGCAAAAAACACATTTTGGCTCCGGCTACCCAGTAAACTGTGAAGTACAAAGAACATTAGCAAAGACCACAAGAATAAATTTACATTATGACAAAAAATAATATTATTGTGTCATGGATTCTTACCAGTAGAAGACACAACTGGGCCCATTGCTCTGGCCAGGGCACCCAAACTCCGCAAGATCCCCATCACTGTCCCTTTCTGACTAACAGAGCCTGGACAAGAGTTATGACTGATAAGCAACTTCAATATGGCATTGTAGTAAAGCCATATACACTCAGTGATTAAAGCTTTTTAAAAGTGGGTGAAGGGGAAACATACCATATTCAGACACCAGAGTTGACAGACATGGCACAACTATTGCAGCCGCTGTCAACAGAAAGTATAAAATTAAAACATCCATTCTGTTCAATACTAACCCCATATTTAGTTAAAATACATGAAATATTGGGGGGGAAAAAATCCATGTCAGCAACTCACCGAAGGAATACAGAGCCAGGCCAACATACAGCATAGTTACATTCCAGGAGAATCCAATGAGTATAAATGCTGGAATCAATGTAACCATTGCCTAAAATACAGAATATACAATCAATAAGTCTCCACATTAATTAACAGAGAAAAACTGGGAAAAACTGTTATTTTGATCATACCATTTGTACATTCTTTATGTGTTTCCCAGGTTTGATCCGTCGAGCATAACCTCCCTGGATCAAAGCCATGACGATACCAATGAAGAAAAACATTTTACCTTGCTGCATGCTGGTTAAGACATAGGCCAGTAATTTGGTAAGTAGATGTGGTAGTCTATACATACGGTTAATATTTATTATGCAAAACACCTTGTGAATTTGAAGCGCTGGTGTGTCAGAAAACTGAGTGTAAATTCCAGACCAGAGAAGAGGAAAAGATAACAAAAATAAATAAGACCCAATCTTCTTAGTTTTTCCATCCCTGTAAGAATACAGCAATCATTGGTTGATTCACATAAATATACAAATCCATGTGAATGTAAAGCTCACTTTGCTTTGAAGGAGAATCTTTAGATCTGCTAATAGCTGAGAAGCACAACAAAGATACAGGGTTTAAGAGGTCCCTGGAGTGACCGGAGAAAGTGGTCTTGAAAGAAAAAAAACAAAAACTATTTAATTTTACATCCCTATACCATTCAGTATTAGTCCTACATTTACCTTGTGATCCTTTCTTAGTGTCTCGGGCAACACAAGCCAAATAAAGAGCAGGTCCACCACACTGAAGGCAAAAGCAAGCAGAGCGGGGGTCTGGTGAAACACATGTCCTTCCCCTGATGTCCTGGAGCTCATTGCAAAATAGGCCCCCATTAGAGGTCCAACAGTGAAGCCCAGTGAAAAGGCAATGCCTATCATAGCCTGAAGACAGAAATAGCACAGGTAAGACCAACATCTTTTTCAATGTTTTCAGCTTCTAATTACTATTTAATAAATTATGGCTGTACACACCATTCCCCTGTTCCTTGCTTTTGGACAAGGCAAGTCAGCTACAATGGCAGTACACAGGCTGACATTGCCCTTACAAATTCCTCCAATTATACGAAACAAAAGAAACATGGTGAAGTTTCTGGAAACTGCCCACACAGCATATGAGGAGATGAGCCCCAGCTGGAAAACAAACACTCAATCGAATAAAGGACTCTTACATATCAAGACATTTATAAAGATAATACTACTAAGAATTTGCTTGATGTTTATACATAATGATACTCACTGTAGTGACCAGAAGCAAGGGCCGTCTACCATATTGGTCAGACAAAGCCCCAGTAACAGGTGATGACAAAAACTGTAACAGTGAGAAAAGTGACCCAATCAAACCTGCAAAACAAAACAAATCACACAAATTGATCACACGATCTTTGTTAAAGGTGTACTATGTTTCTTGCATCCAAGGAGATTTTCCAGTGCATGGCATTAAACATAAATATCTCACATTTATTCAGTTACATATGTTTTAATTGATCACCTATACCTCACAGTATGCATTAGTGAGTGGGGTTACCTCTCCACAGATCTAACCTGTAACTTGGCCCTGTGGCATCACCTGTTTGTCTTAATGGAAATAAATACATTTTAACTATGAACAGGCCAGGCAAACAGTAACATCTCCACAAAAATGAAAAGATATGGCAGATCATCCCCAGAAAATCTGCATAGAGGATCGTTTAATAACATGAATATCTGAAGAAAAAAATTGTCCCATACCTCCAAATAGAACAGTGTTGTATTTCTTATCTAAAGGAATCCCAATAGACTCTCTGAACCAGTCCACAGCACCCTGCATACACTGATAGACACCATCCTGCAAGTGGAAGAATAGGAAAAAGAAAAAGAAAACAAGAGTGAAAGTTAATTTAATTCTGCATGAATGAGCTGGCATCTGGCATCACAGTCTCTCTGAACTGTCATGTGTGTCTTCTCTACACAAAACCTCCTTTGTTTGATTCCCGGTCTCTTTGTCAGTAGCCCTGTTTTAACATCTCCAGAACACTCTTTGTAAAGTAAATATTAGAATATACCTCTTCTTGTGAGTAGTGGTCCAAAATTGAAGGCAGCAGAGGCAGGATCAAAGTAAAACCAAGCAGATCCAATACAAGTATGATGAAGACTATGTTGATGATTTTGGCTGAGAAGGACCCTCCTTCCTTTTCAGAGTTGTTTATATCTGACATTTTTCTGGGAATAGAAAGAAACACCATGGTCCAACACAAGTTAGTTGGACCATGGAGAATGGTCACAACAAATCCAAGGCTTAAATATGGGCAACTTATGTAGGCTGTGGCAGTGTTATTGCAAAGCACACCCTTTTTCCTATTAATGTGTATGGTTAGTGCCTGTAAGGAACAAGGAAACAATGATAGTAAAAATAGTAATAAAAAACAATCAAACAAACTTATCGCTTTAAATGCCTAAAGGTAAACCCTGTTGATTCCAACCAATTCCTTACAGGAAGGCAGACAACTTGGCATTTTGAGATATCGCCTAAACAAAGCAACAAGTTGTACTTACCTTTCCGAGGCAGCGCTCCCCTGATTCTCTCTTCAGCCCATTACTATTAGTCCATACCAGGAAGCGGTGTCCTCTTACACTTTTCGGAACTCGCGTTTGAGACAGAGCCCATCCAAGCACCGCCCAACCAAGGGGAGGGACAGGAGGTGCCTTTATTTACCTTGCTTTATAACAGTTAATCAAAGGTCCGATTATTCCGCAAACTTGAATCTAGTGAGCTTTAAGTCATGTTATAGTCCCCAAAGTCATGTTATGGTCCCCAAAACATACCTAGAGTTGTGTTTGATTTCATTACACGTTTTAGTAACTAATATCAATCTATATAAATCTCGAAATCTCAAAATGCTGTTCCACCATGTGATGTTATGTAGTGCTGGTAGTTTTCAAATTAACAATTAACCTTATATGTTTAATTCAGGAGAGCAATTTCTAAGCTGAAATGATCCAAATGAATCTAGTGAATATGTATAGAGTTTAAAAACACAGTGGGGCATTTCCTGTTTTACCACATGACATCACCAAGTGGAAGAGTGTTTTTAGTTCTAGAAAAGAACTCAGCTTAAATATGCAAGATTTGTGTGTTAAACATGTGTGAATGAAACAAAACACAACTCCATGTGTGTTTTGATGAAGAAATATTACAACATACTTGTAGATCAGAAAAGTGTAATATAGGCCCTTTAAATGGACTCTTTGACAAGAATGATAAAACTAAAGACAAGGCATAAAAGCAACGTATTTAACCGACAACATGAAAAGGTCTTTACACAAAAGCAAAACCGTATAAAATATTTGTCATTTCTATGATAGCTTATAATTAAGTTCAATTATACATGTAATAAAAGAGCAGGAAGATCACATGAAGATTTACATTTTATTCAAATATGGATATTACAGTAGGTAGGCTATATAAACATAAAATTCAATGTGTCATCACTAAAAGTTCCCAAATAGATTCACAAAAAAATAAAACATATTACCAAAAAATATTAAGGCAATATGATTTTTGAGGTTGGCTTGGTTATAGAAGTTGAACTCAAAACATTCTGTATTTGCAATATTAGCTTTATTTCTAAAACGTGATTTATAGAAAAAAGAATTAAAACTTCAATACCTCTATAAAATGCATGTTTAAGTAAAAAAAGAGAAATCTAGAAAGAAAAGTACCCATACATCAGGCTTGCAATAATGACAACATACAAATATTTACAAATGATCAATCTATTGCCTCAAAATACTGTTACATTCCGTGTCTCATCATGTGGCGTTCAAGTTCTGAAGTGTTTGAGAGACTTCTTCCACAATAGTCACAAGGGAACACATTCACTGCAACTCTGTCCGTGGCTGTAACATAGAAAATTAAGGTAAATTGGAACAGTTTTTATAGGTTACGTTCACATTCTATAATTTCAGAATGTCATAAATTAGAACAGAGGCCAGTATATCTTTGGGAGATTCAGTGCGTTTGAAAGAAATGTCCAAATTTATAATCCATAAATGTCAAACCTTATAATTGAATCCACAAACTTGACATATTCAAAACATGGGTTAAAGTCCATTCAACTAACAACAATCACGTCTTTGCGGCTGAATAATAGCACCATTCACTAAGCCTGTCATGACAGCACATTTTGAAGTGTGATGTATTGCTCAAGAAAAAATAGCCAATAAAAGATCATATTTAAACTAATTTATGTCACTGACAAAAAAAAAAAAAAAAACAAGAGCAAATTTAAACCACAAAACTATTCAAAATCTACAATATAGTTAAAAAACCATTAACAGCAGAATGAAACACTTTAGTTCTTAGTTTGCATCTGTAATGAGTCATAGAATTAATTCAACCTTTTATGGCTTAAATCTAATCATTTAGTCAAAAAATAACCAAACATTACCCAGTTGTGCAAAGAGTTCAGACAATAAATACTGACCCCAAAATGTATTATTCCATCTGTCATGTATTGAAGAAGTTGTTATAGTAATTATCAAGTCAGGCTGACCAATCTCTGAAGTACAATCTCTATCGCACAAACATAATTTCAACCGACTTAAAAACTAGCACAAAGTTTAATATCTTCTTTAGTTGTATAATTTGTTTCATGTGGATAGTAAATACAGAAATTTTAACCATGAATTAGGTTAACAAGTCTGCAATCTGACAGACAAAAGGATAGTCTCCCATAGAAATCTGACCGGTCTTCCAGCTCAATTAAAAGCTAAAGGCATTCTTGAACGCAACCAATTTAAATACTACTATAATACTTACCCTGCAATACAGGAGGAGAGTTGTGGGCTTCCTGTAAACCATTTTCCATGTCATACACTTCAGAGCTTTCCTTGTCACATCCGTCCCTCATCATTGAACATGGAAAATTCTCAGAGGATTGTGCAAAAACAAGACGTTGCTCCTTGAAATATTTCTCTAATATTGGCATGTCTCCATAAGGACACTCCTCAGCACTTTTAGTTTTATGTTGGTTTTCTTGAACCTCTTGGCTTATTTTAGGAGCCACAGAGGTAGACATCTTTTCAGGTACAGTATTGTGTATGTCTGTTGTTTTTTTACAGTCCTGTTTTGAATCAAGAGCGGCCACACTGAGCATCTTTGAATCATTTTCTGTTGTATTGTTTTGCTTTTCATGCTCCATGTTTGCATCAATGCTTTGAGGGTTGTCTTGAGACAGATCTTCCTCCACACACATAGGAGAGCTCTCTGATGCATCTTCAGCAGCTTCTGAAGCACTCTGCATTTTGGGGCTATCTGAGTTACTGAGATTTTCTTCTGCATCTTCTTGATTCTCATTTGACTGCTCATTCTTGTTCTTCATAATTGTCTCATTATTTTCAGGGTCATACAGCATTTCATCACCGTCATTTTGAGGAATTCTGTCTTCTATGGATTCTAGCTGATCGAGACAAACTTGGCCCACTAGCTGATGGTTTCGTAGAACCTGATGAATAAAATGCAAAAAATTAACAATGACAAACTGTTAATATGCAAATACATGAAATATAAGAATATGATAATATGATAGAGGTCATAATGATAGAGGGCTATTGAAGTCCTTGGGTGATTTAGTTTTTGTTAAAGACCATGCTCCATAAATTTAGAACCTCATTATTACTTGTTAGGGATAGGCTCCATAAATGTGCCATATCTTATATCTTCAAGAATAAAGACATCACTTTTGAAAACTATTATGAAAAAAGTATTTTTGTTTGGTTTATTTATACTGACAGAGAAGACTTGTCTGCCAGTTTCTTGTGAATACACCCCGTAATTACAGAGATATGAACCAAAAACTGGTCAATAAATCTGCAATCTGACAGTTTAAAAGCAAATTCCATCACATGACATGAACAAAACCTATTAGGACATTCCCCACCTGATGCTTATCACACAGATGTGCCTCCAGTTCCCTCAGCTGTGTACAGTCAAAGTAACACAGTCGACACTTGAATGGTTTGAGATCGTTGTGTTTGGCCATGTGTAAATGCAGACTGTCAGCACTTCCACTGGTAAAAGTGCACTTGTAACATCGGAAGACAATCCCTTGAAGGTAACGTGACAGTTTTGACCGGCGCACTTCAATTGGCATAACTCGTTCCTCTATAAAACAATAGAATATAAAACAATTAAGAAAACATTTTAATTAATACACAGTATTTGCTGGGAATAAAACATACCACGATGCAGGACAATGTGATCAATCATGTTGTTCTTGTTTTTTGATTGATAAAGACAAAAAGGGCAGCAGAGGTTCTTAAGGTGTGTGGGCTTGGACTGGAAAGTAGAATGTCCCATTTGCTCATGTAGATCCAGGTTTTGTCTGGAAGCAAAGTATTGTTCATTGGTCAATTTAAAATATTTTATTAAAAATATAATTACTTACTTAAAACAGCTGAAAAAGTTGCAGTCCTTGCATCGGATAAGCTTTTTGCCATGACGCCTCAAGTAGTGGCGTCTCATGTTGGAATAGTGCTGACAGTTAAAATTGCACATTTCACATGGAAGCATCCTCGGGTCACTCAGCTGGATATTTTGTGTCTTTGATGCTGGATCTACCTGAGCCATAATATTGTAGTGTTTTAACTGGCGCTGTACATCTGGGGGCTCCAGGTAAGAGTCTGGGGATGAAAAACAAACTTTAAGGCATGCAGGTACCCATTTTTATAACTACACCTTTGTTAAACCAATAAACACAGACGTGGTTTCGTAGCTCCTTAATTTGGAATGAGGAGTTTGGGAATTAAGTAGTATGTAGGGCTGAAAAAGCTGATTTGCAAATTGTATACATTCTATACATCACGTCTTTGTTCATGCTTTATTAAGGCTATAAAAAGTAGTTATTATAATGTGTTACAAAGACTAAAATCGCAAAACTGATAAGTTTTGTTCAGACTTTTATCACTTACTTTCAGGTTCATCATCATCAGCATTCATGTCATCCACACCATTTTGTGGAGCGTCATTATCTCTTTGTGCAGCCTTGTCCAAATGTTTATCCACTTCAGCAGAGTTCAAAACATCTATACATACAGAGGAATATGTTAAACTGGTCAACACATGCCAGTAGTAACTAGCAGTACTAGTCTAAAATGTAATTATACTCACGTGGATGTTTTTTTATTATATGGTTTTTCAACAGGCTCAACACCGGTGTTCGATAAGTACAGAGTGCACACATAAATGGTCTTGTAGTCCCAGTTCGGTAGGTTATGTATTGATTAATGCTGTTGGGGGGATCAAATATACTAATAAATTAATGTGAAACTCTTGTCAACAGAATGTCTACTTCATAATATTATATTTAAATGTGCACTATGTAACTTTGTATCAATATGTTATTAAATTGTGTAGAATGTTCCGCACTATGGCATTAAACTCTTGTATTCATCAACTCCATAAAGCGTGAACAAACATTAATTCATTGTTTAAAAATACAATAATGAGCTGTGTCACCTCTACAAAGATCTAACCTGCAACTTGGGCTCTGTCATCTAATGCTTCTCAAAGGAGATTGGCAAGTTAAATGCCATAATGTGGAACATTACAGGCAAAGAAATAACCTCTATAATGAAACAAGCAGGTGGCAGACTCCCCACCTTTACAGTATATATATTATGTACATTTGCATTCATAACCAATATGTATTACACTTTCAGCTTGGGGACTTTTTTTTAAAACACCAAAACACTCCTTACCGCTCCTGGGAGTCTGAGGTAGTTGCGATGTCCAGTGCTGCTAAAGCTGCATGGCTCCGTTCATGTGATCGCAGTCCTTTGAGGGACTTGAATGACCTCTTACAGCGTAGGCAGTTGTGAATACCTTCAATGTACTGCTCCTCTGAGACCTCTGGCACTTCAAAGCCCGAATGAGAGGAGGCTGATGCTGAATGACTGATGACTGCCTCTTCATCCATCACATTTAACCCAGTCTCCTCTTCAACTGGGTTCAAACTGGGGACTGTATCTTCCTCAGTAACCTACAGAAATGAGAGTACAGTCAGTATATTATTACTATAACACAGATCTGTAAATACACTTTCACTTACTTTAACTTCCAATTCTTTTTGCTTCCTCAGCCACCTTGCTCTGTGTTGATCCAAGTGTTTCCAAAGATTTTTAATCCCAAACAGTTTCTTTTTGCAGTAATTACACTTGTAAACTCCCGTTGACCTATCTCTTCTTTTTGCTATAATTGTAAAGTCTATTTGCATCTCAGAAATGTGAAATGTTCGGTAGTGGACCAGAAGTCTGAATTTTGACTCAAAACCAACATTGTGGCACTTTTTGCAGGTAAACTGTCCACTGGGTAGTGTTGATTTATAATCCTTGTATTTCTCCATATGTTTGTACACAGCTTTTGAATCATACTTGTGTCTGTTCTTTAAGTGAGCAATCAAGTATCTCCGATAGGCACTGCCATAAGAACAAGAACTGCACTTGTAAACTTGTTGTGGGACTGTGGTCTTTTCTGTTTGTTCCAGTGGGTTTTTTGTTTGGCCAATTTCTTCATGTTTGAGAGATATTTTTGGCTTATTTCCTTGGTGGAAAAGTGGAGAATAATATTTCATATAAGAGGATTTCCCATGTCTTTGCATATAATGGTTTCCAAGTTGCTTTAGGATTGAGGTTGAATATGAACACAAAGAGCACTTGAAGAAATGGCAAAATTTGCTTACCAGTTTCTTTTGGTCTGAAGTGGCAGACTCAGACACTGATGACAGTGCATTGTCATGCACAGCTGGTTCCTGTGAGGTGGCTCGTGCACTTGGCTTATGGTCCATTTCACAATGTCTTTTAAGTTTCTTCAGTCCACCGTAAACCAAGGGGCATTTTCTGCACCGATACCCCCCAAAAGTAGTTTGCTTTTCAGTTACGCATCCAATCATATTTGCTAAATCCAATTCAAGCGTTTTAAGCTTGCCTGCCCTGACTACAATCTTTGGGTGTAGCATTTGGCAGTGGGTCAGAGTTCCATGACAACTGGAGTTGACATACCTGCAGCTTGGACACTTATACATCAAAATCATTTTACTTTCTCTAGAAACAGGTTGAGCACTTGTTGCTCTTGCCACCTTGGATTGCTGATTATGTAGAGGCGTGTAGTATTTCAAAGAAGCCTCTTTTCCATGTTTCTTTGTATAATGAATTCCAAGGCGGACTCTTGTAATAAAAGCATCTGGACAAAGAGCACAGGAGAATATACTATAGTTCTTTGGGCAAACACGCAAATGGTCAGTGTGCTCCTTTTCTGAGGCACAGTAAAAACCACAATGTTGGCACCAAACCTGTTCATGTTGGAGTTGATTATCTGTATTTTGTACAGGTGGATTCTTGTGAGTGGTATGGTGCGACTTCAACTTCTCCTTTGATGGAAAAATCTGTGAACAATCTTTGCATATGAACCCACAAAATTTCCATGTGCCCATTTTAACTTTCATTTCCACATTTTTGAGGTGTTCACGTGTAACGTAGATACTATTGATCTTCAATGCTTTGTTGGGATGCTTCATAAGACAATGTGTAACAACACCCTGTTTAATGTTGTTCACATAGTTACAGCTGTGGCATTTAAAAACTTGGGTGCGCTCGGTCATTTCAAGTTGTGGCATTTCGTTAGTAATCTCACTGCGGTGTTTCATTCCCATGTGAATTAGAAGACCACCATGTCCTTCAAATGTTGCAGAACAATACAAGCAATTATAATGTTTACCATCTTCAGCTGAAACGTTTAAATTGTCAAAATCAAGAGGCACTTGGTATGAATCAAATGCTGCCTCTTCATCACCATTATCATCATCATTATCATGCTTGTTATTGCAGTCTTGCTTTTTGCTTGAATCTTCCTTTGCTTTTGTGGTGTCATTGTTAAAAGCACTGTCCCTCTTTTGGGGATCACATACATCAGGGCTTAAATACATGCAAGAGTTTATAAATTTATCGCTTAAATGTCGTCCATGTCTGTTTACACCATGGCATTTAACCATTTTCAAATCTTCATGGCAAAAGGAACAAATATCACAGTAGTATCCAGGCTGAAATATGGCCTCTGTGCCACAAAGCCCTACAATGTCTGAAAAAGAGACGTTATTTTTGTGTGCTGATCGAAGATGTTTTCGCATACGATATAAATGATTTGTACTATATGAACATTTTATGCACTTAAGTTTTGCTTTTGTCTCGGGCTCAATAACAGATGTTTTTGTTAGAGTGACTTTCTGATTTTGTACTGTTGATTTAATCTGAGGACTTATATTTAACCTTTCATAAACCATGGCAGTATGTTCTGCAATTTCCTGTGTTGTAATCTGAATGCCTTTATGTGACTTAACATAGTGTGCAGTAACCACACTTAATTCACTATTCCTGTAATTGCACAAATGGCAGAAAAGCAATCCAGTGCCATCTTTAATCAGAGGAAGAGGCAGACCTGAAGGAAGAAATGAGTCATTTGGGTGAGTTTCGGATTTTTCAATTTGATCATGAATCATGGCTGTGTACGTAAGAATCGCAGATTTTCCTTTACTCATTGCATGAAGCTTGTTCTGATGGTTCAAAATACCTATTATAGTAGGATTCCCATAGTTGCATTCTTGGCAATAATACAACTGCCGTGGACATACATTTGCATTAGCCTCTGAATTATGCACAGGTATCACATTTTTGTGTGCTATCTCCGCAGAGTAACGCAGGACCTCCTCAATTGTTGTAGTTTTTCCATGTTTTGCATTATGGTGAGAAAGTACACTTTTTATATTTGATTTGGAAAAGTTGCAACGCTTGCAGAAGAACATCTTCTCAATTGGTGAAGATGATGTGGCACTGTCCAACACAATTGTATGCGGTGCTGCTTGCAAATTATGATCAGCTGAAATGTTCTCGTCTTCTGAATCGGAAACTGGGGATGCCCAACTTTCTTCCAGTGCAAAGGAGCGGGAAATATTCTGCTCTGTGCCAGGCTTCTCCTCTGATACTCCAACAGTTGGAGCTATAACTAACTGCTTAATTTTATCTAATGTGATTGGTTCTTCTGGGTGGCTTTTTTTGTAGTGGACATGCAGGACAACAACAGACTTGTGACTGAAGGCACACTTTCCACAGTAATACAAGGTCCCATCATATGATTTGGGGGCATATGCCATGCTCTCGTCGGCTGTGGTGGTCCTTTCAGTTTCAGGCATTTCTGGGCTCTTGTCTTCTTCTGAAATTCTATAGTTCAAAGAACCATCTTGTTGTGCAGAGGAATATTTGCTGTACCATAATGGATTTTCCACTTTTTGAGATGGATGTTTTTCCTTGTAGTGTTCTTTTAAACTTTGCAGTATTTTTGCAGTAAATGGGCACACAAAACACTTATGAACCAAATCAGCCAATTTCAGACTGAGGATTCCAGGGGAATCTGGATGATCCTTGCTGTAGTGATCATGTAAATGAGCTTCAACAGCAAATTCAACTGGACACTCAAGACACCGAAAGATAGCGGTCTGGTCACTCTTCTCTTCAATATAAGCAGAGTTGCATTTTATGTACGGATGGTTGTCTTGATAATGACTGACAAGATGCATCAGGTCTGTGGTATTATATTGACAGTGCTTACAGAAATAATTTTTTATGAGCTCTTTGCCATCAAGATCCAGCTTCTCTTCATCATCACTGAACTCTAATGAAAGTTTGCCACTTGATGTGTTTAGTTTTACAAATGGTGTTTCAATTTCTAATTTAGTCTTTTTTGAAGGACTAGATTCAGCAGTTTCGTTAGCTAGTCTCTTACCACTGTTCTTCGGTAGCACTTCTTTGAAAGGATCCACAGGCTTTGCTGAAGTTGGGTCAGATATCATATCCAAATCACTGATGAGTGATCTAACGTTCTTAGAAGCCAAATCTATTGATGTTGCTGTCACTTGGAACACCCCTGATGAGTTCAAAGAAGATTCTTCCAAACGCAAAGTTTTTCTGTCCGTTTTATTAGTTTCACAATCTGACTTCAGTGTGGTTGATGTCGTAAAGTATTTGGTAATGGTTTGTGGAGACTTTGAATACATTTTGACATCATTTGGGGTGCTTTTGTGCTTTGCTTTTTCATGATTAGCTGTACCTGGAGAAGCCTCGTCCTTATGAATCAAAAAGCTTGTTTTTCCAGTTTGATTTTCATTGTTGGGAAAACCTGTGCATTGCTGTTTATGTTCATGATAAATGGCCCAATTAGCACTTTTAAAATTGCAGTTCTTGCAATTGAAAGCAAAATTTGTCTTTTTTAGTTTACTTTTGTCTAATTTATTTTTTCCTAGTTTTAGACTAATGTCCAACTTGGTTTTACCTACTTTAAGGCTAGTATCTGGCTTAGATTTGCTTTGTGGCACAGATTTGAGGCCAGAGTCTCTGAGTGCTGACTCAATAGAAAGGCCATGCACCTGATGGAGATGTTCATACAGGTAGACCCTAGTTCTGAAGATAAGAACACAGTGATTGCAGTTAAAGGATGTAGCGGTGTCTTGAGGAGCAGCTTGGCTTGGGGTCATGTTGCCAAAAGCATGGTGTGCAGAATCTGGAGAATAAAAAAGGAAACATTAAAGGCTTTAGTGTATTTAAACTCTACTCTCAACAGAAAATACATACGCATACCGTTTTGCATCTTGCATTCTCCGCCGTCACCTTAAAAGCTGTCTGGGGTAAATACACCTAAAGAAAAAGTAGTTACGGTATAAATTTAAAATAAGTGATTTTGATGTGATAATAGCAACATAAAAAGTAATTATGATTTAGGCCTGCGCCTTAGAGACAGAAGGGTTCGCCTTTAGGTTTACTGTATGGCACATAATTACAAGACTATAACCAAAAGACGCATATTCGTGCATCGTCGACGTTTTCTCAAAATCACACCACCGTCACCACCATCAACACCAGGAAGAATAGTAGGGTCGGGACAAGTACAACTGCAGCTTTTAAATACAGTGTTCACGTTTAGAACTAGTTTAAAACAACTAAAAGACTAAATGTTGGGATATTACATACTCACACATTACTGAAACCGAAATCCATATAAGGTTACAACGTAATGTTTTACTCGTTGTTTGCAGTGCAGCGACCGCTCACATTTCCGCCATTTTTCCCGCGACAACAGTGCAGTGTCCGAGCTCCCATTTCCGGTCCCATAACCCTAGATAGAAATCATAAAAAGTGAATGCCTACAATAAAAGTGCAGCATTTAATAATGATAAAAACAAATCAATTATGGTGATGAATATTTATTATTATGATGATTATTATTATTATTAACTCATGAGACCACACGTTTTCATAGTTTTGTCAATTTCAATGGTTCCGGCTGACGCGTGTTTCCTACGGAAAACATCGATTTGACGTACTACAACAAAACACCCACAGGTCCTCCATTACCATAGACTGTATACAACAATTTCGGCAATAGTTTTACAATCGTTTAACGTTATTATATACATGTTGATTCAATAGTTGACAAACACGGTCCAGATTAACGCTATATCCTCCATAATTCACTTGATTACAGACAGATGTTGGCTACCCAGGTGAGTGGTGGAGTGAGTGATCCAGAGAGCTGTCACAGTCACAACATATTGAAAAGAATTGCTGTGACAAGATTCTTCTTTTGTTAACTCGGGCGTGCTTTGTTTCTTCTTTTAAGGCTGTCCTGTTTGGCCTGATGACAGTGTGTGGATGAGCTGTGTGGCATAATGGCTCTGGCTAGATTAACCTTCAAAACTATCTCGGGGATTCACCATGGGTCGTGTTGGCATCGTTTTCGGCCCCTGTCATACGATTTTGTGAAGGTTTGTGAAAGACAAAGAGAGGACCCTCCACATTCTATTCTTTCAAGGAGAAAGTTATCTATTCAAAATGCGTTATTTCCATCATCTAATCTGTGGAACGCGCAAAGTGGAAGGCGAGGTTTCAGTTTATCAGCGGCCTCTATTGTGAACTCTGCACCTGCGCCTGTCCAGCCATATTTGCGTTTAATGAGATTGGACAAACCTATAGGTCTGTATGTCACATTTGTCTTAATATATTTAATTTAGCTGATTGGTTTTGTACAGTTTGGTCGCGTTCGTCTTCTAGGGACATGGCTGCTGTATCTTCCATGTACTTGGAGTATTGCTCTGGCTTCTGATCCAGGATGCCTCCCACACTTGGGCATGCTCACTTTATTTGGTACCGGGGCACTGCTAATGAGAGGGGCAGGCTGCACCATTAATGATATGTGGGATAAAGACTTTGATAAGAAGGTATAATCATTCATTTCAAAACAAAGCTGTTGTTTTCTTTAACCAAACTTAGTTACAATATATAACTGTCATAGATTTTTACATTTTTTAAAAACAGCCATTATAGAGGTTTGTTTTGTTGCAGGTGTCACGGACAGCAACAAGACCTATTGCCTCAGAGGAGATATCTCGGTTTCAGGCACTTGTCTTTCTAGGCGGTCAGCTTTCTCTTGCTCTAGGGGTTCTTTTGTGTCTTAACATTTACAGGTGCGGTTTTGTGTAGAAATTTAGCAAATTTGCCAATTGATCAAATTGACTAAAATTTATTTTGCATCTGTTTGTACAGTATAGTTCTTGGTGCTGCGTCTTTGGGCCTTGTGGTTACCTACCCACTAATGAAGAGAATCACATATTGGCCACAGTTGGTATTAGGTACATAAGTTCACTCTACACATCATGTTGTAATTCTTTTCAAATGCTACAGTGTCTCACTTTTCTTTTCTGTTCTTTTAAGGTCTCACTTTCAACTGGGGAGCCCTGCTTGGTTGGTCTGCTATTAAAGGTTCGTGTGATTGGTCAGTTTGTCTCCCGCTTTATTTCTCAGGAGTAATGTGGACACTAATCTACGACACCATATATGCTCACCAGGTAATTATAGGCTCTTAATTTAATCTGACAAATCTGACAATTTCCTGAATGAAATAAGACAATAATTCATGCATTTGTTAAGACAATGTAGCTATAGTTGTTATTCATCTGTTTTCTGTAGGACAAAGATGATGACATTAAAGTTGGAGTCAGATCCACTGCACTAAGGTTCCAGAATCAAACCAAGCCTTGGTTGAGTGGGTTTGCAGTCGCTATGCTTTCAGGCCTGGTTGTAACAGGGATCAATGCAGAACAGACTCTTCCTTATTATGTTGTACTGTCAACTGTGGCCAGTCACATAGCCTACCAGGTAACTAAAATTCTGAATACAATTACCATGTACAACAACATATTTGCTATGTAACAGCACTGATATTCATGTTATATGTCGATAGATATATACACTTAACATCAACAAACCAGAGGATTGCTGGAAGAAGTTTGTATCTAATAGAAACCTTGGACTCTTATTGTTTTTGGGCATTCTAACTGGCAATTTGTGGAAATAACATGTTAAGTATACTTAATATATAATACAAACAATGTAACATTTTAATAAAAACTGTATCTCTGAAAATGATTTATTTAGATATTTATCCTTTGCATGTTTTCCTTTTCATATTTTTCACATGAGCACAGTTTCAGAGCTGGACAACTCGTAGTTCTAGTGTAATTACAATGCAGGCAATAATGATTTGAGTGATAATCCAACTCAAAGAAACATATATGGATTTCATCCAACCCACTGAAAGTTTTGGCAGCCAGTTTCGCTCAATGTATTTGTCTATGTTTACAGTTACTGCCCAAATTGAAAAGCCTATACAGTGACCTATCCGCAGCCCATGCCACCACAATGAGAAACCAAAAGTCAATAGCAAAGAAAAATACTTGCATCTTTTATAAACCAGCCTACGCAGCCAAGATGCAGTAGTTGCATTCCATCTTCGAGCAAACTGAGATATACAAACTGAAGACTCAGTTACCCAGAAATCCCCATCAGACAGCCCACTCCAGTCTGTGTAACCAGATTTTGCCCCACAAAACCCAAATCCGGCAGCATTATTAAGACATTCACTTATCTGCCAGTGAGCATAATAATGCAGTCTTAAAACCATTGCCATTGCCCACATGCCAATGACACCATAGGCTAAGTTTGAATTGTATGCATATTTTACAAATTGCAGAAAACTGTATCTTAGACATTCTAATAAAAACACCTGCAACAATTTAAAGATGACTACACTTGATGGATTTGGTGGTGAATTAACATCAATTCCTTCAATAAATGAAACAAAATGAGCAAACATGCACAAAGGTCCACCCAGTAAAGTAGTGAAATTAAGAATATAGCTGATGATTGGAAGTAGCACTTCATAGCTTTGACTCAGGGATAAACGATTTAAGGTCAATATAAGTCTTCTATCTTGGATATCCATAGAGACTGAGGTAACTCTCTGTGTGATTAGCATCAGCGAAGACACAGCCAGCACCAGCCTGCAATAACAGAATACATTATTCTTTAGCTAATACAACACAGTTTGCTTCAAACACAACATTTTATCATTGCAATAACACATTTCAACACCAGGAGGCGTACATTTTAAAGTAGTATCTGTATACAATAACCCACCTCAAATTGAAATGCTGTGGCTGGTGGAATTCTTTGTACTGTAAAAAGATGTGCCAAAGTGTTTGCCATAACATTTGGACTCCAAGCACCCAGGTGTGAATGTAGCGCCAATCTACAGTGCAAACAAGCACAACAAACATGAAGACTGAAGTAAACAGCAGTATACTGTAAATTCCCATTGTGACCACTGCCAGGATGCATCCTCCAATACACATGTATAGATACCTGTTAAGAGTGATAAATTTTTTTTTGAAAATTATACTTCCCTCTGAACAAAAAGTAAACCCTACACACCTGCATCTCAAGGACAGAAAGCCATTTGCTGCTAAAAAATAAAACAAAAATCCAAAAGGGATCGAAAAGCTTTGCTGCAACAAAAGTTGATGATCATCCCACAACCATTCCAGCAAAGACATGTTGTCTGCACAATATGCTTTTGCATTGTGCACTGGCTGTCAGGTTTTTATACCAGATGTATCCTCCTGATAATATTAAATGTATGCTGATAACACTAAGCACTGTGTGCTAAATTGCAGATACACAACATTGTAACTGGGATACAGCAAACATTCTTCACTTCATATTTTAGCAGCTGTGGAAAATTCCTTATTTGATTGTTGCCTCTTTACTCTGTGTAATGTCTGTATATTTTATATTTGAATAAAGGGAGAGACAATAGAATTTGTATTTTTCTTCAATCAATACTAACCCCCACCATTTATTTTGCAAGTGTGTGTGTGTGTGTGGTATCGTGTGTTTGCTACAAGCTTATGTGCAGCACATGCCCAGGGTAAGATAACAGTTAGGCCTATGAATAATGTATATGGGATTAGCAGGTTATTTTCAGCTTCAAAACCAATCTTGGATGGAAGCCAGAAAAAAACAAAACAAAACAAAACTGCTATAGCAAAACAACCCAGAAGCCCAACCACAATTCAGTTATGTTTTTGTTAAGCTACATGGTCATGACATACAGTGTCCCATGAATTAAAAAATCCCAAAACATTATTTATTAATTTGTTACTTTGAAGAAAATACAAATCTTTGACTGATGGAAGATCTGTTCAGTATTCAAGATTTCACCAACCAAATTAATGAACAAATGATTAATAAACTGTGGAACTTGACACCCTTTAATTCATTAATATCTAAATAGGACATGTTGAATAAATTTTGTAGGGACATTGTCTTACATTACTTGAATAGATTTTTTAATAATTACTAGTTTAGGCAGCTGGTTGTGTGCCCCTCTCTGGTTCAACCAATGTTGGTACTGTCTAAAGAGGCTTGTTAAACCAATGTAACAATGTGCCTGTGTAATGCCAGTACTAGTCAACCACTTTTATGTCTCGTAGTCTATATCCTTCTTTTATTAATATTGTATTGTATGTGGCTTTTATGCATTTAAAAAGTAGACTGCTACTATATAACAATATTTTTTTCCAGAATTTATAAAATGAATGTCTTTATTGCTTAAGCTAAATTCTGATTGCCTCTCCACAGAGCAAACTTAGCCTGTTGGTCTCTCCATGGAGATAGATAGGCTTAATACTACGGAACAGTCAAGACAAAATAATGCAATAATGCGTGGCAAGAGGCCACGGATGTGGCCTATCAGAAATAATACATAGAGAACCTTTAAAAGCTGCTTTTAGTGTATTTCTCAGGGAACTCAATTTCTATTTTGAAAACCAATTTATTTTAGACCTAATCTATTTTGTTGTGGTACTTCTGAATCTTGGAGAACGTGGTCAATTAAATGCACATACATCTGGACTATTGACTACAGGGCACGTGAGTAAAGTTTAGCAGCTGTCTGACTGGGGCTCGTCAGCGCGTCACCTCGGTCCTCGCCACGGATTGGCTGCAATTTGAGCAACTGTGGGGCCGTATAAAATGTGCAGTTTAGAGTTGGAGTTGGCAGAGAGAACCTCATCCGTGTCACCAGGGAAATAAACTCGGGGAAAGAGTGTGGGAAGGGAGCAGCCTTCACCAATTTGAGCACAATTGTCGTTAGGAAGTGATTTAAAGATGCAGAGTTGTGCCAAGTCCTGGGGTATCTTACTGGCCAAGTCTGTGAATCCCAGCGCACCATGTAGGCATCTGAGTAGCAGGAGCCGCGTGGTTTGGAAACTTCTAAGCAGGATGGGCAATAGTGGGACATCCTTGACTTCAACAGCCCGGGGTCTGAGGACGTCCGCCGCTCTCTGCTCCAGACAGATAGAGAGAATACTGCCCAGACATGACGATTTTGCAGAAAGGCACATTGGCCCAGGTGAGCGGGAGAAGCGAGAAATGTTGGATACCCTGGAACTCGAGGTATGTCACGCGTAAAAACTCTTTGTTTTGTTTATCTTACTGTATTGCTGCATCTTTTTTTTTTTGTTCTCTTTTTTAGTCTATTGATCAGCTGATAGAAAATACAGTCCCATCTTCAATTCGCATTCATCGCAGTCTGAAAATGGATGATCCCATTTGTAAGTTTATTTCCTAAAACACCCTAAAACTCGTCACCATTATGTTATCAAATACCCCAAAAATGTCGTTTAAGATGGAGAAGTTCATAAAACAAAACATTTTATCAACTTGGAACGGATAATGTTGATTTCATACTAAAAAGATTTCATAACAACAATTCCAGCGAAGTGAGCTGCTGAAATGTAGGTTGAGCCTATTGTGCGCGACCTGGCTGCGTTAAGTCTTCCTTTGAACATATTTGGAGTTGTTTTTGCAAAGCGGCACCAATCTCCTGATGCTCATAGGATGGTAAGTGGAGTGTAACGTTTAGCCTTGAGCTCCAGTCTCAAGTCCAGTTTAATCTGGTTTCAGCGTTCACATTACTTCACAGCCGATGGGGTTCCTAATAAGGTTCCTATGTGCGCTTCTGTTGTGTAGGATTTGCATAGATGTGTTCATCATTATGCCCTATTATACATTTTTATAGAAAAATCCCTTTTGAGACGTCAGTAATCTGAATGTTTTTTGCACAATTTCGGATTAGAAAAAAACCCCAAAACAAAACAAAAGCATGACACTTCAGTGTGGCATAGGATGCAATTTAATAGCTAATATTTAAACATCTCTAAATGCAAACACAGTTCATTATTTATATACAAAAGAGCTGCTGCTACACGTCCTGTTACACACTGGCTTGTGTTCAGTCATTGCTTCATGGACTGTTTACACTGACATAGGAGCAGCCACATGGTTAACAAATGGATGGGGTTTTGCAAGAACTTGGAATTTACTACAATCAGCAGTAATCACTTGGTTTAAGACAACTGTAAAGTGTTTTCCCCATACAAAAATGCTACAAGTACTGTCTATATGATTTCGTTGTGACTTGTCTACAGTAAGACATATTGAGACAGTTGGAAAAGACAAAATATGATAACGCGGTTTTGCTTTAAGGGAAGAGCTTGTTGATACATTTGAAGCTTTTTTCCTTGAAGGAGACTGACTTGACTTGACTTGTTTTCATAGTAATCATAGGTACACCTGCTTTCTAGGTAAAGATTGGCAACTACGCTTAACTACACCAGGGCTGTCACAATAACAAATGTTAAAGCATGACTCATTGCTACAAGCTGCAATTAATAATGAAAACTACTATCATTAAATGATACAAGCCACAACAAGCAACATTTGACAATAGAAGTTATTTATTGTACCCTCTACAGCTAAAATCTTACGTTATTACATACGATTCTCAAAAATCTCTCCACCATTGTATTATTGTCCACACAGCAAATATTGAGCACCAAAATGTATTGTTCCAACTTTCATATATTGAACGACAAGCTCGTATAGCAATTATTGTGACAGGCCTAAGATTTAAACAGGGTGCTGAGCTAGTTCCACAATGGCCCAATGGCACGTTTTACTATTCAACAAATTGCACTGAAGGAACTAACTGAGGCTTTGCTGCTTTTCTGCTTGTTCAGCTTTGGAGAGCTTTGGTTTGCAAAGCCAGCTAGGGATTCTCTCTCTAACAATAGGCCCCCTGAATGGCTCTAAAATGGCAATGAATAAGTCTTTTTTTGCACTCAGAATTCTATGAGAACCCCAACATAACACACAAATTCACAACTGAAAATGTAGATGTGTTCTTGTAATCATTACAACATAATACTTGCTACACAAAGGAAAAAAAGACTATTATTTCTGTATAATTTGTTTTAGGTTGCAGTGGGTATAAAAGTGCACATGCTTCTAACTAAGCAAAAGTCTCAGTCAACCCCCCTCGTTTGGAAATGCATTTCGTGTTCCCAAAACTGGAGTAGTCCGGGCCCATGGTTCAGTGGGATTGCATTGTCCATTCCTTGGAGTTGCTAGGCAGCCAAAGCAGCCACTGGAATCTGGTCGTTGTGAATTAGCTGAGCTCCCAGTAACAAGGCCAAATGTGAAATCACCATTTACCGTAAGAGATAGACAGCTGTGCAGGTGTGTTTAGTTGCACAAACTGAACACTTGTATGACAGTTAAAGAAATGTTTGCATATGGATTAATTTGAATTGATTAATTGAACTGTTTATACTTACCAGAATGTATTGTTTTACATTCATATCGAGTTTATACATGTTTTAGACCATGTTGTGTTCACATCCTTTTTGTGTCATGTAGACCGCAGATGAAACTTTGACTAAACCACTAAACTAATGAGATTTGTGCCTTTTTCATTTAGGTGAGAATGAAGTTCTGGATACTTTACAGAAGATTGCTTCAAAAAATAAGGTTTGGCGTTCTTACATTGGAATGGGCTACTATAACTGCTCAGTGCCTCCTCCCATTCAACGCAACCTCCTGGAAAATGCTGGATGGTGAGTGCACTTAAATAAACTTTTTCTAAAAGAAACCAAGCAGATTCAGAACCTCGGGTTTCTCATTTACAGCTAATGAACTTATGAATGTAGTGGATTTGTTCTTGTGTCTCTGAAAGGGCCTCTCTCGTGAGCTCTGTTAATCATCCTTTCTACTTCACTTTCACTTTTGCTGACCTTTCATTTAACTGAGACCTAGCCTTTGCTGTGCTGCAGTAATTGTATAATCCATACCATGCTTCAGGTTATTTTCTATAACTGTCTTCTAACTTATTTTAGGGTGACACAGTACACACCCTATCAACCAGAGGTCTCCCAAGGGCGTCTCGAGTCTCTCCTTAACTACCAGACCATGATCTGTGACATCACTGGGATGCCTGTGGCCAATGCATCGTTACTGGATGAAGGCACTGCTGCTGCTGAGGCCATGCAGCTCTGCCACAGGTAGCTTCAACCCAAATCCCAAATTCAAAGTACAAACCTTGCACATTACCAATACTTTGTTTATATTTTGCAGGCAGAATAAAAAAAGAACATTTTACATTGACCCACGATGCCACCCTCAGACTATTGCAGTGGTGGAGACTAGAGCCAAGTATGCATAACACAGAATAATGGAGATTAGAATCATTGTTGTTTAGAAAATCATTATCCTTTGTTATAATTTGTAACATACATATATTTATTTGATTTCTTCAGTTATATTGGAGTAAAAACTGTACTAAAACTTCCACATGAGATGGACTTTTCTGGGAAGGACGTGAGCGGTGTCCTTTTCCAATATCCAGACACTGACGGTCGAGTAGAGGATTTCACAGCTCTTGTGGACCGGGCTCACAAAGCAGGGGTATGCTGAAAGAAGCACTGAGAAAATGTTTTGTTATGGAGTATATCTAGACACGCATGGATGTTTTGTTTCTGATTCAGGCCCTGGCGTGTTGTGCTACAGACCTCCTTGCTCTGTGTGTTTTGCGTCCTCCTGGAGAGATTGGAGTGGACATCGCACTGGGCAGCTCCCAGAGATTTGGGGTACCCCTTTGCTATGGAGGTCCCCACGCAGCCTTCTTTGCTGTTAAAGACAACCTAGTGCGAATGATGCCTGGCAGAATGGTTGGCGTAACAAGGTAATGTGAAATGCAGTTTAAATGGCCACAAAAAGGACCTCAGAGGACCATGTAAAATGATTGTAGCAGTATGACAGCAGATTAAAAGATTAGTGGATCAAGGAAGGAATGGTGACATAAATATATTTAACCTAGATTTTGAACATGTCTGATGTCTGGCATCAGCTGACCCCATAATCATGTGAACGGCAAAAGCTTTCATACTACACTGGTCAAATTTACATGTACAGTACTAAAAAATTTAAGTTACAAATGTAACTTGCTAACTATGAATCTCAGATGACCTAGAGGATGGTGCTGAGAACACAGAAGGATTCCCTGTGCATCATTCAGTCTTCTGACTGTCAGGGTGAAATAGAATCATTATCTGATTTCTGGAGTTATCAGATAATTGAAATGCAATGTAAACTCTTACATCTGCTGAGTGATCTGTGAGGAATGTAATTTCTGTCACACCTGTGCAGGCATTGGTACATTTATGTACAAAAGGCTAAAAAGAGATCATTCATTTTAAAATTCATTGAACTTTCAATTGCAACAGTGGCTCTAAAAATCTGCTTATTAACCAGCACATGTCTCTAGGTGTTTTTGAAGATTAGATTCCTGTTGAGCTTCTAAACACACAGCAATAATCAGATGATATTATTATTGGCTTCTAATTATTCTTCTCATGTAACCACTGAGTGTACTGTGATTTTAGAGATGCAGCTGGTAAAGAGGTGTATCGTCTCGCTCTGCAGACCAGGGAGCAGCACATTCGCAGGGACAAGGCCACAAGCAATATCTGCACCGCACAGGCATGGTCACTATCACTTTATACAAACCAGTTAAATATTCAAAATGGGCAAGTAACATTGCAATTTTAGTTCTCTTACAAACAGATTAATGTTCTTTTTTCCCTCTCATTTCTAAGGCTCTGCTGGCCAACATGGCTGCAATGTATGCCTTGTATCATGGACCTCAGGGTCTCAAACACATAGCAGAGAGGACTCACAATGCTACACTGATCTTGGCTGAAGGTAAAAATTATCAAACTTGCACTATACTACTACCTACTGTCTACTTTACCCTTGTTTTAGAAATGTAATTGTTTTATTTGTGAATGTGACTTATTAAGGGTTGAAAAGGGCAGGACACAGGTTGCACAGTGAAATGTTCTTTGACACACTGAAGATCAACTGTGGAGTGGCAGCCAAAGACATCCTGGAGCGGGCTGAGCAGAGGGAAATTAACCTCAGGGTCTACAGTGAAGGAGTGGTGAGTCAACCCTCTGTTTATATTTGTCTGAAATGCCAACATCAAAGATTCTTTGGGTGTAAAATGTATCTCAAAAAAGGAAAAAGAGGTAATTAAAAATGGTTGCCATAGGGGTATTTTATTAAAATTACTTGCACACCATTTGAATTCACTTAAACAAAAATGTTGTATAATTTAGTTATTTCTCGATGTATTTATGTATTTGTAATGAATTACAAATGCATAAATATTAACAAAATGGAAATTGTTTAACAAATGGTTTCCAGCATTAGCATTAATTACTAAGTAAGTAACTGGTCTTTTTCCAGGCTGGATTGTTTTTCCAGTTTTTCCATGTCAGGATTGTTCCACTTGTCTCATTGAAGAAGCTGTTTTCTGGGTCTTGGATCAGACAGTCACCAGTCCTATCTCAAAAACAAAACAACAAAAAAACTAAAAAACTGTGTACATTGTAAGTGCAGGGTAATATAGTTTAGTTTATCTTGGACTTTTGCCAAATGTATAGGCTACTCTGCACCACCTATCAGATTCAGACAGTTCTGTTTCTGTTTAAGCAGATCTTTCTGGCTAATCATCACATCTGTAAATACTATATTTAACTTTATTGTACTCGTAAAACATACACTTTACATTGTGTCATCCCTTTTCTGAGTATTTTGCAGTTTGTAACACATTTGATGATATAAAAAAGGTTGCATTATTTCTGAAAAGGAAATATTTTGGCAGTATACAAGAAAATGCATACACCTCTTATTACTGTACATTTGCTTTTGGGATTAATTTCTAATACTCCATTCTTGCAGTTGGGAGTCTCTCTAGATGAAACTGTGACAGAGAGGGACTTGGATGATTTGCTCTGGGTTTTCGGCTGTGAATCATCAGCTGTAAGTAATTTATACCACTGGACACTACTTATAAATTTGTATAAATGAAATACCATGTGCCATGAAAATTTTAGGAGTTGATTGCTGAGAAGATGGGTGAGAGGGTCAAAGGAATCATGGGTAGTCCTTTCAAAAGAACCAGCAAGTATCTGGCGCACCAGGTCTTTAATAGGTGGGTGTATTTTATTTTCTCTAAACTGACAGTAGACGATCGTCTCTAGTTCACCACAATTGAACTTTTCTTCTTTTTCTCTTCCCTGTCTATCCTATTTATTGCACAACAGGAACTGCCTTCTCAGTTGGTTACATACCTCACATTGGTTTAGTTGATGACTCTTTTAGTTGTCTTTAATATTCTAGGCTTCTCCTAAAGACAAGTTAAGCTTGACTGACTGTACTGATGTACTTGATGAACTACGGTTTCATTTTCATGAAAGAGTAGTTATGAGCAGATAAGTAAATCAATGAATGTAGGTATGTATGTAGTGTATATATGTTTTACAACATAATTTACTAACAACATTTTATGGGCCTATTCCTTTCCTGAACTTGAGTAATGCTTTCATGCTGCTATATGTAGAGCCTTTATCTTTATTGGAGATATAAATTGAGGATTATCATGTTCCACAACTCATTTATGCCTCAGCTATCACACATGTCATGTCAAACCATATCATGATCATTATGTAACAATGAAACTTCCTTTGATTATAGCTACTGTGGAGTGATGGAGCTGACTGTGGAAATGACTGAAGCACTACAATTAAATATTGTTTATATTGATTTGCTTCATTATGTTCTAGTTACCATTCGGAGACAAACATTGTGCGATACATGAAACGCCTGGAGAACAAGGACATTTCTCTGGTGCACAGCATGATCCCACTGGTCAGTGAGACAAACTGTTGAACTGTTTGTATCATCATCATAATTAATATAACGTCATTGCCTTTTTTAAGGGGTCCTGTACTATGAAGCTGAACAGTTCATCAGAGCTCATGGTAAGTATACAAAAGCATTATAACTGAGATGATACATATTCCTGCCCTGTTTCCATTAGGGGGCGATATGACCTAAAATTAATTTGACGATAGGAAAGGGCCTATTTGCAATAGCAAAATAGTTGGCAATATAACTGACACTAGACAAAATGTGTAAAAACTGTGACCTTTACTCTAATAGTGTAGACTTCTGTCAGATTTTTATAGTTGTCATTAAAAGTTTTGTTTCCATTCATAAATCCGTTATCTGTCAGTGGTGTTTTCAGCCTTCAGTTAGTGTTCAAGTTGCTCTAGGCATTAGGGGTTGCGTGCACGCAAAATTTCATATCACCTATGACGATATTATAATATGGATCGGCCCAAGTTTCCACATTAATACCAAAAACCTCTTCATATTGGGTTATGGTTTGGATTTGTATCCCCATGAAATTAAAAATTGCATCCTGTTTTCATGAGTAATTGCGATGTTATTATCTATTCATTATCTAAATTATTTAGTTATCAAGATATTACTATGAACAAGTGCTGCCCAAAAAATTTTAATGCTTTTTGATAAATGGGAGATTTTGTTTTTCCCTTCAGCCCATCACGTGGAGAGAGTTTGCCAACATCCACCCATTTGTACCTCTGGATCAGGCAGAGGGTTATCAGAAACTCTTTAGACAACTCGAGCGAGACCTTTGTGAAATCACAGGTTACGATAAGATCTCATTTCAGCCAAACAGGTAAATACTGTCAACATTTGTCATGAACAGTAATCATGCCATTTCATCACATGTGTTTTAAGAGGTTTAGTCTTTATTTGAAGAGACAATGTACAGAGATATTAAGCCTATAAAAAAACACGTTCTGTCCAGATTCTAACTAAACCGCATGTTTCCATCTGCAGTCCCTGTTACACAGAAATAAATTATACAATGCAATGCAACAATAAGAACAACTGTTCATTCGCACGAAATAATTTTATAAAATGCACGTTAACCTTCCATCTCTACATTTCACTATTACAACAGTCCACAAGATGCCATTATATCAGAATAAGACTATTACTTCACAATAGGGTGACATCAGCTTGGCCCATTAGATAAAATTCCAGTACACGCCTACTTGTATTGTCTATCTCTTTTTATCAGCAACTGTGGGTTTATGGATACCTCAATGTGTTACATTGGCCTGAACCTATCATGCAGTGTGTGTTTAACCCCATCTTTTTCTCTTCTTTTTGTAATATCATTAGCTGTTCTTTGAACTTAAGCCCGCCACACATTATAGGATAATTTACCTGATTTAGGCCCCCAATTTGGTTCTCTTTGACTTTGTGGAGGCATGACCCGACTTTGGATCGCTGTATGTGATTTTTAATCTGCTGTGCTCCTCGTGTGTGGTGTGTGTGACTCTGAGCTTCTCTGTCATATTTTAACCACAGAACATCAGTACTACAGTCAATAATTTCAGGGGCAGAGAGAGTCACAGAGGCACAAGATACAAACTCAGGAAATTACAAAAATAAAAGTATTTCTCTAAATATTGAACATCATTTCACAAGTAATAATACCTTTTTGACTTGCATCTAAAGAAGTGCAATGCTCTGCTCAGCTCTGAGCTTTTGAAAACATTAGTCTCAAGAGTGTCAGGAAACAGCTGAAGTGAACTTTTAGCTTGCAATGCACAGTCACTTCGCTGCCATATCCTGCTGCAGCCTTTGTGCTCATTGATTTAAAATCTCATCTGATTATCCTCTGTGGTCTGCACTTTATGTCTCACATTTAATAATTGTTTAAGACTGAAAAATCCTGTAGTGTGTGTCAGGATTATATACACATTTTTAAAATTAATGTTTGCCTTGTTTTTCAGTGGTGCTCAGGGGGAATACGCTGGCCTAGCTGCAATTAAAGCATACCTAAACTCAAGAGGAGAAAGCTCCAGAACTGTAAGTGAGAACTCTATGAAGACACTGTTGATTTCTTATTTCTTCATTGCAAAATTAATTGTAAAATAACAAAGTTCCAAATGTTGAATATAATTTAATCTTCAGATGATTACTGGTATGACAGATTATGTTTGGCTTTAAAATTCACATTTCTTATTTGCTGACTTGCAGTGGTCTGAGCTAGATACTTTGAATTACTTTGTGTACGAATTGTGCTATACAAATAAACTTGCCTTGCCTTGCCTAGATAAGCTCTAATAGATTAAAAACGGCCGACACCTGTGTTTTCCAGAGCTCTGTTTTAATGGCTGTTACAGATGCCTTAGATAGTGGGCTGATCCCTTGAAACAGTCAAGGTCCAAACTGACAACAGTTTGTGTAAACATAAGTCTGTAGACTCTATGATCATCCATACACTCCCTGCCTCCAAGGTGCCATATTTGGTGGTTTAAGACTTTGACAGTCACAAATCATTGGACATTGTTTGGTAAAGGGTAAATCAATTAATGACAAGTACTCTGGTTACACATTAGTCTCAGATAAAATTTTATCCTGCAATGCATGTCAAGGGTCTAGCCTTGTTTAGTTGGGTTAAAGTGGCTGTCACCTTCTTATACATATTGACTGTAAGTGTTTATTAGGTCATCTGCCTTTTATATGTGCAAACCTGCACATGGAGTTGAGATAAAATCAACTGTTCTGACACAGCTACACAAATTACACATAATTTTGGAAAGGGATGGAGAAAGAAACCAAATTATTTTTCTCTAGTGAAATTACAAAAAAAAAAAAAAAAATGTAGATTAGACTTTTTTAAAATTAGTAAATTTTTTTTTTTTTTATCAGGTTTGTCTAATCCCTAAATCCGCACATGGCACTAACCCGGCCAGTGCTCAAATGGCGGGCATGAAGGTGCAGGTGGTGGAGGTGGACAAAGATGGAAACATTGACCTTGCACACCTCAAAGCTCTGGTGAGACTGCACATTACAGTTAGATTCATATTTTAAATAATTGATGTGACAGATAATAAATAAACTACCATGTTAATCTTACAGGTTGATAAGCATAAAGCCAACCTGGCAGCCATGATGATCACCTACCCATCTACTTTTGGTGTTTTTGAAGAGTGCATTGGCGACGTGTGTGAGCTGATTCATCAGAATGGGGGCCAGGTGTACCTTGACGGTGCAAACATGAATGCCCAGGTCTACATTGATCTATTAGTTTATAGTTTAAGTTCAGTCACTTATAAATAGAATTAAACAGATTTTATTTAATTGCACGTGTTTTGACTCCATAAATGATTAAAAAGTGCAGTATCTTCTATATACAAGCCTCACCAATGGATATACAAGTAAAAAATATTATTCTATAGGTGGGCCTATGCCGTCCTGGAGACTATGGTTCTGATGTGTCTCATCTGAATCTGCACAAAACCTTCTGCATCCCTCATGGAGGAGGAGGACCAGGCATGGGGCCTATTGGAGTGTAGGTTAACAGCTATTCTCTGCATAGATTTATAGGGGGAATCTATGAAGTAACTGCATCAATTAAATTATTGAATTTGCTTTTAAATCAAACTTGAGCAGTATTTAGGGGAAAGATGTTCTTTGTTTCATACTTTAGTTTGAAATGACATACTATATACTAATCATTTTGCAGAAAGGCCCATCTTGCTCCTTTTATGCCAAGCCATCCAGTTGTTCCCATGCACTCCGTGAATAGCAGCAGCTCTCTGGGCACAATCAGTGCTGCTCCCTGGGGTTCAAGTGCAATCCTCCCCATCTCCTGGGCCTATATCAAGGTCAGGTCATGTTCACTTTCAAGATTCTCTTTTTATTGTACCTTTGCAGATAGTATTTGGATAACAATATTTAATCTACCATTGTTTGCTTGCTAACATTTAGATGATGGGATCCAAAGGACTGGTCCACTCAACAGAGGTAGCTATCCTCAATGCCAATTACATGGCTAAGAGGCTGGAGGGGGCTTACAAGATACTCTTCAAAGGCAGAAAAGGTACAGAAATTAACTCATTAATTAATAAATGTGGTTATAGCTGTCAGTCATATTATTATTATTATGAAGTCTTTTATTTGTTTTGTTTACACAGGTTTTGTAGCTCATGAGTTTATCTTAGATGTGAGACCCTTCAAGAAAACTGCAAATATTGAAGCTGTAGATGTTGCCAAAAGGTTACAAGATTATGGTGAGTTGAGACATTTCATAAGATGTCACCTTATGTTGATGACATGCTTTTTATTTTTATGAGGTGGATCTCCATGCATCTCTTGTTTACCTTTTGTCATTAAGGTTTCCATGCCCCCACGATGTCATGGCCAGTGGCAGGAACCCTCATGGTTGAGCCCACAGAGTCTGAGGACAAAGCAGAGATGGATCGCTTCTGTGATGCTTTGCTTGCAATTCGTCAAGAGATTGCAGACATTGAGGAGGGAAGGATGGATTCACGGATCAACCCTCTCAAAGTAAGGCTGAAAATGGATTCCCTGATGTACTGATGAAATCTTATTCTGAAATGTTCTTCTTTGTGTGTTCAGATGTCCCCTCATTCTCTGGCCTGCATCACAGCCTCCAACTGGGACAGGCCATACTCCAGAGAATTTGCTGCATTCCCTTTGGTAGGCTTGCTTTAATTTGATACTCTGAATTTAACAGTCTGGTCTTCCCATAAAATACAGTCTTTGTCCCCCTCTAGTGGTGACAATTTGGTAACACGTAATGTTATTGGTGCACATTGCAGTAATCAAATACATATTTTAGGAAATGCACTTAATTACAATGCACCAAATTGCACAGTGCAACTGAAAGTTCTTATTAACCAAAAAATTGCAACTCTGCAATGTCCCTCAAACTGTTTGTGTAATATTTTTGCCCTTTCTTCACAGCCCTACATTAAGCCTGAAACCAAATTTTGGCCCTCCATTTCGAGGATTGATGACATCTATGGTGATCAGCATCTGGTGTGCACATGCCCGCCAATGGAGGTGTACGAGTCTCCGTATGAGGAAAAGCGGGCCTCCTCATAGACCAGCTTCGGTCTGAGAGATCAGAGCTCTCACAGAATGCCCACACACTTTAAAACACCAAAAGTCACAATGTAATCACTGGAAAGTAGTCCTCTCCTCTTTTAAGGCAGGGCTTATTTTTAAACATTTCATCTCAGAGTGTGCAAAGAGCAGCTAGAATTGATGCACAAAAGCACTTCATATGTCTAAATTCTTGAGGGAAATGTTTAATGTTTGAGATGGACGCTAGACTGGGCTAGGTCTAATGACGCTGATTTTTTATTTTTTTTAATGGACCAAAAGTGCAGTGCACCCTTCTACTCCTATACTTTGATTTTTGTTGGGCTTCATACACTAGGCACATGCCCCTGGTGCCTCTATCCTGTAACTGCCTTGACCTGTCATTTTTACAGATCTCAATATGGACAAATGATATTGACCAAGAAAAATAATTTTAATGTAATTTTAAACACTTTTCTAATCTTGTTTTGTCTGTTGATAATATGTGTTATTAAACATTTTGACATTTTAATGTGTGTTTGAATGCTAGTACCTATATGTTTACCATTACATTGTTTATTAACTCCACCTAGTGGTGACCCACATTTAAGCATGTAAAAAGGAAAGCACGTCATTACATTCAACAGATCAGTAGAAATAACTAGACAGAAGCCAATGAAGCCTCTGGGCAGCAATGATCGATATTTTAATTTTGTGAACAATACAATTTTGTTACATACTCAAGCTAATGTTGTGTAACTGCTCTTTACTCCCTGAGCAGTGTACCCTATATGTAACAGATTCCTCCAGACAGATTTGTTTTCATGACCCTGGTTTCAGGTGATCCCCTCTTCTGTGTAGACATGCTTATTACATAAGTGAATTCAGGATATACAAAATCAATATCACTAACATCTGGATTCACAGACCTTATAAATAAAATACCTTCTCAATAAAGACCACCACTGATCTTTTTAAGTTTGGCCTACTTCTTCATGAATTCTTAAAACCTACATACAGTATGTTTATACTATGAAAAAATATGACATCAGAATTTATCTCAGTAACAGTCTTTCACATATTTAAATATTATGTAATCCAGAATAACATTCTAATATGACAGTGAAGTAATTGAGGCTGCTCCAGTTACAAGTAAATGTTCCAATTTCACGCAGTATGCAGCCTTGAAGATTATTAGAGGACCTCCAGGCTACACTACAGCACCATATTTGTAGTTTTGATTAATGTTAATGTTTCATTTCTGTTGTTCTGTCCTCTGAGAGAAGTGTAAATCGGTATCAGCTTCAGTTTGATTAGCTTCTTTCTTTTGAACCAAGTAGTCCACCAGGATGACAAAGAATGCAGAGGAAATGAGGCAGAATCCGGACAAGTAAAAAGCAGCACTGTAGTTTCCAGTCTGATCCACCAAAAAACCTACAACAGAATAAATATAGATCAAAATTGATACACATAGTGATATGACTGTACAATTTTGCAGAAAAAAAATATCACTGAATTGTAAGCATGCCACAATAACAAATTTTGAAGTATGATATATTGCTATATAGATATATTGCGATAAAAGATAATATTGAAGCCTCTTTATGCCAATGACACAAAGCCGGTTTATCCCAGTAAACCATTTTTAAATAAACTGTATTAACATAAATAATAAAAATCTACCCACTATTGCAAATAAATTGTACAGATGATAAATCGTGAACTCCAATAGGTCTTGTTTATCATGACAGACCTATAGAGTTGCCATTAGATTTTGCAATTTATGTATAAAATGTTGGGATTAGCACATTTCAAATTAATTTGAGAGAAGACTGAAGTAACCAATGCAAGAATGCCATACATTTCAGAACATCTTGGTAGAGATGTCTGTGTAATACCTCTGTGGTCCAGAGGTATTTGGGATCCAAAGCAAAAGAAAACTGGTTAGATTGCTGGTGGACATTGCCTTATATCTGCTTGAAGGGAGGAGCTAACTAACATGAAACTACTCTATAGTCAAAACAAAGAAAACAATAGGGATAGCCAGGTCAGGCCCAGAGGTGTGAAAGCACCCATCAGGGGCCTGCGTGATTATGGTATGCTAATATGACTCCCCCCACATTTCAATAGACCTAGCTAACAAACAGAAACTGTAAACAAGTAGGTGAGTTAGTTTTAGAGTAGTTTCATTGCAGTTAGCTCCTCCCATCAGGCAGTTTTAAAGCAGTGTCCACCAGCAATCTGACCAAAACTAAAAAAGCAGTTTGAATAAGCTGTAAACGTATTTGACAGTTGACAAAAAGAATTTTTCCTTTGTTACAAAACTGGTAGAAGTCTAAAAACTTTCAGCCTTCTTTCAGAATATTTTGTTGCAATTTTGATTTGATTGTGATTTATTGTGTAGCCCTAATTAACGACCAATGCATTTCTGTCAACAGTATTGTACTAACCTGCCAAAGGAGGTCCAACGCATCCCCCAATACTCCTGAAAAGCATGAAAAGTCCCAGACCACTGTCAAATCCCTCTAGGCTTACAATGTCCACAATGGAGGTAACATGGATGGCCACAACACAGCCAAACAGAAAGCCATAGACAAAAGACAAGAACATTATACAGCCCAAGTAGTTGTGGCTAATTGGTAGCAGCATTAGCACAACACCTTGTAAAGAGACTACCACTGTAAGCAGCTGCAAGTTTCTGAACAGTGTCATGTTGGCTACCCATCCACAGATTAACCTGCCCATCAGATCAGCCAGTGCCACTAAAGACAGGATAGATGCAGGCCAGTAATCATGTAGTCCTACATGGTTTGCAAAAGGGACTAGAAATAAAGGTGGGATGAAAATACCAGCTGCAGCTAAAATGGCAAACACAATGTAAAGGAGGAGTTCTGGTTTCTTGAGTAGTGAACATTGGAAAGTCTTACTCCTCTTTGGTAGAAGCAAAGTAGCACCCTGGTCCACAGTATTCTGAGTGGTCTCCAGTGGTCTCATGAGAGCACCACACACGCAGATGTTGAGCTGGAGGCCTCCGATGATGAGTAAAGCCCCCTGCCAGCTGTATGTTTCAATGAGCCACTGGAAAAATGGGCCGAAAATGATGGCAAAGACACACTCTCCTGAGCTGGCAATGGCATAAGCAATAGGACGCCATCGCACAAAGTAATGGCTCACCATGCTATTGGCAGGGATCCAAGAGAATGAAATACCAGTACCTTAAAACAAAACAAACAAAACCATAATGTGGCATACTTGTTACAGTATGTGCTGCTATGCTAATTTAAAAGCTCACTATGTAACTTTCAAGTAGTGATTCTGCCATCTGCTTGTCTATGTGAATATGTTGTTGCTTTGTTAGGAATGTTGCTCAATATTACACTTAAGTGTCTGAGACAAAGTAAAACACCTGTAATTGAACAAATGCAAGACATGTTTAATGCCATACTCTGGATAAGCAATAATAATCATCTCTCTAGAAATAAGCAGACGGCAGACTCTCTATCACAAAAGTAACCTGGTTGCCTAACCTTAAAGGTCCTATGATACACGATTTTCTGATACGTGTTACAAAAGTGTTACCTCATCAAAAACATACCCGGAGTTGTGTTTTGTTTCATTCACCATGTGTAAATAAATAAATAAACCCTGTATACATGAGTTCTTCTCTCAGACTAAAAATGCTCCTTGTGATGTCATCAAGTGGCAATATAGGAAGTGTACTGTGTTTTTAAACTCCATACACCTTCATTACAATCAGTGGATCATTTCAGTTCTGGAATTGCCAGTCTCTTCTTAACTAAAGGCTAGCAGTTAGCCTTTAACTTAGTAGCTGTTAACTTGAAAACTAGCGCATGGCATCACAAGATGGAATACATCATTTTGAGCTTTGGACATAATAAAAGATGACTCAAAACATGTGTAAATGAAATAAAACACAACTCCAGGTATATTTTTGAGCAGGTAACAGCATTATGACAGAGCTTAAAGCTGACAAGAATCAATTTAGCAAACTACAAGACCTTTAATATGTTGTAGTACCTTGCAGGATTCCCATGGTGAAGTAGAGACATGGCAGACTGAGATCTAAAGATGCCAGTAACATACCCGAGGCACAGAGAAGGCCTCCAATTACAATGACCACTCTCTGAGAAAAGAGTAAGGTCATTGCACTGGCCGCTGGAGCTGAAACAGAATATAAAAATGTAACAACTTTACTTGGACAAGATAAAACTTCACTCAGTCTGTACCTCCAATGTGAAACATGGCAATTGTGCATGAAGTGATCCAGGAGGTTGTGCTGGCCAGAATGCCAAAATGACGTTGAATGTCCAGAAAGAAGAGGCCAAAGTTCTTAAGGACAGCAGCAGTGAGTCCCATGACCCAAAAGGCTGACAGCACAACCACCCAGCCATAGCCCCCATCAGGAGGGCAGCTTCTCCTGGACTCCAGCATGGCTTGAATCAGCTGTGCTTCATGGTGCTCTTAGGAAAGGTCTACTATACAACAAAGTGGTAACACTAGTGATAGCACAATATGGAAACAAGCATGCAAAAAGTGTGCTCCTATTACTCCCATACTAAAAGCCTATTTTATTAACATATTCACTTGAATTAATACAGCATAGGTAATGAAAAGGAATAAACTGCATAAAAACAGCTTAAACCAATGCATTCAACATTTCTACTTTATTATTCACGGTTTTCAGAGAAAATGTAGCTCAGTTGGCAGTGCAATTATAAATTCAAGATAAAATATCATATCTTTAAAAAGAAAAAACAAAGCAAAACAAAGAATAATAAAACAGGAACTTAATACTTGACCTGCCTATAGGCGTAGTGTTGTTTTCATTTCTTCTGGGAAACTTAACGTCCGGTCGCCTACAGGGAGCCCGGAGAGGACATTACGAGCGCAAAAATTCCAAAGAATCAACTCACAGCAAGACTGCGGCGATCACGCACAGCAGCGCCAGCGCCAAGGCATCTGCGTCTGTCAGCCGCAATGTCCAGTCGCCGGTGAAACTGGAACCACTAACGGCGGCTGTTTTTGTGAAGCGCATAAACGTCAAACGCGTCAAGGGACACATCCGTTTTTCAAAGTAAATTACAAACAAAATAGATGTTTGAGTAGCCCATCAAGAGGCAACATCCATGAGATCTGAAAACTCATAACTCATATAGGCCTTGCTTGGTTCGTGTGGTGACTTCCAGTATAAAACAGCAAGGTTTTTTTTACTTTTTTTGGATAAAGGCAATGAGAATCAAGCACGTCTGTGTGTCCCCAGGAAAAATGCATTTATAATGTTTGTCTTTATAAAGCCCACTTACAAAAAGAAGAACATAAAGGCATGAAGTTCACTTTTTTATTTTCACACAAACTGACAATGGGAACATAAAACATAAACATATTTTCACCTTTATATGTACTTTTTAAACATATTTCATTAAGTTCAAATATAGGCTTATTTTTACTTTTATAAAATTATAAAATTGGCAGTATTATGTACACAAAATACAATATTTACACACAGGAACACTGATATTACATTGAATCTGTAAGTATAAGAAATAGGGGTTAGCAGAGCTAGCCCAGCTAGCTTCTTAATGCTCTCTCCCTCATTACATACACACACGCACACGCACACAAACACACACTCACACTCACAAACATAGCCTACATACATACGTGCATTAAAATGTTTTCTTTGATACAATCATCTCTAGCTTTATGCCTGGCAATCCATCATTCACAGTCTCTAAAAGGTCCTTGAATCCAAGGGAGATGGCCCAACACCTTTGCTCTTCATTAGGATTGACGACTCGAGCAGGCCACTTTTTGGTACTGGGCACTAGGCAGTTACGTTGAGTACCTTGCATGAAGGCACCTTGGCAGTAGTTAAAGATCTGGTCCTAGTCTTGTCCCCATTCATTAGAAGTGCACTACACAATAAGGACTGTGGTTTGGCCTGTGTTTGTCAACAGGGCATTTGTGTCCAGAGCATCAGACAGGGCACATGGGCGATCTTTCATTTAAAACTCTTTAGTGTCTCTAAAAAGATCAACACGCAAGGCCAGCACATTGAAAGATGGGCGCAAACCAGGATCCTTGTCCCAACACTCCTCCATGATTTCATAGATCTACTCAGGAACCGACACAAACAGCAAAATAAGGTTTTAGTTATTGTAACAAATTTAAGATCATAATGTAAATACAGTACCTCTGTAGGACATCCTGAGGGTTGAGGTAGCCTGCTGCCGGACTTAAGAAGCTGAATAAGATGATACACAATCAACTGCCCCTGCTTGTCATTTCCCATCATCGACATGAAAACCTAAAAATATGTAAAATATTTGCTATAAAATGAGTAGCTTACACATTAATAAACTGTGTGTGAACTCTGGCATTTAACATACTGCAGGAGGACTGCAATTCTTGTCACTGTGAGTGAAGAGTTCATAAAGGACCACACCAAAACTCCAGATGTCGGATGCTACAGAGAATTTACTATCAGTCAGTGACTCAGGTGCATACCTGGGAACAAAACAACACATTAAAAATACTTTTTGTCTAACATCACTTCACATGGTTTGTTTTTTTTTCTTTTCACAATTGTTTACCAAAATATTGGGCTTTCCCCTGGTTCTTCAACCATATAGTACTCTTTGTCCTGAGGCAAAACTTTGGTGAGACCAAAATCTCCAATTTTGACCCTCAGCTCACTCTCCACGAGGATGTTGCGTGTGGCCAAGTCTCTGTGGATATAACGTTTACTGGACAAGTACTCCATGCCCTGTAGAGCACATGACATTATGTCAGTCTCAGTGGTCCTAAATGATTTTTTAATATATGATCAAAAGAGCAAACAACCTTGCAGATCTGAGAGGTATAGAGCAAAAGTTTATTGTGGTCAATCCTCTCCTTGTTTTTCATGAGGTAGTCTCGAAGGCTTCCAAATGGCAGATACTCCATAATAAGGTGAAGATTACGTCGCCCTAATAGAACAAAACAAAGCTAAATACAAATTTTGAAAATTACTTCATGGAGGCAAAAATCTTAGAGGGGGAAGGATGTTAAGATATACAGTACACGAGAGAGATTATTTATGGTTTTCTGTATTTTTATGTACATAACTTTGACATATTATTTTCATGTAACTTTTGAATTTAGTTGACTAAGATCCCCATTAGATTCTGATATCAGTCACTATTTTTCTATCGTATTGGCGTTCTGGTCAGATGGATGTGAGAAATCATTTAAAAGTATGTTTGTGCTGATTGAGAAAAAATGGATGCCCTTAATTTAATTAATTACAGAACTGCCAATTCTAACAAAGAATCCGTGGGTTCCCTCCATCTGTGTTTTGAATTATAGGCCCTGTAAGATTCACACCAAATGCTCCCAAGATTAATTTTACCTGCACTATAACAGACTCCTTTGTATTTGACAATATTTTCATGCTGCAAAGACTTGAGAATCTCAATCTCCCGCTCAAAGTCGCGCATGTGTTCTGCAGTGCTATGCTGAAGTTTCTTCACAGCAACCACTTCTCCTGTATTGTCCTGTAGTGGGTCATATCGACACATCTCCACACTCCCAAAGTTCCCCTAAGAAAGAAAATGTGGTGAGCAAATCTCTAATTAACTGATCAACTTTTACATCATCTCATTAAAACATACCTTGCCCAACTGTTGTAAGAAAATGAGATGCCTCTCCTCAAACTGTGCAGGCTCTTGACTGTCCAAACCTCCAGTGGCCCATCCTGTGGTCCCTGTCCGGTTTGGCAGGATGTCACTATCGACGATCAACTCATAGTCTGAGAAGAGAATAAATGTTTTACTTTTCAAATTATTATGCTTGACCAAAATAAGTATTGTTTTCTGTTTTGAACTTTTGAACATTGAATATAATATTACTACATCATATGCTGCAAAAAGAGCTGATAATAGTGTGTGAATATCATCAGGATACTCCTAAATAATACTGAGATATTTCTTTGTGTCAATATTGCCCACTCTTGGTATGCAGCAAAAATGGACTTGTCTTTAATAAGAAAACTGCTCAAAAATGATACGAGTATAAAAATAAAAGAAAAATACATTGCAATCTGCCAAACAAGGGTTTAAGGGGATAGCTCTGAACTTTTCCTTTTTAATATTTGTGTCACTAAATCTCAACCAAGACATTTACAGACACATTTTAACACAATTCTGATGGACATATAATAAGTATAAAAAAACAAAACAAAAATTACTTATTTCTGTTGATTTCATCCATTGGTAATTTACAGCAGATTCTAAACTTACCAGGTGTAAAGAGGTTATGAAGGTCACGGATAACTGCACGAAATGTGGGTCTGAAAGCAGGCTCATAGTCCATACAGCTCATGATCAAATTTGCCAGCTCAGTCCACTTTGGGACTGGCAGTTGGTGACGATCTTGATAAAACTGTCTTTTCTGTGTCAACCCAAAACAAACAATAATGTAAACATTTCTACAACCACAGGACCAGGGCAAGACTTTAAGATGGAACAATGCATACATTTTACTACTATTATACAAAAAGAAATCTAATTTAATTAAATTTAATTAAAACTTGTTTTTTGTTAGTCACTTAACAGTAATAGAAAATATTCTAGCTGTATTTTGAGCCCTTACTTTAGTGTGGTCCAGTGTAGCTAAAGGCTTGTCTCCATTGCAGCAGATCTCCCATAACGTAGCACCAAAGCCCCACTTGTCAGCAGCCAGGCTCAGGTTGGCAGGGTCCTTGATGCACTCCGGAGGAACCCAGGGAACACGCTCTAGCAAAACTAACACATCAAAAAATTAATGACAGGCCAATGATGACCATAAGCAAGGAAGTGTTACTGTAAATAGATGTTTAATGTTGTGACAGCTCAAACAACTTACTCTCTTTAGGTAAAACAGTGACACTGATGCCAGGGTCACTCAGTTTGATGAAGGGAGGATTCCCAGCTCTCCGGTCTTCTTCACGGATCAATAAAACATTTTTTGCACAGACGTTTCCATGAACAAGATGCTTTTCTTCCTGCAAAAACAAATGTACACAGCAATCTGTAAAACTGCTACTCTAAGTTACATATATAATAGGTGACAGCACAAACAACAAAAAGTTTGATCGCTACCAGAAAGTGCATGGCCCAGGCCAGCTGTTTAGCCACTTCCAACTTCCACAGAATGTTAATTGAGTTCTTGTTCTTTTTCAAGTACGTGTCCAGGGAACCATACTTCACATACTCCTGCACCATGATATCTGAAAGCATTAAAAACAAAAAGGAACTTATAAGTAACAACTAGTGAATAATATTGCTTATTGCCCTCTCACAAAGCATTTGAAACAATTTAGAGTTTTCATATGCATAACATTTTAAAAGACAGATGTAAATCTTTTTCAGGTTTGCAATCAATAAAATACTTTATAAATACAGACACACATCATGCAGTGGTCCAAGTTTGCTAAAAAATGCTGTTTGTACAAGCTCCTCTATGGGGGAGAAACAAAATGTAGTTTACATGCTAAAGAATTTGGGTACCACTGCTTTAAGCCCAGTTAAGAAGCAAGTGTGTGTCAGAGCATTATAATACCTCCAAGAATAACTACCAGTGACTCAGACAAAATAATAACTGTAATAATAACTGTGTTCTATATTAATAGTGCTAGTTAGGATAGGACATAATTATACCCCTAAACAGCCTAAGCGAATCATGTTGGTTAGTATGTACAGTATACCAGTAGTGAGTCATTCAACAAGATCAGAACCAGAGGACTGCACACTCTGAGAAAAATACACCATTACAATCACTATTATCTATTATTTGATATGATAGTTGATATAATATTCTATCTGAATGCATCACTTACTCTCTTCTCCACAAACACAAACTCCATAGTTTAGAATCAGGTGTTTATGGGACAACTGGCTCATCATGCTGGCTGCTTCAAAGAAAGACTAGAAGGGGGCAAAAAGTTCATTAATAATCAAAACTTAATCAATAATTCTTGATTACTGAGATTACAATTAATTTCAGATTCAGGTGTTGGTCATCTGCAAATGCTAACCTCTGAGTAATTCCTGTGATCGTGGTCCAGGACTTTCATGACCACTTCTGTTTGATGAACATGCCCATAGTCTCCCAACTCCTTTCGAACACCTTTGAAAATTTTGGTGAAAGTCCCTTGACCAAGACTCTCCACCTGGAAAGAAAGGTAAGAAAATATAGTGGATAATATATATATATATATATATATATATATATATATATATATATATATATATATATATATATATATTATATATAAAACAGCTCTAAAAATGCACAGCTTTGGCCAGTGGATATAGAGCAGTCAAGACTTAGATCAATCAAAGAAAACAAACAAAATGTTAACAACAAAAAAAAAAAAAAAAGAAAAAGAAAAAGTACATACAAATTCCAAATCTTCTTTTCGAATTTTGTGAAACACCATTTGACTGACGTTCCTGCGAAGTAGTGACGACGACAGAGGCACTTCGGAACCCTTGTTGCTCCGACACACAAGGAGGCAGGACATTTCTGTAAAGGGAAATAATGTTAGAACTGCAACAAACAACCGACAACAATCAGCCAATTTAAAGATTGTTTCATTTCATGTTAACAACATGCATGTTATTCATTTACTAGGAGAATAAAGGACGCATTATTCTAGTTCACAAATCTGTCCTACCTTTGGATTTGGGCGGGCAGCATTGGCTAAACTGGAAAATCACAGTATCAGATCGTACAGTTTCTTTTTGGTAGCATTTCAGAAGATCTTGCAGACTGCAAAATTGTCTTTTGGTTCCACTGAGGTTGAATTCCCCATTAACAGACTTTGTTATTTGACAGTGTTTGTATTCGATAGTGTCATAAACCTGTTAACAAACAAGGGGAAAAAAAAATAAATAAAATATATATATATATATATATATATATATATATATATATATATATATATATATATATATATATATATATATATATATATATATATATATATATATATATATATATATATATATATATATATATATATGTATGTATGTATGTATGTATGTATGTATGTATGTATGTATGTATGTATGTATGTATGTATGTATGTATGTATGTATGTATACATGTATACAGTCCCTGACAAAAGTCTTGTCGCTTATCCATTTTGTAGAAACAAAAGCTTATAACCTGACTTTAAATTAATCGATTGGTTTTAGAAATGTCTCATATGAAAGCTAAAACCCTCCCAAATTATGCTCAATAAAAATAAATTTGCTTCACTGAAGAAAGATTGATCATTCAATGAACCCAGAAGGGTCAGATTTCGGCAAGACAAAAGTCTTGTCGCCTTGTCATATGATGCACCCAATCCTAGATTACAGCCTCACCTGTGATCAGTTACTGATCAATCAATTAGTGGGTGTGTATAAAAAGAACCCCAGCACACCAGACCTTCACATCAACTGCAACTTTACCTCTGACAACATGCCTAAGATCCACCCTGAGACCAAAGCGTTAATTATCAAGAGGCTGAAGACCAGATCCACTGCTGTGGTGGCTGACATCTTCAATGTGTCTCAGCGTCAAGTACAAAGAATAAGAAAAAGATCTGAAATGACTGGAGATGTTTTTGACAAGCCCAGGTCCGGCAGACCCCGCAAGACAACTGCTCGGGAGGACCGTTTGTTGATTTGAAAATCCAAGGCCAGCCCCTTTTCCACTGCAGCAGAGCTCCACCAGGCCTGGTCAACTCAAGTCCCTGTGTCAACCAGAACAGTTTGTAGAATTCTGTCTCAAAATGGCCTCCATGGTCGAATCAGTGCATAGAAACCAGCACTAAACAAAAGGCAATTAAAAAAACGTGTGGCATTTGCCAAGGCCCACAGCCTGCTAAAAGGATGGACACTGGAAAAGTGGCAGAAGGTGGATTTCTCAGATGAATCCTCAGTTGAATTACATCACAGCCACCGCAAATATTGCAGGAGACCTACTGGAGCCTACATGGATCCAAGATTCACCCAGAAAACAGTTAAGTTTGGTGGCGGAAAAATCATGGTCTGGTGTTACATCCAGTATGGGGGTGTGCGAGACATTTGCAGGGTGGAAGGCAATATCAATAGCCTAAAATATCAAGAAGTATTAGCTACCTCTTACATTCCCAATAATAAAAGGGGTCAAATTTTGCAGCAGGATGGTGCTCCATCGCATACTTCTATCTCTACATCAAAGTTTCTCAAGGCGAAGAAGATCAAGGTGCTCCAGGACTGGCCAGCCCAGTCACCAGACATGAACCTCATTGAGCATGTCTGGGGTAGAATGAAAGAGGAAGCATGGAAGGCAAAACCAAAGAATCTTGATGAACTCTGGGAGGCATGTAAGACTGCTTTCTGATTACTTCATCAACAAATTGTATGAATCATTGTCGAACCGCATGGATGCAGCCCTTCAAGCTCATGGAAGTCATACAAGATATTAAATATGGATCGCACAGCACCACTACTTAATTCATTGACATTATGCAACATATTTTTGTATTTGAAGTAAATTATTTGTTCAATTTTCTGTAGACGACAAAACTTTTGTCTTGCCAAAATCTGACCTTTCTGTGTTCATTGAATGATCAATCTTTCTTCAGTGAAGCAAATTTATTTTAGTATATCGAGCATAATTTGGGAGGGTTTTAGCTTTCATATGAGACATTTCGAAAACCAATCGATTAATTTAAAGTCAGGTTATAAGCTTTTGTTTCTAAAAATTGGATAAGCGACAAGACTTTTGTCAGGGACTGTATATGTTTAAGCACTTCATACAGTAGGGTTCATTTTACTGAAATTATTTAAATCCTGAAATGGAAACTCTCAAATACCTTGACAGGAAAAGTCAGAAAATACTTATTGAAGTCCTTCGGGCTACTTCGCAAAATAAACAATCCATGTTTGTTTCCATATTTCTGAAGTCGATGGACAGCAAACTCAATACTGTAACATACAAATATATTTTAAAAAATAGAGATATTATAGTGAAAAGTAATAATAATAACAACAATAACAACACTTTTAAAAACTAAGTTTACAAAGTGCTGTACACGATGATACAAAAACCATAAAAATACCATACAGGAAGCATACAAAAACGTTGACTGTAACTGACAATAGAAATAGTCTCACAAATGTTACTCACGAGATGGGGCCGTGACAATGTGAGGAAATGTCCTCTAGAAGCCTCGGGGGTGCCACTTCTTTGCAAAGGTAGTGATGTGCATCTGTGGTCAACCGATAGTAACCGTCAACAAGAGACACAAAGGACAATGCTTCTGCCAAACTCTGGAACTCCACTTCCTTAAAACAAAGCAAATCACCATGGTTATTTGTGCTGGTACTTAAAACTCTTTATTTCTATACAAAAGTATATATTTTTTGACCATTTTCAGGGATGTATTTCACATGAGGCCTTACCAGACTCTTTCCATCTTGCTTGTTGATTATGACTATACTGCTCTCTGCTGAACTTTCCTTGTTTGCTTGGATGCTTATGTGAACCACATCTGGGAAATCACACAATAGCTGCACTTCCTAAAAAAAAACAAAAAAACAGTGGAGACATTTAACCATTGTGTTCAGAATGGAACATTGTAGCACAAGTTGTAAGTCGTAACAGCATTGTGATAGGCGTTTACTGACCTTCACAGAGTCCTTCTCTCGAGCCCATTGGATGCCTGTGTCTGCAGCAACCAGGATGTTGAGCGTTCCGCTGGAAGCTTCCCTGACTTGGAAAGTCTCTGTGTAGAAGCCTTTCTCCAGAGACTCCATACTGATGAGGTACTTGAGTTTGAGGTCGCGCACTGTTGTGCGGCATTGGCTGAACTGTTGAATGAAACGTTTGAACCGAAAACGAATTCGCTTTCGTGTCACAAAATTGCAGTCCTGAATTTGTGCTCTCATTTCCTTTGGTAAAAATGTCTTGTAACTAAAAAGAATCAAAACACAATTTGGTCATTTTGTGTAAAGGGCTTTGGCTATATGCACTTGAGACAGTAGCCTCACCTTGTGTTGTGATAGATATCCAGCGGTGACATCTGCTTCTCCTTTGCTAGCCTTGACATGTCCAGGACAGCCATCCCAAGGCACTCTTCCTGAGTCTCATGAGAGTTGGGGATTTTGATTAAACCATTGACAAAGTCATTCCTCCACTGGACAGAAATAAGAGTCACAACAAGAAATTAGAAAATTGCATTATTCACCCAATCTGCACTCTGCACTCACCCCTGCCTATGTTACTGATGGTGAGAGGACAAGTAAATAATATTTATATTTTAAAAAATTGTTTATTCTAATTTCAAAGTGTTTGGACCTGTTAATCTGGCAAAAAACGTTCAGAACATAAATATATCAGTGTATGATTTAGCTATGTGTAAAGATAAATAATGGTCATGACATCACACAAACGTCATACTCCTGTTTTGATTTTTGGAGCAAGTGTGAACTGTAAACACACTAGAATTACAAGCCACTCAGGACCAACTCAAAAGTTAAATGTTTAAACAAAGTGACCCCTAATTAGGCAACAAACGTGTGACTAATTTCTAAGATTTTAAATGAAGCAATATGAACCACCGCATTATATTTGAAAACAAACCTAGTCTCAGGTTAATATGTTAATAAAGCAATATTTGGATAATCATTTGAATAGTGTCACATCATTATTACACCAAAAACGCCTAGACAGGGCTTCCCCACCCCTCCATACCTTACTGGGCAGGGCTTGCTCCCCCAAGAGAGATTTACATAATTCTACATTATCCTCAAGTTCACAGTAAGTTCATTGTCAGTCACACTGCTGGCTGCTGAGACCAGCTCTACCGCAATGCCTTCCATGATTTTCCTCATAATCATAATCTAATGACATGCTAGTATGTACCGCTTTAACAAACAGTTCTTCATTCACAAAGATACAAGCACTAGCAATAATATACAGTTTGCCCACATACATAAAATAACCAAGGCTGTAGATATTTAGAGAACATGTGTTAAATGTGAAGAATCCCACCATTCATGAGACTAACTTGCAGCAATACTGTTTTATGTACTAGTACTGTGAGCTAATGAAGCACCCATGGTCGGATTAACCTCTGGGGAAATAGGCACAATGGAGCAAGGCGGTAATGGCTCTAGGGCCACATTTGTCTTGAAAAATCAGTGACTCATTTATTTCTTAAGAGCCTAGCACAACAAAACTTTAAAATGATTACCGACTTATGCCAAATGGTGTCCACTCAAATGAAGCTCCCGATGTAAACGGTCACTGGAGAAAATTTCGAGCCAGGCTCCATATTTGAAAATCTGACCACAAGTATAATAGCAACAACAAGAGCCAATCATGACTGAGCTCGTTACCGTGCCCGCCCTTCTCACTGTAAAGCGGGAAGGGGGCTTACTTAGCAACTAAATGCATTAGAGTGGATTCATAACGTTTTAAAGACCAAAATGACAAGGCTCACTGCAGCAGTTACAGAGAGACGGGCGACAAGGTCCCAATGTAAGTCAATTGGAGCCAGGGTCAAAAAGAGCCTCTTGGCGCACTTCCTATTTAGAATGTGGTGGCAGTCATTTCAAATACATGGTTTATGCTTGTATACAAAAGTAAGATTAATTTAGCCCCAAATCTTTTTATTTTTCATTTGGGGCAAAACTCAGGGCAACCAACCACCTGAGTTTGGAAGTTCAAATTTTACATAGTAGATCTAACATACATGAGTGTATTAGGTTTTTATATAGACTACCAATAAACACCCACATTTTTGGATCCTAAAGGAAAACGCAGCTGATCAAGGTCAAGCCAGACTACGTGCCAGTGACTCTTGGTTTTGGACCAATGGCATGACAAGAAAAATGTCATGATAAAATGTAAAAGCAGGTGAGGACACACTCTGTTTTACCTGAAAAAAGAGGTATGACATAACAGCATCATCAAGCACAGGGCTTTCTGAACCCTTGGTGACCCCATATCGATAGGCCCGGGATGGTCCACTGCTGTACCAGCCAGAGAAGTAGTATCTATTGAGAATAAATCAAATGTGAGCCAAAAGAAACTCTAAACAAACAACTAACAGTTCACATGTAGTAAATATGTAGTTACCTTATTCTAAAAAACAAATCTTCTGACGCCGTTTCATCTAGATGAAAGATGTGATTAGGTGAAAACCATAACCGGTCTCGTTCTCGAAAAAGCCCAAAAAAGTTATAGTACAGAGGTGATATACCTAAGAGGAGATATAAAAAGAGAACATTTACAAACTGATTCTTGGAAAGTTTTAAATATCTGCACATTATGCCAATTCAGATGGTAATAACTGTGGCACTCATTTTGACATAAAAAAAGAAACCTGGATGCCATTAGCCATCCTTTGCCTTTTAAACAGTACACATGGGTCAGCTCTAGATATTGTCCCAGCTATTTTCCTGCTTTGTGCAATACAATCATTCAAGCCTGCAGTGCGTATATCTGTGCTATGTACGTGTAAACAGATGGATATTATTTTTTTTGTTTTGATTGTCATGGAGATGGATGAGCAATGGAGCTGTAGACATGGCTATATGTTTACACATTCAACTTAAAACATGTATTCAAGCCTAGTAACCACTGGGATTTTTTAAATTTCAGCTTCCTGTAATATGCAACACTTTACCCATTAAAAGGATACAATATAAATTAAATTGGTTATTGCTGGCAGCAGTCCTAATATTTCATCAATTTGAAACCCATAGCTAGGTAATGTTTGTTACAGTAGCCTCCTAGGACCTGGCATCCAAAAATGTGGACACATTTTGGGTTGTTCAGGCACTTAAATAGTTTTTGCAAATCATTATTCAGTTGTGACTTTATTGTGTTCCATCAAAATGATTAAAATATAAAATGAATGTTTCATATATAATAAGTGGACATATAAATATACAAAATTAAAAAATATAATAAAATATAATTCTTTGTTTTTACACTCATCAGGTCCCAATCAGCCCAAATAACAAAGAGAAATCAACAAAGCATGCCATGCAAGAGTTTGGGTCCTAGGAGGTCAAAACAAAATGAGTGGCATAGATTTTGTCAAGTGCAAAAAAGTTTTGAGATATAGTTTTGAAAAATGTGTTTCTAGTAATAACACGGGTGAACAAAAGGTCACTGAATGGCTAAAATAAGTCTAAAATGTCATTGGTGTTTGGTTTATCAGCAAACACATACCATGTCTTTACAACAACATGCAGGTATACTTCAATAAGTATTTCTTTTTGTTTGAGTTATGAACAAGACAGGATTTGTCATGTTTCACACTTCTTGCAAATGTAATTTCAGCCCAACTATAACTTAACCTTATGTTGACAGACTGTGGCTATTGAAAACCTTATCACAAGACATAAGCCCCTTGTTTACTATGGCATGGGAATAAAGGTGCTTTATAGGGCTGTGCAGCACAAGTACTTACTGCATGCCTTGGCTGCATCGATACACAGTTCCTCAGCCACATAGTCTCCAGGTCGGAAACTGATGAGGCTGCATTCAGCTGCTCCCTGGATGCCGTGGTAGAAATGTACCCTCAACACAGTGGATGCAGCGGCCGGGCCCAAGTTAGGAGATTCCCGATGGGCGTTCCCGTTTTGGTGATTTGCCGGACAAGTGTCAGTGACAGCATCCATGACAGGCAGGGAGGCCATCAGCAACATGCAAACTTGAATAAAACAGAAATCCATAAAACTCATGATAGCTTGCGAGTCATTTGCATTTGCAATTTGAGGAACTAATAGTAGCTAATAATGTAATTTGTTCACATAAAGTATACCTTTGGTAGTTTTAGTCTTTTTAATATTAATATTTGTTTTACATTATAATTCTGAGGCTGCAAAACAAAATGTTAATTTGAAACAACCTGTAGCTACTGGAAAAGAACACATTTACAAATTTACAAAGTGGTAGTGTGATCTGAACAACATGCAAAAAGAGAAAACGGTAAGAATAGAATAACACACATAATAATAATGACAATAATAACAAAACATATGTTACATTAAAGGTAACAGTTGAGGCCGTACTCTTGTGTTGACATCAGACATCGACAGATTAACCTTACATTTGTTGGCCTCACACACCCACCCATTTAAAAATTGTTGTAAAAGTGACAAAATATTAGTTTTTCTTATAAATGATTTAGTATCCGCGATTAGCCCTAAACTGTTTCTAGGAATTAAATATATGAAGTAATATAAAAAAAAAAAAACTTACTTTGCAAGACGAGCCAGCCATGCAATGAGCTAGCCTGCTGCTAGCATTAGGCCGGTAAATGGGTAGAGCAGCCAGGACGAGCGATAGTTGATGTGTACGACCAGAAACCTCAGGTTTGTTGGATTACAGCATAAATAAGTAATAGCACAAATGCCTACCTCTTGATGATCGATGATCGTATGTTGATCTACAAAGACCCATGTCACCGTTATTTAGCTAACAACATGCTACATTGCTACTTCTGTCAAGCCTTCCCATTTCACTTTAGCTTTACTTCAGTAACTTCAGCCGAATAACTCGGAGTCAATCTTGTAACTTTGCTAACGCTAGCTAAACTACGTCTTAGTGAATTACATCATCAAACAGAAAGCTCTAATTAAATTTGCAGCATAGCATCATCTTGACAAATTCAAGAGTAAATGCAAGGCTAGTCACATAATTGACAGCCCGTCAGCAAAGACGCTCGAAGCTAGTAGCGATTGCCATTGGAAGCTAAGCCGAGCCGAGGCTTCCTGTTCCAGTCAGTCAACAAACCAGCCTCTCCCTGATCATACCCAGCATGCCTTGCTCTACTATTACCACAAATAAATATAATATAAATGGAGCATACAAAGTTATCCTAACCGGCTGATAGTTAATTATTCGACTGAGACAATTTTTCCTCATCTATAATCTACAAATGTATTATTATAACTATTGTATTATTATTACTATACTACTACTACTACTAATTTTACTCTTACTATTTTACTACTACTAAGACTATGCTATTGTGTAGTAGGCCATTTTCGACGATAAGGCGCATAATATTTGATCAAGTGAGGGCATGTCCAACATGCGCTAACATACTCTTACTCTGCCTAGATCTACAGATTGATTTCAAGACTCCCCAGCCATTCTTTGGTTCTTTGTCCTGACCTGTCTGTAGTTTGATGGATTGTCTGGTTGTCATCAAGAGTTAAGAGTCTGATCTTGTCAATCATTACTCATGCTGTCAATATGCTTTTTCACGATGCATTTTATTACAATTGTCTTGGCTCTAGCTGGAAAAAAACACGTTTGACTTTTTGGGTGGTATTTCACATGAAGACAGCCAGTTTGACGATGGCCACTGGTCTGAGACTGAGCGCCTACCTGTTGCAACGTTGCCTTTAATACCGATATATAACACTAGATGGCGCTATAACTTCATAGAAGATAGACAAGAGTGAATAAAGAGCGTATGCATACTTTCTTTCTAAACCCTTTGGTTGTTTAAACGTGTCCCCCAATGCATTTCAGTGCCTGGAACTTACCACCTGTGCCTCTCCTCCAGCAAATGTCCTCTTCAGCAGCGTGTGTACACGTGTGTGTTTTTTCTTCGCATACTGCTTGGCTATAGGCCTAGATCATTTTAACAGATAATTTTACTGACTATACTGACAGGACACCGAAGCCTATATGGTCGCACAGCTGTATGTTCCCATTAATTTTTGTTTTCCCTCACAACCATTTTAGTGGGAACATTAAAATATTTTGAAAGCAAGTCCATAACCCCACCCCCATCCTAGTCATAACCTTAATGTAAAAGCCAGGCCCTAACACCTTAACCATAACCCTGGATGTGACCCAATCAATGTGGGAACAGAGCTGTGCGAGCAAAAATTGACTACCGCAGGACAAGCCACGAATAGAAACAGATTAGAGCAGGATGTTTTCAACTATTTGTGAGGCATTTTCATTTTGCAGCACAGGCCACCAACTAAAATATTACCAAATTACACATTCACCCATTTTAGGGTGAATATAATGTGGAAAACATGGTCCATGACAATGTATCAGATTTTTTTTTTTTCCCATGGTAATGATGAATGTTTCTCTATACCAAACGTATATCAACTGTTTAAAAAAATTACTTTGTCAGCTAAATTTTAATTTTCTCAACCCTTTGTTTGAATCCAAATGATTATGTTGTTTGTTGTTTACTTACATTTTCTCAGTGCATAAATGGGATATATTATGTAAAATTGTCATTCATGAGATTTTAAGCATGTTTCCTAATCATTTGCTTACTCAGTGTTGTATTTGATTGAATAGTTACTTCATGTTTGTGTAATCCTGTATTGACTTGTATTTGAAGCTTGAGTCTTTTCACCTACCCTCTATCTCCTCCCACAGCTCTGAACACGATGTCAGTCAAACCATTCTTATAGTTAGATCTATATGGCAGTTTACAGCTAAATATAAAGTAATTATCTATGTATAGCTTAATACTAAATTCTCAAAGTTCTAACATCTTGAGCACCAAAGTAAAATAAAAAATTCTAGCCCATATGCCTGTCATTCTCATGTTCACACCTTAACAGCCTCTCCACTAAGTCTGCGTGCTATTACGTCTCTCCATGCACTGTATTCATGTGTCGCTCATGTAAAGACCTGGTCTGCACAGCTAATTTTCTCTGCCAGAAAATGTCCTGGAGCAAGAGTTTGGAGTTGGAAAGTGTGTGTGTGCTCTGTCGATATGTGACATGGTGCCCAATCAGGCACACACTTCCCATTAGTATAGTCCAATCACAGCTACAACCTTACAACAACAGCAATGCCAATATGGTCAAAGTGCTGAGGAGAAACACTGCCAAAAACAGTTGGACTTGCTGCCTGCAAACAAAGATGTTCAACTGCCTGTGATCAAATACAACACTCAAAAGCAAGAAATAGTAATCCTTAAAAATATAATTCTCCAAGTCTGTTTGAATCTGTGCGCTAGTATCTGTGCATCTACATTGTGATGTCTCAGATGGGGGCAAGTTTTATTGTTCTTATTAATAACTGCAATTTTTATTTTTTGGAAAGTCTATGAGAAAAATTTATGGAAAATTTTATTCTTGAACCTGGGGGTGGACGGCCACTGTTGGACCCATATTGTACTGTTGATTGTTGTGATTTCATCTGAAACCCAGCAATAGGCTAGAATAACAAATGTATAGTCATATAAATGATGTCTTGCCTATTTTGCATGGATTTTGAAAAGACTTGTAGTTTATGCCAAATATAGTATGTTGCTGCTGTATTTATATCAGTTAAGTAGTCACATTAATAAAACATAAAAGTGCAACGTAAGACATAGCCCTACCCTCGTCCCTGCTAGCTAGCTATATCACTAATCAGGCTGAGAGTAGATATATGTTCCAAATGTAATCACAAACAATTTTTCTACTTGCTGGGCTCTTGTTTGACAATACATGACTGCACTGATTCACTATAGTGTCAACTTTTACACAGTTAAGAGGCACACGAGCCAGTTAAAGGCCAAATCATTTTCACTTTCATCTGCTCAATTGGATGTTATTTGTGAGTTGAAAACTTTAGGAACTTCGTGTGGCATTTCTGTGTTGTCCTGGTTGTTATAGTGAATGTTTATAGCTGTTATGCGCTGGTTCAGCTGCAGTCATCTATCTAGGCCCACTGTGTCCTATTGTGCTGGTGGTATAAAAGTGTACGGTCCAACCCATTCTCCAATGGGCTGACCTAGTTGCATGACAAGCTCACCCACAAACTCTAGATTTGTGGCTATATGTTTTTTATGACAGTGTTGCAATGCCAGATGCAAGTTAGTGAAGAGGGGGTTTACGCTGTAGGCCCACCTTTTTAAATTATCAATGCAAACAAATCCATCAGGTATATTTATTTTTATGTATTGTAAAACTGCACTTTAATTCATTTATACATTATCTGAATAGTTAAACATATTCTTATGGAGAAGCATTGTTGGTTGTCATGTCACCCATCATAATTTGGTAAAGCAGAAACTTTTTTTGGCACATTTCAGAGGTTGACCTATGTTTATAGTTAGTTTAGTTTGTATATTTTTAGGCCTGTTACAATATATCTTTTCTGGTGGAGGGTCCACCACCTGTTTGTATCCATGGAGATGTTAATTCTTGGCCTGGTATGTTATACAGAATGGCATTATAAACATCTGTGTATCCAGAAACAAGGAGGTGACAATAGCAGGCAGAGGCACAGGTCAGATTTGTGGAGAGGTGAGCTCCTCTTTGTAAATTACACCTTATAGTTTTATATTCAGACCAAACCTTATATTTATAGATTGAATGATAATAATTACAAGGATCCAATTTCAGTCCATATTCCATATTCTCCAGTATGGTTTTTGTATTATTGTATTTTGTATTATTGTATTAGTTTTTTTTGTTTTTTTGTATTTTGATCACAGTATGCTGAAACTTAAAGTCTTACATATAGCCTCTCAGTGCACATGTCCTATATGATAATCCTTCTGGTGGATGTCTTGTTTAGCAATCGTGCTCTGTGTTTCTAAAGTGGTACACATGTAGTACATTGTGATAATGAGCCTTAGCAAGCTCATTGAGCAGCTGTTGAGAGTAATTTGAATTTAATCTTGGAGCGGGGAGTGCTGTGAATATTCAGTCTTTGATCAAGGCAGAGCAGCCATCTTCTCTTCTCTGCTGCACTCCCGTTTATGTGTCTCCTCCCTCTCCCACAGGTCCATAGGCAGTCTGCATGCCCTCCCTATGTCTTTAAAGGACAACAACTGCTTTATTACATTAATGGTCCATTTACATTCTTAAAGCACAATGAACACAAAGTAGAGTAGTTTTACCAGTCTAACCCACGCAGACCTAGAAAAACACTCCTCGAAATAACTTGTTTTTCTCGTAAAGACACCTCTGACATATTCTTACTTAAGGCTGTTCTGAACTTGAGGTTATATACACTTTGAACATTCTACAAAAACACTGAAGCAGCACTGCAAACAACTATATCTGTCTTTTCTTCAGGAAACTGAGGAGACGACAATCTGCTCACATTGTCAATTATGTCTATATATATATATATATATATATATATATATATATATATATATATATATATATATATATATATATATATATATATATATATATATATATATTGCACTCTTAAATAATCCAGGCAAATAGTTCCGTTTTGCAACGTTTATTTTATCCAAACGGTTCAATACATGCGAGGCACGCAGGGCCACAACACCTGAGCGCGCAGGCCACACTCACAACACACTGGATGGGCGTGTCTGACCTACTTTTATAGCTGGACCCCCAACTATCGGCACCACCCATTTCCTGGCTGCTCTCGATGCTACAGTGTATTAATTACATTCAAATTTAATAAATTAACAGTGCATATACTGTAATTGATAAATACTACATAATTTAACATTTCATCAAAATATATTACATAGATGGGCTATATATATATATATATATATATATATATATATATATACATATAATGTTACTGTCGAGGTGCCGTTGGCTGAATCCCTCATTTCATTTTGCTCATTGTGGTTTTAATTAGTGCTGTCATGCGATTAAAAAAATTGAGAGATTAATTAATTATGATCTGTAATTAATTAATCTAATTAATCTCATTTTAATCTCACCTAAAAATTGCTGAGAAAAGCCTTCAATTTGAGGTATTTTCATTTAAATTCATTATTACATTATTGTGGCAGATCTAAAGAC